TTCAAGTTTCGTTCTATTTATAGGCATCCTTCAATGTAACCTCCCAAGAGTCAGTTAAAAAATTCCTACCACGTTCCATGTGCACGTCCCTCGATTTTTACCTTAGCCTACGGTTTAGAAAACCGCTTCCACATTCCACGTACGTTTTAACCGTTCCTCGATTTCTAATTTAACCATGATTTGGAAAGCCACTTCCACGTTCCATGTGCATGACAATTGTTCCTCTCGATCTCGATTCCAGATATTGAGTACTTTGAATTGTTTCTGATTTTCCATTTAACTTCATACTCAATGCCTTTCATCGATTTTTACTTCCCCATGATCATCGAATTTGTCTTCTGATTCTCGATTCTAATTCTCGATTTCCTTCAGCAATAGCTATCAAATCTTCTTCTTTCGATCTCGATTCCAATTCTCGATTTCAATTCTCGATCGATGTTTTCATACTAATATATGATCATCGAATGTCTTTCAATCATCTTTTCGATGTATCAATTTTTTAACTAACATACGATCCTCGATTTCTTTCCTTCCGGTTCTCGATCCATATATCGATTTTTTCCTACCAACATAGTGACAATAATCATTCCAAACGTATTCAACATAACATGGAGTCAACAAATGGCTTGTTTTCATGTTACATATAATATCCGACAAACACGCTGTAGATTACCACATGCAGGTAAAGCTTTTGTTGGTCACACACAGTGACGAAAACAAGAAGGGATGCAAGAAGCAATAGAAATTGACTGTGGATTGAAGTTAGACTCGGCATTCACATATGTCATTTTATGAGTAGTGGTCAAAATCCACTAATATGTTATTCTTTACCTAACAGTGTTGTAATAAGTAGGGTTACCCCATCATTTGATATTTCATTTTGGATTATAAAGAAAGTTATGTCTCGAGAAATCTGTGATTCAGAATATGATTCTCCGCATTCATACGTATAAGAAAATCATTCCCTTAAATGATTTCAGTATTTCGAATAATTAATTTATAACTCTCATAGGGGATGGTAGAAATAAAAACAAAGCACACATGAACTCATTCCTCCTGTTCTACTTCAATTTATATTTAAGTTTAAATTTAATTTTTATTAATCTTTGATGATTCTCGGTTACTTCCCTTCCGAGTTGGAAACCATGAATTCTCGTTTTGTTTCTTAGAGAACTTGCTTTCTGCAATTAAATTGGACATTTTCCATTTTTCCTTGAGCAAGTTGACAGCTTGATAACGCACATTGGATTGGGACGTGCCTCTTATCCAACTACACAAAATATGGCCCCTAAATTTTTCCTTTTTCTTTAATTATCACCTTATCCATTTGAGTTTGACTGCTAAGATTTAATATATTTCTTGGAATTACTTGTATTGTATTCACACATATATTTAACTGATTCTAACATAATTGTTTTGAGTAATAAAAGTTTCCTTTTTAAGAATTTAAACTAAAAGTACCCTCTTCATAGACTATTTTTCTTTTAATTATGAAAAAGTGTTACATATCTATAGATTTTTGTTAAAAGAACTGACTAAGTATTTTTAGTAAATATTGTTTTTTGTAATTATATTTTTCTATTTACAATATTCAATGTGCAGAGATCATTTCAGTGAATATTACGGCTCATAACACAGTTTTCTTCGTACACATGATATCAAATGAATCTCATTACAATATAATTAAGGAGTTCAATTATTTACTAATTTTATTGATATCCAGTTCGTCTCTAAGAAATACAAAGATATTGACATATTCCTCCAATCCAAACAACTACTTGCAAGATAGTGATTGTATTTATTAAAACTATTTTCCAATCTTACAATGACAACTTATAAAAGGCAAATAACAAAATAACTATTAGTTTAGAAACTAATGGAAATAAAAAAACATTAATTTATTAAAAGTATATGCACTTCGAAATCGTTAGTGTGGTGTTTTTAGGGACGAATTAGTCACCAAATTCCTAAATAACATCGTATTTGGACTGACAATTGGGTTGTTGAGATAGGACCAATAAGATAAACAAGGCCCATATACGTATATTTCCTCGTACAGACATGTTCTGTATTTTTGATGATATTGTGATTGAATCTACTTTCAATTATTTTACCATAAATGAATAAGGTTCGTTTAGCTTAGAAAAATATATATATTTTTAACTATTTTATGAATAATAAAGAAAATAGAAGTAATTATAAGGGATTAAACTAAAGCTAAAAAGTGATTTTAAAATTTACCGTTTTACTATTTCTGTTACAAATGTTTAAAAAAAAAAAATGAATATAAATTAGGATAATGTTTTAAAGTAAAACATTTATTCACTAGTCAAATGTTAGTCATTGAAGTTGGCTCCTTTAAGGTAAATAGAATGAGTGATATTAATTGTGGGTAAAATGTGTGTACACTGTATGAGATTTTGAGAAATGTGATATTTGAAATGGATAGTAGAAATGAATTGTCTATCCATAAAAGTTGAATCTTTATATAAAATTCTTAAATTGATACATTTCATAAAATAAAGTTTATTCGGATTTTTGAAAAGCCTTAACAACATTTTTTCGAAAATTATCATTTTAAATAACATATTAACTAAAACTCAATTAAAGAAATTATGAAAGTTAAAATTAAACTTTGATTTTTTTTTTTTAATTTTGATAACAATTTTATAATACCACAAGTACGATTAAAGTAAAATTAGTTTTTCCCTTGAAGGGAGAGAAATCAACTCTAAAAAAAACATTATGATTTAATTTCAAAATGAACATTGATCTCTTTTATACTAGTAATAAAGTAATATTTATACTTGGATTAAATAATAGATAAATACAATACTAAGTTATAAATTTCATTATATATTTTATAATTATTTATTTATTTTTATGTTAAAATAATGTTTTTTTTTTCATAACAAAACTTTTTATAAGATAACTTATAATTTAGTGAAGTAATAAGTATATATTCAATATATAATGACTAAATCATTCAATATTTTTTTACAATTTTTTAAAATGTTATCTTTAAAGATTTGATTCTTAATTTTCATAATTTTTATTTAAATATAATATTTTAAAATAAAATAAGAAAAATGAATATCATTTTATTAAAAATATTAAAAATACAAATGTTATTTATTAGAAACCTAATATTAGTAAATGTTTGATTATAAATTAAAGTTACATATTATTTTATTAAAAATATAATTAAAACAAGTTTTTCTTAAAACTATAAAAATGTGAATGTTATTTAATATAATTTGAAGGAATATACATACAATTTATCCTAATAATTAAACTTTAAGATAGAAAATACTCATGTACTAGTGCAAAAATAACTAAATCTATATTCTAACTCACCAAACTATTCAATTTTGGCAACTTTGATTATGATTGGAAACCCTAACATAAAACAACTTTTGGTTTCATTTAAAGATTGAAGGATAACTTGGATTATTTGGCCCATTAGTTTAATCATTATTTTGTCAAACTTTACTTTTGCATATTCAATTTGATAGAGTCAACCTCAATTGTATTTATCAATTCAAAACTAATTGACCGTCGTGTATTTAATATATTCATCAACTCTAATAATAATAAAAAATTATGATGAAAGATTAATTCTTCGTTCATGCTGGGGATTTATGTTTATTATCTATAATCAACTTATGTTACCATGACTTGCATATTTCTATACTTAGATAAGTTTAAAAAATATTTTATTTTAAAATAAAATAAAATTATATAACAATACTATTTTATAAAATTATTAGTGTAACATAAATTTTTTTAAAGCTAAGGAAGCTTTTCTTTGTTAGGAAATATTATATCACATGCAGGCACTCACTTTTAAAACACTAAATTTTACACTTAAGAAAGTTTACCGATATATTATTATTTATTAATTAAATTATTAATTTATTTTTGCATTTGTTTTGACAGAAATTAAAAACTGTAGTTTTAAAAACCTTAAAACAAAGAAATATTTTTTTCTTATAAACTAAACTAAAAGAATATGATGTCCGTCTTAGTTAGAAATAGTATCACTTTTAAAAATACATAGAACTATAAACTATAAAATAATCTTTTGTCAAAGTTTAAATAAAAGAACTGAACTCAGGATATTCTAAAAAATTTATGTGAAGTTGATTCTGGCTATAAAAGATTATGTTCATATTAGGTTTATGTTTGTACGCTTAAATTTAACAAATTGAACTTCTCCTACAATTAAATAAAGAATTCATCACATGTTTAATCTTGTATTTTGAAGAGCTTGCACTTGCTAAAGTTGAAAATTAGTTGAAAAGTGATAATTGATAAGGTAACTAAAACGTATTTATTAATAGTTTTATTCTAGCTAATAAAAAATGTATATATATAATTATTATTATTATGAGACAATTTATGTATATATGAAAGAAACAAATTATGTTGCTCTACAATAAATTTTCATTTTATGTTATAATTATATGTTTCACATCTTTGTTATAATAGCTTATATGTTTATGTTAAATTTTTCATTTTCATCTAAAAGGTTATATTATTTTTAAATTCATTTGTTTGATCTTAAATATAAATGATTTTAAAATACCTGCGAAATTTGAATATTCAAGCACACATGTTTCCCTTTCTGTTGCCTTAGTATCTGCCTCTTTCGTGTCCAATTCATCAATCAATGATCAAACTGTTGAAATTAAGTATAAAAATAATATTTAGGTATCTTTATACAACACCTTTTGAAAAAACTACTTTAAAAGAAACGACCAGTTCTATATTTTTAACCCGTTCATATCTGATTCCAGAAAGTCAACTTAATCAACTACGTAAATAAATGCGATCAATTATATAACAAATGAATAAATATATTTATGTGTTTGGTTCCACAAGTTAAAATGACCAACTCCACTTGAGAAAAGTTCTATCCTTCTTATTGAATTTGTTTAATGTTGATAGTTACGCATGCACCTACGTTGAACATTAAATTAGCTACAGAGGTGAAAGTGATGGCCTTCGTCACCTCTCCTAAACTACACCTGCACCACGTTGCATTGGAGACTCGGTCAGAAGTTTGCATGCACCATCCTTCCTATATAGTAAGTTTTCAATGCTAATCTTTTTGGTTTCTCGGCATATAAAGTTATAGCCCACGTGTTGCTTCTCTCATAATACTTGCTTGCCGGTTAATATATGTACAATCCTTTTGCATTTTGGGATAGGTTCTACTGTTTTGTTCCGGCAAGTGGGGTTCTTTCTCTTGTTCTAAACTCTCAGTAGAAAGGGTAATCTTTTAAGGATTGCTAGCTTTCTGGGATCTTTTGCATTTGGATATGCGTGCATGAGGTTGCTTTTGAAAAGGGTATTCTACTTTGGTTTAATAGCTACAGTGTTTTGGATTTAGAGGCATATGTGGGGTGTTTTTTGAGTGCACGGAAATGAATGTTTCTGAGTGGTTTTGTTGTTACTAGGGAAACAAAAATAAAACCTTGTTCAGTTCAGGAAGACAATCAAAAGGCTTGGTGTGTTCCGGGTTCTGGGTTCCTGGGATGTATCTTTCAAAGGGTTGTAGGTGTGAAGTTGTTCTCTGTTTGTGGTTTTGCTGCTATTTCCTATTAGCTGCTAGTCAGGTCACTGACCCCACAGAAGGTATATTCCCCTCCTGTTTGTCTTTCGTTGGTATTCCATGTTTTGCATTTTTTTATGATTCTGAATGTGGTAGTAGGAAGTAGTTGTCGTATTTGTGAGCACTTTCTGCTACATGTAATTGCATATATTACCAAATATTTTCCTCCTCTTTGATGTTGATTAAATGTTTTATCAATATATATATTTGTTATAATGTAAAAATACTATCAATGAAGCTAAGAGCAAAATATGGAAATATTGTATCCCTGTCTCTTGTAAAAAAATACTTCTTCATCTCATTTTATTCGTTACTCTTGGAATATTTCTCTTTCTCAAATTATTTACCACTTAGAATATCGAGAAAATATCAACTACTTTTTTCCAGTAATACCCTCAGGAAATAATGAGCTGGTAGATGTTTAGCTGCAACTGTTATCTGTAATTTATCATCTCCAGAAATAAGGGTGTTTTACTCAAACAATATTATTTTATCTTGGAAATTGGTACAAGTAGAAGTTTCTTATGATGTGTGCATTGTTTTAATTGATAAATTAAATGAGATTGAGGAAGTAATCTTTAGATTCAATAGAATCATCCATTTCTTGCGTTCTGCCCCAAAAAAATAAATGGTGCTGTCATTTTTTCGTTCATTTCTTCCAAATATGCTTATAATGTGTAATGTTGTTTGCATTTGGTTCTCTTGGTAGCGTGATTATATCATTTGCTTTAACATGCAGTTGAGGCATTGAGAACCATAAAGAAAAGTTTGTTTGATATTAATGGAAATTTAAGCAGCTGGGATCGTGGAGACCCATGTACATCCAACTGGACAGGGGTTATGTGCTCCAATACAACCTTAGCCGATGGCAATCTACATGTTCTACAATTGTATGACTTCAATCTTCCTCTTAACTTCTCTTTTTATAATATCCATGTTAAGATATGTATGACCTTCAATTTTTTGGTCCATGTTTTTATTTTATGTTTCTCCCTTTAATCTGCTCTCCTCAGTATCAAATTGTATAACAATGGTTGTTGTGAGTCCAAACGTTCTTAATCAGTAATTATTTAGATTACAAAAGTTAGCACACTCAACTGACTACAACAATGGCTGTAGTATGCACACATAAACTTCAAAATTCAGATGAATATTTTCTTGATTGCACTTCGACACATCACTTGGAACAACTTTTGCCACTACTTTCGACACATTTGTTTGAGAACCTTTTATTTTTGTCTGTAGGCAACTACTGAAGTTGAACCTGTCTGGAACTTTGGCACCAGAGATTGGCTACTTATCTTATTTGGAAATAATGTAAGGCCGTATCTGCTTTAATGTTTCTAACGCAAACCGGCTACAAACGAACAACTTTCAATTTTGCAATTTCTAGATTCCACTTTTGTCAAAAATATTAGATTTGATTCAGTTGAATATTTCCATCCTGTAGCAGCTTGCAATTACTACCTCTAATAATCCTTTTAATTTGCATTCTTGAAAAGGGATTTCATGTGGAATTACTTAAGTGGGACTATACCGAAGGAGATTGGCAATATCAAAACTTTGAAACTCTTGTAAGTTTAATCATCTATCATGCTGGACACATGGTCAAATGATTTAGTAGTCTTATCACCTTGATGTAGTTTGCTTTCCCAGTCATTTATACATACATGAACAAACTCATCTTGTATAAAATCAGAATAGTGTTTTCTTAGGAAGTTGAAGTTAAAACTTGTCTCTATAGGACTGAAAATGAATTCAAATGTTGCATGAATAAATGGCTGGTATTTTGACATGAAGAGCTACATTATTTCTGTTGTCTTTCTTATCAAATAATGGTTTTGCAGACTCCTGACTGGAAATAAACTAACAGGCGTTCTGCCTGAAGAGCTTGGGCATCTACCTGTCCTGGACAGAATACAAATTGATGAGAATAATATTACAGGATCCATACCATTGTCATTTGCAAACCTGAACAGCACCAAACACTTGTAACATTCTTTATGATTATTACTTAAGTTTTAAAAACTACCACTCTTTCTACTTTACTTGAATTCTTTTATCTATCTACCTTTGACTTTCTTAGCAAGAAAATGAAAGAAAATAATGCCTTCTTATTTTTCCCAATGGAGCAGCCACATGAACAACAATTCACTTAGTGGACAAATCCCAGCACAGCTTTCCAAATTAGGAAGCCTTATTCACCTGTAAGTTGTTGTCAGATATTGGTGACATGATTGCAGTCATTGACATATTTTTCTGGCATTTATTTAATCCTTCATATTCACGTTCATTTCTTGTTAACAAGATTTATCTTTGGAAATGCAGTCTTCTTGACAACAATAACTTGACAGGAAATCTCCCATCCGAGCTCTCTGAGATGCCAAGCTTAAAGATACTGTATGGTTTATTATTCTGTGTTAAATATGCTTGTATGCATGTCTGTGAGCTCATTTAGTCATCAATTTGTTTTGGATGAAAAGAGTGCATATTCTTTATGTATTTTCTGCACATTTCACTTCTCTCCTCTAGTTTTTAATCTCGTACAAAATGTCTGATTTTGGCCAAATTAAGCTTTTCCTTTGAATTTTACATGATAAGATGTGAAGGGAAGGGAAAATGCAAAGATCCTTAATTGGACTTAACTGCAATTGGGGCCCTATCAACTTCCCTTAGAGCCAATTAGTTTTAAGTTGAAATCTAACATGACTTATAGCTATTCCTAGTCATTACCTATTTTAGTATACATCGCCTGGCTTGGCATCTCTCTTGTTGAGATGAGCATCGAGGAGAGTTCCATATCGCATGTCTTAATTATTGGAGTGTAATTAGTTTTACGTTAAAATTAGTTTTACGTTAAAATTTGACACACTATCAAAATCTGTAGCTCTTCTTAGTCATAATCTATTCTTGAGGTGTTGGGGAGGGTGCTGTTTATATATCTCTTGGAAAACTTCACTTAACAATATATTACTTCTACTCATATTTCAAACACAAGGTACCATTAGAATTCATTAATTTATTTTAAAAATTTATTTATGTTATGATACTCCCCTGCCATCTTTAAACTGTTTAGTCATTGGTTATTCCACTGAACTGCGCATCAACTTAAGTAGAACTAATTTACTGAGACTTTGATAAATAAAAGAGACTTTAACAATCTGAGACTAATTAAATATGATTTAGTAGTGGTAAAAGGAGGAAAATTTGGTGGCGAAAAATTGAAGAAGTTTTAAAGAAGTACCAATGTTTAGTTTTTGGGGGGAAAGAGAAGAGTGAGTGAGAATGTACATAGATGGGGAATCTGGGATCAGTTTGTACTTAGATCATCTTACCACCATTATAGCTTGCCATTCATCTCTGGCCTCCACAGACCAGTTTTTTAGATCTCTTTCAGATCCAACGAAAAAAGAAGAAAATTATGAAAACATACAAGTCTGAATAATAAAGCTGAGTAAGGTACTTAAGTGGAATGTAATTAAGATTGTAAAGCTTTGATACCATATCAGGGTTCGGAATTTGAGAGGAAGGTCTTAGAAAGAATTTCTGAATGATAAAAGTCAGAGCGTTCTGTTTAAAGAATGGTATTTATACAAAGACAGACCTAACTGAGTTGAAACTGACTCAAAAGTAACTTTCTAACTAACTGAATAGCAAGCTACAGATTCCAACTAAGGAATGTCGTTGACAACTGTTCCACCTTAGTGAAGATGGAGTAGCACGCTCACACATTGTGAAGTGATGCCGATCTATTATTAAAAATCAGAATTGCAAGAAGAGAAATTCTGAAGTTGAATATTAAAACCCTAAGAAGTGATTGCTTGGCCAAAGGTGGCATGTATCAAAATATTAGAAAGTTACTTTTTCTGTCATTGTAAACCTTTTAGATCGTTCTGTTTTTAATGTTTTTGTTCCTACAATATTAGCTGAACTTGATTCAATAATATTCCTATCTAGATAAATAAATTTTTTAAGTAATCTTTGGATGTTATTGCAGTCAACTTGATAACAATAACTTCAGTGGAAGTACCATTCCAGAATCTTATGCCAACATGTCAAAATTGTTGAAATTGTAAGTACATTTTTTGAGATAACACTTTATCATACCTTACATTTTCCCCTTTGTTCTGCTCAATAAAAATTCTTGTCTAGTTCTGTAAGGAGAAATGATCAGAGTGTAAGGTTGATGGTCCATCTGTTCTTATTAGTTTTTTATTGGCTTTATCAGGAGCCTTAGGAACTGCAACTTGCAAGGACCAATTCCTGATTTCAGCAGCATACCAAACCTTGCTTACCTGTAAGTTTACTTATTTCATTTTCTTTCAAATTAGTTTATGCACTGACTTTCTTGGATTTTTATCGAGTGAAGTGGCTACACCTGACAATATGACGAGTTAGATGTTATGTACATGTTTAAAAGTCCTTCCAGGACTGTTAGCAACTGTTTTAACTGATTTCTGTTTCTGTATATTTCAGTGATCTCAGTTTGAATCAGTTGAATGAATCAATTCCTACCAATAAGCTATCAGACAATATGACAACCATGTAAGAACATCTATTGCTTAAATAGTAAAAATATCTATTGGTCATGCATTAATTTATTTGGATTTCCAATATTTTGTTAAGTAGTTGGAGAAAATATTCTAAGTATGATAACATGGATTGCATATGGTATTATTGTCTTACTGCGAGGATTTGTGCAGTGACTTATCAAACAACAAGCTCAATGGAACAATTCCATCCTACTTTTCTGGTCTTCCACGTCTTCAGAAATTGTAAGTTGTCGTTTGTTTTGGCCTATCTTCTTCTACATCAGACTGTAATGTATTTCTACTCACAAGCACACATATCAAAAGCTGCTACAAAATCAATGATTTTTCAAGACATATCTTTCCCTTATGACAGGTCAATTGCAAACAATTCATTGAGTGGAAATGTTCCTTCTACCATTTGGCAGGACAGGACTTTAAATGCAACAGAGCAACTTATCTTGTAAGACTTGAAATGATAATAGCGCAATTTTGCTCATGTAGATTTATATTTTGAAGCATGCATTTATGTGTCCTTTATTTTTCTTCTGCATTGGGTGACAATGCAGATGTCTGAATTAATATCCCCCAAGTTATTCTGTATTGATATACAAGTGTTTTGTTAACTTAGATTCCTTTTAATTTTCTAGTTTTTGAATTGCTCAGCATGTGTCGGTGATATTGCAGGTACATGCAATATAATCAATTTACAAGCATATCAGGCACTACAAATCTTCCTCCAAATGTCACACTCATGTAAGCTTCTAAACTTATTTTTCAGACATACTAAAGTCAGAGTAATGGAGAGTTTAATTTTTTTTCTCTTCGTTATGTATGTTCAAAATAAAAACATAAACCCTTACGATAAAGGTCAAATCTTTTTGACCATTGAACTTAAAATGAATTCGATCTTTCTTGGATAACTTGTCACATTATTGAAAATTACTGTTTTTCAGGCTTGAGGGAAATCCTGTATGTTTAAATAATAACTCTTTAGTTAAGATCTGCGGACCTGAAAGTGTCAATGGCATGGATGGAAACTCCAGTGTTGTCTGTCCCACTCAAGGATGCCCCCCTCATTATGAATACACTGAGGACTGTATCTGTGCTGTCCCTTTGGTTGTTCATTATCGGTTGAAAAGTCCAGGTTTTTCAGATTTCCGTGCATACGTGAGACAATTTGAGGTCTTCCTGACAGATGGTCTTAGTGTACATACTAATCAGCTGTTCATTGAGCGTTTTGCATGGGAAGAAGGACGGTTGAAAATGAACTTGAAGCTTTTTCCAGAATATATTGGCAATACAACTAGTTCTCACGAGTTCAACACAAGTGAGGTTATTCGGATCAGAGACATGTTCAGAGAATGGGATATTAATGACAGTGACTTGTTTGGGCCTTATGAACTTCTGGACTTCATTCTACTGGATCCTTACAGGGATGGTGAGCTACGGAAACTTATAATATGATAGAGTGTCTAGAAGTACATGGATATTGTTAACAAGAAAACTGAAGTTGAATCTCAGTGGTTGAACAGTGATCATGAAACCTTCTAATTGAATTGTTGAAAGTTTTTTTGCACATTAAGTTAAGACTTGTTTAGATAAATTTCTCCATAAGACAGAAAAATAAGAAGAAAATAATGAAATGAGTTTTTTCATAAGGTAAAATTAATTTATGCACGAATTAATTTTTTTTAGAGAATTTACTAATGAGAACTTTTACTGATTAGCTTATGCACAAGCTATGGAGAAACTCATTTTATTTTTTCTACTTATTTTTCTTTCTTAGTGTTTATGGATAAATTTGTCCAATCAGACTTTAGTGGCTTTCGGGATTCAATAAATAAATCAGCTTTTTTTATGGTAAAATTCATGCTTCACGTGTCAAATAAATTTGTTGAAATTGTGTATAAGGTTGATCCGTATATGAATATGATATCTGAAAACTGCTTAAAGGTTGATCACTTGTACTCATATACTGCTTATTATTGATGCAGCAGTGATTACTCCCTCTTCAAGTTCAGGGATAAGCAAAGGTGCACTGGCTGGAATAGTCTTAGGTGCAATTGCCTGTGCAGTTACATTATCTGCCATTGTTTCCATTCTTATCTTGAGAATACGCTTGAGAGATTACCATGCACTTTCCAAACGGCGTAATGGTGAGTAACTTTATTGCACATATTTTATTTTGGCTTAACTATATTCTAAATCTAATTTTCTCTTATCATCAAGAATGAGTTGATTATATAAATCTTAAACAAAGGCTTCAATATTTTTCACAGCATCAAGGATTTCGATAAAAGTTGATGGAGTAAGATCATTTAATTACAAAGAGATGGCCTTGGCTACAAACAATTTTAGCGAGTCTGCTCAAATTGGAGAAGGGGGCTATGGGAAGGTTTATAAAGGTCGTCTTCCAGATGGTACTGTTGTTGCCATAAAACGTGCACAAGAGGGTTCATTGCAAGGTGAGAGGGAGTTCCTTACAGAAATAGAATTGCTATCAAGGCTACACCATCGCAACCTTGTGTCTCTGATTGGATACTGTGATGAAGAGGGTGAACAGGTAACTTTTAACAGTTAAAAAATGTAAACTATAATAATTTTTTTATAGAAGTTTTATTTTCCACAAGTCCTATTATACTGTCTCATGTTTATTGATTTGATTCCACTAGGCTATGGTTTGTCCTAAAGTAAGATATTGATTAAAACTAATATTAAAAATACAAGAAGTGCTAATAAGACGTTGACACATAGGTTAAAATTGATTGAAAATAACAAAATCATGAGTGGAACTCATTAAATGCCAAGTTGAATTCACAAAATCTGGTAGTTTTCAATAAATTTCAGCTAATGTGTTGAAAAGGGTGTTGTGCTAACATTTTTCTGAATACATTTCATTAAAATGAGGGAGTAAGTTTGTAAAACAGCTTGGCATGAAACCTGAATAACTTTAAGTAGAAGAAGAAATACACAGCAGCAAAGCACAACTACGTCTATTCTTTGAATCTAAAGGCAATGGTTATTTTGATACTTAATTATGACCTAACTTTCTTTGAACTATAACTAGGGAAGTTAGGTAAATCCAAATACATATTCTTTTGCTTATTCTCCTTTCAAAATATTTTGGTTCTATTTCTCCCTTGAATCCTATTTCCTTTTCTGACTAGTTTATTTTTTCTCTTTGGCTTGTTTCTTTGTGCTTGCAGATGTTGGTTTATGAATATATGCCAAATAAAACTCTTAGGGATCACCTTTCTGGTATACTGTTGCTCTTATTATCTAATTTTCTGTATTGTCTATTAACTAATTAATGTCCATTACATTTTACTGTTTTCTGTATTTCATCTATAAGTTTTCCTCGCTCTTTCTGGTTCCAATTTGGTTTGAAGTACAAAGAGACCAATGAAATACTTTTTATTTTAAATTTAATAAAAGTTTCCTCCCTTTCTATGTCTTAATTATGTAGTTAATGATTTATGACAGTTCATTCAAAAGAAGCTCTTAGTTTTTCTCTGAGGTTGAAGATTGCTCTAGGATCAGCAAAAGGTCTTTTATATCTACACACAGAAGCTGATCCTCCAATATTCCACCGAGATGTGAAGGCCAGCAATATATTATTGGACTCTAGGTACACAGCAAAAGTTGCTGATTTTGGACTTTCAAGACTTGCTCCAGTTCCAGATACTGAAGGAAATGTACCTGGTCATGTATCGACAGTAGTAAAGGGGACCCCGGTATGGTTTTCACTGGATTTGATTTCGCTATAATTGAGCATGTGTTTTAGGATAAGATTAAAAATCATATCAAGTATGAGACAGCATTCTACAAAATTTAAAAAATTAAGATGTAGAGAGATGCATTATTCAAGTATGGCTTAAAGATTGGCATATTTCTTTTGGAAAAATAAAGGGGCTTTGGAATTTGAAGTGCTGGTGCAGATGAAATGAAAGTATTGAATCTTGAGTAGCGAGAAAATAAGAGTTAGGAGGCCATCATTTGCTAAAAAAAAAATTCTTTAACTTAAAAATACTTTTTGACTTTCTACTACATGAAAAAATTCTTCTTTACTGGATATGGATATTTCTTGTTGAATATATATAGAAAACACAGAATTTAGGAAACTTTTTGCATATTAAACATGAGAAAAATGAATTCAAGGTCCTATCTAAGTCTAATCTGTCAGTTTCACCTGTTATATGACGGTTGTAACTGACCCAATTTACAATGTTAACAGTATTATAAGTAATGAAAAGATGACAAACTGAGTCTTGTGAAAGAAACAGAGCAATCACCTCTCACATTTCCCATACTAACTGCATATTCCATATTTAATAAATACTTCCCTCTATTCACACTTAACAGTCAAGTAGTGTTTGTAGATTGTAATTTGCACTATACTGTTAGAGAGAATTATAAATAATTTTTTGGATTTTCGAAACCAAAATCGACAGATGTATCAAACTAAGTAATTGGAAATTATTTCTTTTATATATTGGTTAAGGTTGATTTTATCCGTTCAATGATTTAGTTTTTCTATCATGCAGGGTTACCTTGATCCAGAATACTTCTTAACTCGTAATTTGACTGACAAAAGTGATGTTTATAGTCTTGGTGTTGTATTTCTGGAACTTTTGACTGGGAGGCCACCGATCTATCATGGTGAAAATATTATTAGACAGGTATGTTATGGTTTCTCTTCTTGACAATTTAATCAAGGTAAATTGAATCAACTTCTTATTTTAAAAGGTTATCGCATTTAACTTTTTTATAGACTTTCTGCATAAGGATTAATTCATTTCACCTTCTTATATTCTTTTTCTGTAAGTGCTTATGAAAAGTTTATCCAAATAAGACCTAAATGTTTCGTTTCTTTCTTTTTTCTTTCAGGTTAATATGGCTTACCGATCTGGTGGAATATCTTTGGTTGTTGATAAACGTTTTGAGTCTTATCCTTCAGAGTATGCAGAGAAATTTTTGACTTTAGCCTTGAAGTGCTGCAAAGATTTACCAGATGAGAGGCCTAAAATGGCAGAAGTGGCAAGAGAGCTTGAATACATGTGTTCTATGTTACCCGAGTCAAATACCAAGGGACCTGAATATGTTGCAAGTGATTCTTCTGGTACAATATTCAGTTCACAACCTTCATCATCTACTACAAAGACTGCTTTTATTTCAGGAGATGTGTCAGGCAGTGACCTTGTCAGTGGAAGTATACCAACCATCAAGCCAAGATAGAAGTTGAGAAAACATATATTCTTTAGAAAATATAGTTGATTGAACCTGAGAATGTCAATTAAAACCTTGTGAGTTGGACAGCCAAACCAAATTTACTAATTTTCATTGATTCTTTTGGTGCTACTTGTTGTATGATATATTGAGAAAGGATTGGAGTGTTAGTTATAAAATATCAATTTTGTAACAGAGAGTGGTTTGTGATGGTCCATTCCAAGTACTTCTGAAGTACCAATCACATCATTTTTTAGGCTATAAGGATTTGAGAAACTCATTCTCAAAAGCTAACTAAGTTGAAATACTCCACTGAAAAAAAAATAAAAATTGAAGAGCTCAGGTGTGCCACCATTCGTCTGAAGATCAGAGCGACGTGATAGACCCATCCATCACAGTTGACACAATTATCGTCACAGCTCTGCACCAGCCGGGAATCGAACCCGGGTCTGTACCGTGGCAGGGTACTATTCTACCACTAGACCACTGGTGCTGTTGATAATTGTATGCTATGTAATATTAAAGACCTTACACTTTAAATTGATTTGATTTCAATATCTTGCGTTCTAAAAAAATATTATGTGAATATAAAAATCCAATTCCTCCAAACAAACCCATTAACATAAAAGTTTACATGCTTCATAAACATTTTTATAATTTATAATTTTACACGCGTTGTTTTGTAGCAACTTGGATATATGTAAAAGCAAATGCAAATTAGGAATGACAAATATATCGATTTTGGATGATGTATAACACCACCGATTGTGCTAAAAATATGTTCCATTTTTGTAGAATTGATATTAGTCAGATCAAATAAAATAATTACCCAATATTCGATTGATTAAAAATATTGTAGTGGTGATTTCATTCAGAAAGAGACCTTTTTCTTCACCTATATTCCTCGTTACTTCTATTATTAAAAATATTATATTCAATTTTTGAAGTTTAAATGCTAATAACTTCACGATTTAGTCTATCATAAATATAATAATTATCAAGTGGATAATTGACCTTCTATAAGTTATTTCAAATATATATTCACCAACTTGAAGTCGAAGTCGAGTAATTAGTTCCGATTTTTATTTTTATTTTTTAAATTGAATATCATTCTTCTTCATTGGATTTTTTTGTGTACTCTTCATTTGGTACTTGGTACGTATATGCATGTTAATTTAAGAGATAACTATGCTTTTAGTCTCTAAAAATTTAAATTTTAGAAATATTAATATGACTTTTTTTTTATAAATTAACTTATTGTAAACTAATATCAGTTAATAAAAATACTTTTTTTTTATATTTTCTTTCTCTAATAGGAATTTATTCAAATAGGGAACAATATATTTATGATTCCATCATCTTTGGAACAATTATGGACTCCTTTAATTCCTTAAAATACGAATTAAAGAGATATTCTTCCTTACACATAGATTTGATGTTTTGATGGAATATTTAATGAACATAGTTATTTGTCAACCATTTTGTACAAGTACAACATGTTGATTTTAAATTATTTGTACGTACATTTGACATTGTTAGCGTAAAATAATGTGAAATTCAGTATTAAAAATTAGCATCACTAATCACCTTTTTTTCTCAACTGGATACCAAAAAATAACCTAATTCATTATTTCTGTCAATATCAATCAATTTATTCTTAATGGATTGATTAAGTCCCTAATATTACAAAAGAGATTTGACTTTTACTATACACCACTAATGTTGAAAAACATACATGGTGAAATTTTCTTAACATCAAAGATGATCAATGGTAAATTTAGATGTTGAATTCTAAAGTCAGAGCTGGCAATGTTTTAGAGTTTCTTAATATAAGATATTTTATAGTTTTAATAAATTTAATTTTTATTTTCCTATGCTCTTATTAAAACATGTGTTATTATTAATTGATTTAATGATGAATAATAAAGAAAATAAAAATAAAACAATAGTATATAATTAATGAAATTATAGTTGAATTAATTAATTTTATTTAAATTATCTTTTAATAAAAACAAGAGGAATAATATATATTTGATAACTTATATTTTTAAAGAAAATACCATATTATATTAATAACCTCATTCTATTTGACTCGACAAACCTAAGTCAAGAGACAAACTCCATCAGAGAAAAACTCTTTTTAATATCATTTTAATTACCTGTTGTTGAAGAATAATAATAATTTAAGTCTTAGTATTATAAATAACTATTATTTTAATTTCTAAAATTGTAAAATAAACATAAATATTCGACCTTGATTACTTCTATTAATTTGAACTCTTTCTAATTTCTTTTCTTGTTAATTCAGTATTACTGCTGTTTACGCATGCAAGTTAATTTGTTGAAGACGAAGCCACACTGACGAAAGTGATGGCCTTCTTCAACAACGAAACTCTCAATCCTCGTTTCATTGGCGACCAAGTCCGAAGTTTACCTTTACCACACTATCTATGAAGTTTTCAATGCTGTTACACTCTTCCTATATTATAATCCACATCTTGCTTCTCTCATCAATCGTAACATTTGCTGGCAAGTTATTACAAGCATTTTGCATTTGACTTCTGTTGTGGTGTTCTTCCAGCAACAGCTTATGATCTGTTTCCGTCCTAGGGTAAAACCATCTTAAACCATTCTTGTCTGGTTTGGTAGCTGCTGCATGTGTTTAACATCTTGAACTGCAAGTAAGAAAAAAAAAACTGCAATCTGAATATCAGTATATAACTATGCACCTTGTAATAAGCGTTTGATCAACAATATGCATACATATGGGGTTGTTTTTGGAAAAGGGTATTCATATAACTATATTCTACTTTAGTTTGATAGCTGCTGAGCTTTTGAACTATGTAAAGAAGAATAAAAGGGATTCATGATTGTTTCTAACTGGTTTTGTTGTTACCAGGGCAAGAAAATCACTTTGCTGAGTTGAGGAGAAATATTGAAGAGGTTTTGGGATGTATCTTTCAAAGGGATGTAAGTGTGAAGAAGCTGTTCTTCTTTGCTTGTGTTTCTACTGCTATTTCCTATTAGCTGCCGGTGGCATCACTGATCCCACTGAAGGTATACTCTTTATTTTTTTGTCATTGAATTTTCATTAAATAGTTCAAACTTATGAAGTTTATTATAGTTATTCCATTTGACAACATTTTACAATATATATATATATATATATATATATATATATATATATATATATATATATATATATATATATATATATATGATGAAAAGCACGAATATTAATAAAAAATATTTTAAAATGTTATAAAATTGTATGTTATATGTTAAGGGTCATTTTCAAAATTAAATGTAAATTTATAACAATTTTAATATAATTAACTATTTTTATAATTCTTATAATCAGCTAATTGAATTCAGGTAGTTTCCTTTGCATTAATATATCAGTTAAGTTACATATTATATTTTTGAACTATTATAGTTTTAAGGACTTTCAAGTACGAAATAAGTGATTTCCCTTTATAAAAGTTTAATAAATAGAGTAAGAATGATAAGACTTTCCCCAAGTAGATTTTTACATTTAAAAAAATATATACATAATTAAATCAAAGTTATTTAAAATTAAAATTTAAAACAAGAATTGTCGAGAAAGACAAGTTTAATATTTTAAGAGTAGAATAATTACTCAACACATGTGTAATGATGTTTAATATGGAGGATGGTTATGAGCTTTCACAGTTTTTTATTCAAAATATGAGATTTCATTCGCATTGTCATGCAGTTGATGCATTAGGAATCATAAAGGGAAGTTTGATTGATATTAATGGAAATTTGACCAACTGGGGTGATGGAGACCCATGTACATCTAACTGGACAGGGGTTATGTGCTCTTATACAACATTAGTCGATGGCTATCTACATGTTCAAGAACTGTATGACTTCAATCCTCCACTTCAAATTTATTCTGCTGTATATAAGCCATGTTAACATGTTTAAGTGTTCATTTTCTTGCAAGTTGACTTTTTATTTCTTTTTTGAACCTTCTATATCTTCCTGTAGGCATTTTCTGAAGATGAACTTGTCTGGAACTTTGGCACCAGAGATTGGCCGCTTATCTTATCTGCAAATATTGTAAGGCTGTAGCTGCATTGATGTTGCTAATTAGATATGAATATTGTCAATTTTGCAATTGCTAGATTCCACAGTTTTCCAAGATTATAATGGATTTGATTCATTTGGATATTTCCATAAGCCATTCTGTAGCAGCTTGCAATTAGTTTCTTCCAATAATGCTTTCAATTTAAATTCTTTAAAGGGACTTTATGTGGAATAACATTACTGGGAGTATACCCAAGGAAATTGGCACTATCGGTCCTTTGAGACTCATGTAAGTTGATATGAATTGTTCTTCTTGGCCCGAATGATTTAGTAACTTTGTAGTTTTGTCATCTTAGTACTTCTGAGTCATTTTACTCATATTAGTGCATGAAACAGACTTGCCAAAGGACAAGTTTCTGTAGATAAATATTTTTGAAATGATTGCATAAATAAATGCCCTGTAATTTTGCAGACTCCTGAGTGGAAATCAATTGACAGGTGAGTTACCAGAAGATCTTGGCTTTCTTCCGTCCCTGTTCAAATTGCAAATAGATCAGAACAATATCACGGGACCTATACCTTTATCATTTGCAAAACTAAGCCGCACTGTACATTTGTAAGGTTCTCTATAATGATACTTCACTTCAAAAGCTTGTCACTTTACTTGAATTTTTTGTTTCTCTACCTTGGTTATTCTTTCTCAAGAAATGAAATAAAAATAATGGTTTCCCTTACTGGAGCAGTCACATGAACAACAATTCACTTAGTGGGCAAATACCACCACAACTTTCCAGCTTAGGAAGCCTTATTCACCTGTAAGTTATTTATTTGATATTGGTGACATGATTGCAGTTATTACAATATTTTTCTTGGTTTTATTCAATCATTCACTGTCAAGCCTATATATTGTTGACAAGATGTATTTCTGAACTTGCAGCCTTCTTGACAACAACAACTTAACTGGAGATCTTCCCCCTGAGCTCTCTCAGATGCCAAGCTTGAAGATTCTGTATGATTTATTATCTGTTACATGGTGTATGCATGTCTTAAGCTCGTCTGCTTTTCGTTTTGTTTTGGATGAATAAGACACATGCTCTTTATAAAGTCGATAACATTTCAGTTTGCTTCCGCTTGGTTTGAATATCTGTTGGTCGTTCAATTTGTTTTGAGTTGAAAATAATATTTTAAATATATTAGATTTATTTTGATTTAAATAATTATGATTGATATATTATTCATATTTGATATTTTGTTATATTTTATTTTATGTATATAAATAGAATATATGAATAAAAAAAATATATCCATCTTTCATATATCAAGAAATACAAATATTAAAAAACCCTAAAAATGAGTAACTTAACTGATAATATTAACATATATTTAGGCCAAAGTGATAAGTTTCAGAGACTAACGTGACAAGATTAGTTATTTTCAACTGAAGTGATGATTTACTCTAGTATTAAATATGTATGTTTCAACCAAATACCTATTGGAATTCAGAACTGCAAAGCCTTTGCCTAATTACAAAAACAGAAGAAATTTTCACAGTGTGATCCAACTATTGTTTTGGTTATAAATCAGTATTACAAAATGAAATTCTAGTGTTAAATAGTAAAATAAGTAGTGAATACTTTGCCGACGGTTCCACATATCGTAATTTGTATCACAATAATGGGTTTAGTACTAGAAAGTTGCCATTTTTGTCACTGCAAAAGTTTTAGATTCTTTTATGTTTGTTGCTTTTACAATATGAACTGAATTAGTATGTATTCCATACTTTGTGATTATATTTAAAGTATTTCATGGATCTTCTTGTTTTTGCAGTCAACTTGATAACAACAACTTTGGTGGAAATATTCCAGATTCTTACGCAAACATGTCCAAATTGATAAAACTGTAAGTTCATTGTGATCCCTTGATTATAAGTATGTTTACTGTACGAAATGACTTAAGGTGCTGAGAATCTTTCTGTTCTCATGTACAGAGGAATTTCAGTTAAACATTAGCAATGAATTTAAATATAAAGGTCCAAAAATTTAAATATACAAAGTTATGGATATTTTTGCCTGGAGATGATAGTTAGAAAGTTGATTACCCGGTTGAGTACCAATTAAAAGAAATTAATGTCATACTCATACATGTAATTTTTTGAATCAATTACTAAACATGATCTTCTTTATCTTGTGTTCTTCATCTTATAACATTCAATGAGAAATTGTTAGGATATATGACAGTGAATAAGGGCACAGTCAGTTCGTCGCTTTTAGAAGGGATTGGTTATAAATGAGAGCAAATTAGATTCCAGGGATTCATTCTGTGAAATTTGATAGTCTAAACCCTTGCTTGGATCTCTCCACTGCTCTGTACTTTTTTCGTTCAATCAATGGTATCATTTTTCTCTTTGTACATATATGTTGTTATTCGTTACTTGATTCTATCAGGAGTCTTAGGAACTGCAGCTTGCAAGGACCAATTCCTGATTTGAGTAGGATACCAAACCTTACTTTAGTGTAAGTTATCTCATTTTTATTCAACTCAGTTTATGCATGGATTTTAAGGTTCTAAAGAGATGTGTCTGCACCTGACATAATGATGTACTTGTTCAAAAGACAGTAGTACGTCTAAGACTCTAACGGTTTATACTGATTGTTGTTTGTGTATACTCCAGTGACCTCAGTTTCAATCAGTTGAACGGGTCAATTCCAACTAATAAACTTTCAGCCAATATCACAACCATGTAAGAACCTCTATTTCTTTTAGGGATTACAGATCTAAGGGTCTCAAAGTCAATTATTTAGTTTTGCAACGTGGATATTCCTCTTATGTTTATTGTTTTGGTGTGGTAATCTTCAAAATATGATTATAATGATTTCATATAATTTTACTGCTTGACCTCTGAAGCTTTTTGCAGTGATTTATCAAACAATAATCTTATTGGAACTATTCCATCCTACTTTTCTGGCCTTCCAAATCTTCAGAAGCTGTAAGTTGTCTTCTTTTTTTCCCTCATCCTTTCTTCTCCTAGAACAACCAGCATTGAATGCCATAAACCAAACGTTATGAATTATTTAAGTTTATCTGACAAATCTTATGAGGTATTCGTATTCCAAATCAATATATGTTTTTAATTTCTAATTATATGAACATGCTGTAAAATCAATGAATTTTGAACATTTGTCTTTGTCTGACAGGTCAATTGAAAACAATTCATTGAATGGCAGTGTTCCTTCAACAATTTGGCAGGACAGGATTTTAAATGGATCAGAAATGCTTCGCTTGTAAGTCATGAAATGATAATTGGGCAATTTTCCTCTTGTACATGTACTTGGGAGCATGACTATCTGTGTCTTTTTTCCTTTTCATCTAAAAGAGCTGGTGAATGGGGAGCTGAATTAATTGAGGGTACAGGTTAATGTTAATATGCAAAGAGTTGGAATATTCTTAAACCCGCCACGTAGAAGAATTAGTGTTGGTTAGGTTGTTAAGCTGAGACAGTTGGAGTAAACTAATAAATCATGTTTACGGTAAATAGAAAGAGGCATTGAGATGATAAGTTGGTAAATTAGTAGTAGGGAGAGTTATAAATCTCTGGAATATGAAGGAAATTTACTATTCTGTGTATTAACACTTTGGACTATATCGACATTAAGCCAGGATAGGGAAGTAGGCTTCATAAGTAAGACTCATACTTTTACTCAAAAATCTGATTTTGTTCATTCAACTGCCATCAGAGCCTTGCCCAGGATCCGTGGGAGAATCCTTGGAAACAACAATCATGAGAAGGAATAAGAACTACTGAGAAGAGTGAAATTTGTTTGAGGTGCAGTTTTCTTAACAAGGTGTACGACTTACAAGAGTGGAGAAAAAGGTGGAAATATATATTTTCATGGGAAAAGAGGTACCAATTTTGAACAATAAGAAAGATCTGATGTTGGAGGAAGAACATAAAAACGAACATCAGAGAGAGGCAAGAGGTAGAACTGAGGCTAACTATTGTGCACAACAAAAAAGGTGTATCAGGGTAGCTGCAGAAAGAAGGGGAGGCCAAGCACAGCAACTCCAAATTAGAAATATTGACTGTAGAAGGGAAGGAGTAGAATTGGAATTACAAAAAGCTGTTGAATTTTTCTCAAATAAATACTTTTTCTATCCCAATTTTACTAATTATACTAACTTTCTTTCTTTTTGATTTATTTATTTTTTCTTCTACGAATACCTCTAAGCTTACAAAAACTACAGAAACAAGGGTGGGGTAAGAATCTGGAAGGTTAAAATTATTTTTCTTATCTATTAGTACTGATCCATGATGCAAATTTGTTGAACAATATGTTGTTGTAAGTTCTTAATGGATATTAAATGTTTATTGAAGATCTTGTAAGAGTATTAAGTAGAATTCATTTGAAAATACAGAAAATATCGTTGAAGGTAATACAGAAAATAAGAGAAGAAAAAAAATAATCAAAACATAAAACAAATTCCAAATTATCTTTCTCCAGGTCTAATGTTTTTACCATTCTACACCATCTTAGAAAGTATAATAACAAGTGGCTACAGTTTACAATGGAGACATGGGATTTCAACATCTTTTATTTTACATGTTAGATTTTTTTAGGACAATATCAGGCCAGTGAATGGGATATCAGACAGTTATATAAGAAAATATGACTTTTTTTCAACAAATTTGTAAGTCTTTTTCATTCACTCAATTTCACGATTTTTACTCAACGTGGAACTTTAACACTTAAATTCCAACATAACAAAGTTGGGGATCACAAATATTTGTGTTTGACCTAGAAGAGACCAAAGCTCTTCTGGTTAAGGTATACTGACTACACATAGGAAGAGGAATTGACACTAGTAGATGGTCAGTTGTATATATATGTCAGTATTGTGTAGGTGAGTCCTGTAATTCTAAAATATCCAAGGAATTTACTATTCTTTGTGTAGTTTTGGTACTATACCCACGTTGGGGTGGGACAAGGAACTAGCCTCATTAATGATGATTCATACTTTCACTTACAAATTTGATCAAATGTTTTCTCGTGTTTGTTTTGTTATGATTTTTTTAACATTTGTATAGGTGCTACTGAATTTTGTTGTTCAGATCTGCTCAGCATAGGTGTATGATCTTGCAGGGACATGCAAAATAATCAACTTACAAGCATATCAGGCAGTATAAATCTTCCTCCAAATGTCACCCTCTGGTATGTATCTGAACTTATTTTGCAGTTACACTGATGTAATTAGGGTAGTCCAGACTTGGAAATTCTACCTTTGTTCAGTTTGTAGGTCAAAGCTTACTGAACAATACATTTGATTCCATCTTTTAGGGGTTACTTTTCTCATTATTATTTGAAAACATTGTTGATAGAATCACATGATTCGAAATTCAATTTTCATGAATCAATAAGAATTAACAAGTCAACAGTTTATATCAAGTGGTGAATTGCAATTCACTTTGAATCATGCTACACACATGATCGATGGAATTCAGTATCATGGATATAAATTACATGATCAATGATTAATGAATCATTTTTACCTACTGATACCATAAAATTTAAGGAGCTTCAATTGATAAATAGACAGGAACCGAAGGAATACCAATGCACCCTAATTTGTTATTCAATTGCTCTTATTTCCATTTTATGAAATAAGGGCTTCACACAGTCACTCACTCGCTCTATGCACATTATTTATTTTCCAGGTTCTCAATATTCATTCTCTTAAAACATAGGATTCACACAGTTACACACTCACTCTATTCTCCGTTTGGCTTTATCATTTCCTGGTTTTCATTTTGTCTTAACCCACTACATATAACTTATTTTGTTTCGAGTTAGTTTGCCAATTCCTAGTTTAAAATCATTACATTGAACGCTATACTCATTTATATCAGTAAATTTCTAGTTATTTATTTTGTAGTATCCCTGAAAAGTATGATTCAATATGTTTATAATTCAAGATTATAATCACTTTAACAATTCACAATTTATATGTGAATTGCGATTCAATAACTGTATTTGAAAGTTACCATTTTTCAGGCTTGAGGGAAATCCTATGTGCACAAATAATAACACCTTAGTTCAGTTCTGTGGACCTAAAAGTGACAGTAGCACCAATGGTAACTTCAGTGTTAGCTGTCCCATCCAAGCATGCCCCCCTCCTTATGAATCCACCGTGGACTGTTTCTGTGCTGCCCCTTTGATTGTTGATTATCGATTAAAAAGTCCAGGATTTTCAGATTTCCTCACCTACATGAGTTACTTTCAGAGCCACTTGTCAATTAATCTTAAAATAAATATTAATCAACTCTATATCGACAATTTTGAATGGGAAGAAGGTCCTCGGTTGGGAATGAACTTGAAGATTTTTCCTATATATGTTGATAGTAACAGCTCTCATGTTTTCAATAAAAGTGAGGTTCTTCGGATCAGAGACTTGTTCATAGACTTTAAACTTCCAGGCAATGACTTCCTTGGACCTTATGAAATTCTAGACTTCATTCTCCTGGATCTCTACAGAGATGGTAAGTCACAGAAACTTCTTATGATCAGATAGTGTTTAGCGGAAGTTGGACACTAAACAATACAACATCGGTTGCATTCTTGTTAGGTGGTTAAACATTATAGTATCAATTTTAAGTTTCAGTCTTATTAATTGAATTCTCTACTATAGTTCATGTCTCATCTTTCAAAGTTTGATTAAAACTGTGAAACTAAATTTTGCTTTAATTCTATTGCTATTTGATGTGACTGCTCCGAAACAGGGGGTACACATCATTTTGTCAGCATTTCTCTACTCATGGTATTCTGGAAAAGTATTCATCTTTTGGTTGCTTCTCAATTTAACTTTTATTCATTTTCTCAGTTTAGTCCTTTTGAGATACCATGACAATTAAACGACACTACTGTACTATGATAAGTAAGCATTGAACAATTGAGATGTAATGACTTGTTCATCATTATATTCTTTGTTGCTGTCAAGTTAAGAGTTTAAACGAATCCAGTTAATATTGGAAAGTTAATGCTCTACCACTCGTCAATGATGAATGTGCTGCTTCATAGTGTGATCCATAGCCATCTATATATAGAAAGACATATTTTTGAATTGTTTTATGGTTGTTCTCATACTTCTTATGTTGTCATAGTGAGTGTTACCTCTCCAAGTTCAGGGATAAGCAAAGGTGCACTTGCTGGTATAGTCTTAGGTGCAACTGCTTTTTTGGTTACTTTATCCGCAATTGTCACCATTCTCATACGGAGAATACGTTTGAGAGATAATCGTACACCTTCCAAACGGCCAAAAGGTGAGTACCTTAAAGTGAATAACCTAGCCTATTATTATTATTATTCCTTCTTTTTGACTTGCTTCAGTGCTCTTGCTCTGTCACAATCAGAAATCTAGATGTTACTGCTCATAATTTTATTTTGAATGAACCATATTATAAATTTGATTACGTTTATTATCATTCAGAATAGTCAATGTTCTCATGTTAACCTTTTGGGACTGTTCCTGGCATTCAGAATATTCAATCCATTCAAAAGTATAATGAACGTTCTTACAAAAAAATATGAACGTGGATAGAACAAGAGTAATTCACGCAACTGATTCAATTATTGAACCTGTATACTATCCCAAAGTAATGTGACATTATACTTAACATTCCACTTCTTTTGGTCCTTTTTTACTTGGACTTTATTTAATTGATGAACAAGATGGAGGTGCTTAGTGCAACTTTTGTGATAATTGATAAAGTTAGGTGATAATACCAGTATTTTTTTACTTGTTATGAGCTATGAACCTGGGAACAGATAAGGATAAGAAGGTGCAAACACCCCTCCACTGCACTCTGCCCATACATGTTAGTTATGTTGTCAAATGTAAAAAAAGTTTGAACCCCGGTTCAGATATTCATCCAAGAGCACTATTGATTTAGCTTACACTTCTCCTAAATTTACTTTTTCCTAATTTATTTTTATCATGAAACTTTAAAATCACCTGCTTTCAGCTAAATTTACTGTCTTCCTGTTTTGTACTTGGAGTTTTGAATGAAAACATTATTACTATAAATTTTACAAATGCTAAGCATATCTACTTTGTTGTTAACTTGTCAAGAATGAGCTGATCAAGATACATCTAAAGCATAGGCTTTTATTTGTTTCACAGCATCTAGTATCTCAATAAAATTTGAAGGTATAAGATCATTTGATTATGAAGAAATGGCTAGCGCAACAAACAATTTTAGTAACTCTGCTCAAATTGGACAAGGAGGGTATGGGAGTGTTTTTAAAGGTCTTCTTCCTGATGGCACTGTTGTTGCCATAAAACGTGCACAGGAGGGTTCACTGCAAGGTGAGAGGGAGTTCCTTACAGAAATAGAACTGCTATCAAGATTACATCACCGCAACCTTGTGTCTCTGATTGGATACTGTGATGAAGAGGGTGAACAGGTAACTTTGTCAGAAATGTAAACACAACAGAACTTGTTATAGTAAAACTTCAGTTATCTTTAATTTCCATAACTCAAACACCCTGTTGTCTTGAGTTTGTTGCACGAGGATACGGTTAGTACCAAAAATAGGATGTTGATTACAACTTACTGAAGATATTTCATTGTTAAAATGATGTAAATGCGTAGAAATACTATCCCTTAAATTTTATTTCATTCTGTGACTGGTATTTTTTTTCATCTGATTTATAACTTTGGGCTTTGTAGATGTTGGTTTATGAATATATGCCAAATGGAACGCTAAAGGATCATCTTTCTGGTAAATCATGCACCTTTGTATCTAATTTGCTGCATTATCTGTTAACTTATTTAGCGTCAATATCATTTTATCATTCATTCTGTCATGAAACAGTGTTGTTTTACCTGCATAAGTTTCCCTTGCTCTTTCTATTCCTATTTTGTAGTACAAAGAGACTTTTATTATTTTCAATAGAAAAAACATGCTTTTCTTGTTATCTCTCTGAACTCTGTACCTAATGTTTTATGACAGCTCATTCAGAAAAAACACTTACTTTTTCCATGAGGATGAAGATTGCTCTAGGGTCAGCTAAAGGTCTTCTGTATCTACACAATGAAGTAGATCCTCCAATATTCCACCGAGATGTGAAGGCCAGCAATATATTATTGGACTCCAAGTTCACAGCAAAAGTGGCTGACTTTGGACTTTCACGACTTGCCCCAGTTCAAGATACAGAAGGAAACGTACCTGGTCATGTATCTACTGTGGTAAAGGGGACCCCGGTAAGGCTTTCATGACTGAGTTTAGTTTTCTGAAATTGAGCTGTTCATATTCAGGATAAAATTATAAAGTATGAAACACCATTCTACATTATTTAAAAAGAAATGTAGAGCAATGCATTATCCATCCATCTCACCTAACCTTTTTCTAGTTACTAGGATCAATTTCATCATATTCTCATGCCACTGCTAATTTCCAATGTCATCAATCTAACTTTTTACCTACAATCCTCCAATCAACTTTTTCCTTATTATAAGTTATCTTTTTTGGACGGTTGGGGAGGAAAAAAAATTAGAAATATGTATCTGTGTCTACTACAAGGAAACAATATTTACCTCCATGTTTTCAATATTTTCAATACCAACCACAGATTCCATAAATACCTCCCGGTTTGTTCTCTCTGAAGGTAGTGGGTGTTACCTCTACCTCTATCCGTGCTTAGCTGTACTATGAACAAATATGAAACATTAAAAGTATGGTTAGTTGCATTTTTATCTTCAAAGTATCAATTCCGTGCTAATTTCGTCCCCTATTAGATATGAATTTTGTTCTTCCATCATATCTTCATTAAATCCCATACAACACTATCACTTTCTGGTGGTTTTGAACCGTCCCTAGCGATTTTCATTTTCATCTGCTTTATCACCAGTCTACTAACACTTAGATTTAGTCATGTACATCTTAGTAGTAGTTCGTAGTATGCTCTATACTTTTAGAGAGAATTATAAAATAAATTGACTTTTCTGAACACAAAATAGAAAAGGCATCTAAATAATTGAAATTATTTTTAATAGTTAGGTTGATTTTTTTATGTGTTCAAATTTAAACAGTTTAATCTCACTGTTTTAAACTTGCAGGGTTATATTGATCCAGAGTACTTCTTAACTCACAAAATGACTGAGAAGAGTGATGTTTATAGTCTTGGTGTTGTCTTTCTAGAACTAGTGACTGGGCGGCCAGCAATATTTCATGGCAAAAATATTATTAGACAGGTAAGGTTTGGTTTCTCTTCTAGATTCTATTTCTATATTTCAGACATATCCTAAATGAAACAAAAAGTAGAAGTCTTCTTATATTTTTGCTGCAACAGTCATATAGTCCATGAGCTCATGTTGTTTTTCCTGTAGAAATGCAGTCATCTCAATAGAAAGAGGTCATATGACACTTTACAATTACGGAATTAAGTTTGTCAGTCTTTTCAGTTTCAACACTGGAGTTGTGTTTGTAATTAACTCTTAGCCGGACCTGTTTTAGGAAAACGAGGGTTTATTTCTTTCCTTGGCATATTTTGCAGAGCGAGGTTAAGCAATGATGCCTTCCCATCATTATTCTCATCCATTGACTTTCTGACCAATGTTTTGTAGCTGTCATGTTCAACCATTATCCTATTAATCAACGGTTTGGTCTAGCCAATTTCACGTGTTTGAAGAGATAATCATTAAGAGAAATTGTTAATGGGCTGCACCCTTGATCTCTAAGTTATGGTTTGATTACAGCCAATCAATCTGGTAACCAAAGAATAATTACGTGTTGTTTGGAAATAAAGCTTCAGGCTAATTATCAGTGGCTAACTTATAGCCTATTACCAACTAGTCAACGTACTACGTAGTACATTACATTGTAATTTCTGAGGTGTAAATGATGATATTTATTTAATATTTGTACTAGTCATAATAGTTACTTATGATTTCCATCTCTAATATATAGAGATAACCAAATTCTTAACATATTTGTAAATATTTTTTCTTTTTCAGGTTAATATGGCATACGAATCGGGTGGATTGTTTTCAGTTATTGATAAACGTATTGGCTCTTATCCCTCAAAATACATGGAGAAATTTTTGATGTTGGCCTTAAGGTGTTGCAAAGATGCACCAGAAGAGCGACCTAAAATGGCAGAAGTGGCTAGAGAGCTTGAAAAAATCTGTTCAATGTTACCGGAGATCAATGCTGTGGAAGCAGAATATGTGACAAGTGATTTTGGAAGAATGTTCAGTTCACAACCTTCATCATCTACAATCAGCAGGAATCCTTATGTGTCTGAGGATGTGTCAGGTAGTGACCTTGTCAGTGGAAAGATACCAACCATTAGGCCAAGATAAAAGTTGAAAAAGATCAGCTATTTTGAACAATAAACCACCACATATGTACTATTTTACAGTCATATTGTGTTAATATTTTTCTTGCTACCTGTTTTAGTGTTAATTGACAGAGAACTGGTTTGTAAGTTATTTTAGTGCTTTTCACTAATATGTGGTTGGTTATTTTGATGTATTCTTCAGAATAATTGATTGATCTATGTGGAGACTTTCTTTTACTGTAAATATTAGCGATCAATCAGGAAAGTATTATTCTATGTAAGTTAGAATTATTAATAAAATGAGGCCATTAAAGCACAAAATAAGGAATAAAAAATTTTCTCCTCATTTCTTGTATCTCTGTTTGACACATAGTAACTTGTGCAGTGGTCAAAGCACAAACACAACAAAATTGAAAAAGAAAACTACCCCTTTATCAATTCTATGCCTTACTTGGGAACTGAGGAAAGGATGAAATCCTTTACGTAAAATTGTAACTCCAGAAATCATATATTAATACTGTGTTTCGCGGTTGTTCCTAAATTTTGTTCTTCTTGAGATCATATATATATCTTGAGGTACGCTGCTGAATTCTTTTATTTAGCGTTATGTATTATTATTTTTCACTATCCAAACAACTATTACACAATCTAAAATAATGTTATATTTTGTGATGTAATATTATTTTGGATTGTCTTTGATTATTAAACGATGATTTTTTATTGTTATGCAATATAGTTGCTCTAACTTAGAGATACAAATAAACTAGATTGAACAAGATTTTGTTTAATTAATCTGACTTTTCTTAAAAAAATAATAAGACTCAATCATGATTTGTTACTTGTCATGGACGTTTTAGGCTTGACATTGTTTTTTAAAGTCTAGTTTGACTTCTTAACTACTTAAAAGTCCATTGTATTCAAAATCTTTTAGATAGGTAAAATTTTTTCCTAAATAGATTCATGTATTAGTAGGTTAATAGAGAAAAAGTTTATGTAAAATAGTTAAGATATAGACTATGAAAATCCAATCACTATACTCAATATATTAAACAGAAGTAGAATAAGTAGGTTAATTTTATTAGTAGTTGAACGTAGTTGTTTGATGCCTAACGTGTTAGTTTAAAAAAAAAAAAAAAAAAAAAAAAAAAAAAAACTAATTGGTTATATATATGACATAAACTGTTTTTAATGTTTACTACAAATTTCATGATAATTTATTTAAAATTTTTATTTTGTAATAAGGGTTATAAATATACAGTACATAATTTTCTTTCTAAGATAATACGTCACCGCCGTTGGTCAACATATTTAATAACTTAAAAAAGTAAATAAATATATAATTTAAATACCTTATATAATAAATAAAAATAATGCTAAAAAAATTATTTATATTTATTTAATTCGTATTATTAAGTATTAAAAACGTTTAAATTACTTAAATGACACTTTAATAAAATAATATTTTAAAAATGTTTTGTACCTAATTTATTAAAAAAAAAAAATCAAATCTAGCCTACGTAAACTAGAAAATAGAGGTGTGTGTTGGATAACATAACTTATCTCCATTCCTTCTCTAACTTATGTACAAGCATTTTAGTTCTAACTTCATGAATGAATATATATAAAAGAGAAATAAATAAAATTATAGGTTAGAGATTTTAGTGTTACCAACAAAAACTTTCATATTCTTCCTAAAATGCTAACAAAAATCTCCAATTTCACTATCATCCCCTAACTCCAATTTTTCATGACTTGTGTGAAATTTTAGTGTTACCTCAAATTCACCAACAAATTCTATATATCTCTGCTTTGTTGCTCCTTAAATTTCTCAATCATATTTTCATAGTTAAAATGTTTTCTCCTGAAACGAAGTTCAAATAAAAAATATTCTTAACTAATTTAAAATTTTCCATTCAATTGTGCTCACAAATGAAGTAAAATAGGAGTTTTATAATCATATTGTAAATAAATTCAGAAAGCAAATTATATTTTGTTATAAATATTCAATGTATTGTACAAATACTGTATTCACTTTGCTAATAACAGTTTTTGCTGATAGACAAAAAAAAAAAAATCAACCTGCAATAACAACTGCTTTTACTTTGTTTGTGAATACAACAACATCCATCAAATATATCAAAAAGACATATTTTTTGTTCATTTGTTTCCCTTTAATCGCATACTACTATTTTATAGCTAATAAAAAAGTGATAAACTCATTTATGTTAGGACTGTCCTTAAAATGGAGGATATATTTCTTTCCATTGTAACAAAGATTGCGGAATACATGGTGGATCCAATTTTACACCAAGCTAAATACTTGTGTTGTTTCAACAATTTTGCTTCGAATCTTCCAAATGCAAAACAACAATTGGAGATGACCCGAGATAGGGTGAAGGAGCGAGCTAAAGAAGCCCACAATAGGACTGAAAAACTTGAGCCAACTGTTGAGAAGTGGCTGGAAGATGTGGAGAATGTCTTAGAAGAAGTGCAACTGCTGGAAGGAAGAATATCGGAAGTGAACAAGAGCTATTTCAAAAGGCAATGTCAATATTTCCTTGCAAAAGAAATAGCAAGAAAAACAGAAGAAATTATTCAGCTCGATCGTAACAGCAAGTTTGAACCATTTTCCAGGATCACAGAACTTCCAGGCATGAAGTACTTTTCTTCCAATAATTTTGTTCTTTTCAATTCCACGGAAACAGCATACAAGCAGCTTTTGGAAGCATTAAAGGATAAAAGTTGTTCCATGATTGGATTAGTTGGAATAGGAGGCTCAGGAAAAACTACTTTGGCAAAAGAAGTTGGTAAAAAGGTTCAAGAGTTGAAACTCTTTGAGAAGGTTGCCATGGCAACGGTCTCTCAAACTCCAAGTATCACAAGTATTCAAGACCAGATTGCCGATCAATTAAATCTCTATTTAAAGGAAGCATCAGAGATAGGTAGAGCACAAAGACTATCTAAGACATTAAGGAATGGTACAACTCTTCTAATCTTGGATGATGTGTGGGAAAAGCTAAATTTTGAAGCTTTAGGTATTCCCTTCGATGAAAACACTAAGGGTTGTTGCGTACTCCTAACAACTCGGAGTACAGAAGTATGCGCTTTTATGCAATGCCAGAGTATAATTGAGCTTCATCTCTTGACTGACAAGGAAGCTTGGTCCTTATTCACATCGTATGCAAACATAACTGATGCGTACTCTGAAGCTTTGAAAGGCGTGGCAAGAAAAATTGTTAATCATTGCAAGGGATTGCCTATTGCAATTGTGACGGTGGGAAGCACACTTAGGGGGAAAACTATTGAGGAGTTTGAGTTAGCCTTGTCAAGACTAGAAGATTCCAAACCATTAGATATTCCAAGAGGCTTCACAAGTCCTCATGTTTGTCTTGAATTAAGTTATATTAATTTGACAAATCAATTATCCAAGTCTTTGTTATTGTTGTGTTCTATATTTCCAGAGGACTATGAAATTGATTTGGAAGATTTGTTTCGATTTGGAAGGGGATTGGGCATAACTGGGAAGTTTGGGACATTGGAGGAGGCAAGGAGGGAGATGCATGTAGCTATTACCAGCCTCAGGAATTCTTGTTTGTTGATGAATTCCAATAAAAAAGAAAGGGTGAAAATGCATGACATGGTCCGTGACGTAGCCTTATGGATTGCATCTAAAACTGGTCAAGAAATTTTGGCAAGTGCTAAAATGGATCCAAGAGTGTTGGTAGAGGACGAAATCATGAAAGATAAGAAAGCAATAGCCTTGTGGGGTTTGAAAAAAGATCAGGTACTTGGTGATTATAAAATAAACTGTCCAACACTTGAAATTCTCCTGGTTTGTGAAGAAGTCGGCTTCAATGTGTCAGATGCGTGTCTTGAAAGCTTGGAAAGGCTTAAAATCTTGGCAATCTTAAATTTACCATGGAGAACAAGATACTCAAAATCTACTTTGCCATTGCCTGTGTCATTAAAGTCATTACAAAATCTTCAAACACTGTGCTTGAGAGGTTATAAATTAGGTAACATATCTGTTTTGGAAAGCCTGCAAGCACTTGAGATTCTTGACTTGCGTGGTTCTATTTTTGAAGAACTGCCTATTGGGATTGTAGATTTAAAGAAGTTGAAGCTTCTGGATTTGTACTATTGTCAGATTGAAAAAAATAATGCTTATGAAGTTGTTGGAAAATGTTTGCGTCTAGAGGAATTGTATTTGTATTTCATCCAATTTGTAGATGACTTTCCACGTAATGTCTCTTTTTCCAGATTACAGAGGTATTCTATAATAATACAAGGTAAGTTTAGTATTTTGGAAGACTTTGTGCATAATAGGAGTATGGAACAACTCAGACCATCTAGAGCTTTATGCATAGAGAGGTTTCAAAGATTTATATCTCCGCTTAATGATCTCTTTATAAGAGCAGACTATCTTTATCTGAAGTACTTTGAGGGAGATTATCAAAATGTAATCCCATCCATGGATCCAAAAGGCATGAATCAGTTGATTGTCCTAAAACTCCATTCTTGTCCAGTGATAGAATGTCTGTATGACAGTACAATCATTAGAAACAATATTAATATGCTTCAAACTGAAGTTGTATTCTCTAGCCTTGTTAAGTTAAGGTTGTCCCAATTAGATAGCCTTCGAGAGTTGTTTCGTGATCCCAATTTCCGATGTTCTCTCAAAAATTTAGAAGAACTCCTGATAGCAGGTTGCAAACAATTGAACAACATATCATTTCCAAGGAACTCAAAGCTATGCAATCTCAAGTTACTTATAATAGGAGGATGCCCATTGCCAACTTCACTCTTCATGCCATCCGTTGTCCAAACCCTACTGCTGCTGGAGGTTCTTGAAATATCTTCCTGCACCTCATTGAGGCACATAATAGAAGAAGTGGAAGAAGGGAATGCTGATTTTTCAAGCACTCGAAATCATTCTTCTTTGACGTTCCCAAAATTAAGGACTCTTCTCATTGAAAGATGCGAGAAGTTGGAATATATATTCTCTGTGTTCTTAGCCCAAGGGCTAGTAAATTTGGAAAGTGTGAAAGTACTTAGCAACTCGAAGTTGAAGTACGTATTTGGCAGTGAAAAGGAACATAATTACCACTATCAGAGTTTCCAGCAGACTAATACTGGCAGAAATTTGCCTAATTTGGATACTCTCGAGTTGATGAACTTACCAAATCTGGTAAGCAATCATTTTAAACATGCAATTATTACATTTTACATTAATTTTTGTCCTCACGCGGACTTTCTTTTTTAACAATCTGTGCATCCATTGCTGCTTAGTTTCTTTTGATTGGAAATTCCATTATGTTGAATCATTACATGTAGCATACTAACAGTGAATATGTTTTGTATATAGGAGAATGAAATACTATGGTTGACTACAATCACATTCAACCAATTGGACGATCCCATGTTTTGCCCCCAATTTAAAGCTGTCCTCAAACTTAGAGTGCTTCGCTTGACTGATCTTAGAGTAAAAGGTCTCTTCCAATTTCAAATGGAAGAGCAAGGGAGCAATAGAGAACTGGCTCCCTTCAACTTGGGTATATCTGATCTAAAGTTGGTGAATCTTCCTAACCTCAACTTCATATGGGAAGGCCCCACTGTTTATCTTAGCCTCCAAAAGCTTGGTTCTATTTGTGTTAATGGATGTCCAAAATTGAAAATCATCTTTTCCACCACCATTGTTAGAAGTTTACCAATGTTGACCAGTCTGGTGATAACTAACTCTGGTGAATTGGCACAAATATTTGATATAGTGGATGCACAAGAACTCAAAAGCCTTTCCTGTTTACAACAAGTGTGCTTCCCAAGTCTCTCAACTATTTCCATTAAAAAGTGCAATAAGTTGGAATGGCTTTTTTATGATCTCTCTGCTACTCATTTTACTCATCTGACCAAATTGGAAATAGAAGAGTGCTCTCAATTACACAAGGTTTTTGCTTTTGAACATGAAGCTGATGGTGGTGGTGAAGAAGGAACGGGTAAGGTTGAAGAACAGGTACTACAGAAATTGAGAGATATAAGACTCAAAAATTTGCCAAAATTCAAAGAGATTCACCACGGATTTAAGTTAGAAGATGATGTTGAACAAACCCTAGAGGATTGTCCTAAATATTCTCCAAGTTTATATCTACATTCAGGTAAAATTCTCATGTCCTTTTTCTAGATACAGTTCCAATGTCTTTGGATTACAATGTTACTAAGTGAAATATATTTTATTAACAAGTTTGTGGTTAAATGTTGCTCGATGATGAAGTTCTGTCATATGGCTTTAAGGATGGAATTAATTAACATTCAATTTTTGTTTTTTGTTTCAGATATGTAAATACAGTGCTACAATTAAGTATGAAAAAAAAAAAAGCTATGTTTGAGGCAACTCTGATCTTGACTTGAAAAAGAATGCAGCAGTGCTTGAACTTATCACTCAAATGATCTCCATGTGCTGCAATCAATTTGACAGGTAACATTTTTCTAACATAACCATTTATCATACAGCATCACATAAAACAAATCCATCACACAAAAATAAAAATTAAAGCAAATAATAACATTGAGCAGAATCCGACGAATTCACTAGAGCCGTAACTCTATACACACCAAACAATTTCATTTCATAAAATATCATTATTTTGATTTTATTTAAAATACTAAAATAATTAAAATTGTCCAAACATTTAAGACAACGAAAAATAATATATTTTTATAAGTCTAAAGTCGTGTGGTTACACAGGTTCAATCTTCTTAATTATATTTTCTCAGATGTAATTATAGTTTCCTAATTAGTCAAATTATATCTTTTAACTCCAAATTTTATCCTGTAATTATGAAATAAACAAAATGAAACCTAACATATATACACAGAAATACAAAGATTTAAAAGTCATACATGCATCAAAGTTGATTTCGTGATTCCACCTGCAACTCATAACCTGTCTTTATATGCAAGGGCTTCTTTAGAGAACAGCTGCAGTTTATCAAGCTTGGCTATTGGAATCTCAAGAATCATTCAAATTTCTTTCCCAAGGCTTATTCCTATATAACTTGTCTGTAGTTTCTGTATCATAGTTATGTAATTAAAACAAACGAGTTACTTTCGTGTGAATGTTGTGTTAGGATTCAAGGTTATGAATGAAATATTTCCTTTATTCAATGTAAAAATATTTGGAGCAACATTTTATAAACCCTTTACTTGCGGTTTGTAGAAGAAACAGTTAAAACATCATGTAAATTCAATCTACTTGCACCTTTTATAGTTGAAAGCGTCAAGATAACACCTTGGATTCAAGTTAAAAGGTCACGCTGAAACCGATCATAAAGGATTGTTCTGAATACTCACCAATTATACCCGTTTGCAGGTAACATTCTCATCATAATCTCGTGTCCTATTTCTATGCTTTCAATAACAATGCTGAGTGAAATCCTATTTTATTATGAAGTTTTGTATTCATGACAAAGGTTTTGGAAACTATTCTTCTTGCTTTAGTTCTGCTCTAGCTATTTTCATTTTTCTTGTAGCAACTCGTGCAATTGCATGCTTCTAGGCACAACTAATGTGGGACATGTTTATCATTTGTTTGCACATGTTAGTAGGCAAGTGTCTGAAATTATGCTTCCCCTTACTGTAATTTCGGAGAGAAGATTTATCAAGCATTGCAATACTAAATTTTGTTTACTCGTAGAGAATCTTCTAAATTTCAATCAATCTTTTCTTTCAAATTAAAGTATTTTTCTAGAACTTTTGATCTACAAGCTTTTAACCTGTGTTCGGTTTTAGTTTCTTCAATCGGAATGGTTTGCATTTAGTTCTTTAGGTTTTCGAATTACGTCTCTATTTCAAAATTCCATCCAATAATTTACGCGAACGTGTAGCAAAGGTACAGCATGTCATTGTACAAAGATTTATGATCATTCGTTTGCCTCAATAAATGTAGTGATTTCAAGTGAAACTCACTCCTTTGGTTGATGCAAGGGCTTCTCGATCCAGATAACACGGCTCCTGATTGGCACCTGTGCTTTGCTCTTGACAGGTCAGGGAACGTTAAGTTTCTTCCCGATGTAGTGTAGTTCATTGGTAGTTTCTGTTTCACAGTTGTGTAACTAATGCAAACAAGTAACTTTCATGTGATGTCGTGTTATAGGAATCATTTGCTCTGTTCATGAAATTTGGAGCAGCATCTTTTGCAATTCTAGAACTAGCTTTTTATAAATAAAAAATATAAAATGTAAAAAAAAAAAAAAAACAGTAAAACCACAAATGTAAATTCAATCAACTTGCAGAAATTATAGATGGAAGTATCAAGGTTGCAATCTAACATACGCTTAACAAGGGCCATACAAAGAAGTTATCATAATATACTCCATACATGTCTGAAATACATATATCTGCTTTTAATAACAATTTTTTACTAGTCATAGCTCCAACATTATGCTTTCTTTCTGAAAAACTTCGGGGCTGGGTTTTTTCTAGCTTTCTGTAACGTACATGTGCTTGCTTCTTCAACTAGTGCAGCTTTCTCTAACTTGTTATCAGCATCCTGAACAAACCCTTTCTTCTTCTCTAACTTTGACTTCCTTGTCTTGTTTGACAGCTTTACAGACGCCTTTGGTTTCTCAGTTTTCAATTGCACTTTCCCTTTTGAATCCGCGGCAGCAGGAAGTTTATATCCCTTTTGTGTTTTTTTCTTAGAGATTTTAGTTTTGTTAGTTGAATTTCCACCCTGTTGTTTGACTTCTTTGTCAACTCTACTATCCAGCAGATGCTCCTGAGAACTCTCTGATTCTGTATTGGCATGGCTTGGCTTTTTTGTCTTGGATTCTGATTCAAGATTACATCTAGTTTTCGGTACTTTGGTTGCATGCATATTTCCTTCTTCCTCTGAAATATCCTTTCCCTTTTCTTCAACTATATTTGGGAATGCTCTAACAATATAAATCTGCAGCAATAGCATGTTAGGCTCATTATTTATTGTGAAACATAATAAACTTAGCAAGTTTACAAATTTTCAAAAGCTGATTTCAGACACCAAATAATAAAGCTGACTACATCTCCACCATGTTTGATGTGGTTAGGCTCATTAATAAAGAAGTTTGGAGTAGAATTAAAGCATGCGTTTGGAAGCATATACACTTATTTTCCAATCAATAAAAATGATAAATGGAACAGCATAAACTACAGAGTGAGATATTCAGTTCGATTAAGTAATCACTTGCAGTTGGGAAGGGAAATAATATCTTGTGAAATGTTAAGAAAAACAAGTAATGTTTAAGAGTTATTGTTAAGTGGTAAAAAGTTGATATAATTATGCTTTTAATTGTTATGAAATCACTTAATTTATGTTAATTCTAATCTATTTTTCTCCTAATATAAGATGAATTTGAGAAAACCTTGATACAAGAGCAAGGAACACAATTATCAACATATTTGAAGCAAAAACCGGAAGAAGGAAGAAGAATTTCAGCCTGGAAGTCGCTATTTTTCTCCTAATATAAGATGAATTTGAGAAAACCTTGATACAAGAGCAAGGAACACAATTATCAACATATTTGAAGCAAAAACCGGAAGAAGGAAGAAGAATTTCAGCCTGGAAGTCGCTCGAGTGGGATATATGCTCGCTTGAGCGAAAATCAGGTAAACTTCTCTGGAGCTCACTTGCTCAAGCAAGTCGTTTCTCGTTTGAGTGAAAATCAGGCAAACTTCTCTGGAACTTATTCACTCAAGCGAACCTTTTCTCGCTTGAGCGAAAATCAAGAACATTCGCTTAAGCGAATACTTTCGTTTGAGCAAAAGTCTCGGTCCAAAATTTTCCTATATAAAGAGAAGTTGTGTTTGGAGAAAGGGAGTTAGGTTTTGGGAGAGGAGGCGCAACTACTGCTAGGGTTTCATCCAATCTTCATCAATTCTTCATTTCTTCATCAATTAGAGTATTATAATGGCTACCATGAGTGACTAACTTCATTCTCTTGGGATTTGCTACACTTCCTTTGAACTTTTTTGTATGTTGGCAATATTTTTGAGATATTAATCTATGTTTTCATGTTGTTATTTTTATCCTTATGCTTCTGAATGTTTATTCTTGATGTTTGAGGTATGATTGAAAAATATATCTTGAACCCTAAATTCATGATAAGAATATTTGTTACGTTAATTACCAGGAATGGAATGAATGTATCAATTGCTTAACACCCTAAACCTAATGCTGGATAATCTCTTAAGTGTGTGAGGAATCAACATTTATTAGGTTTTCTTATGAATTTCATGTGTGAGGAATCAACATGGATGATTTGAGTAGGTGACATCAACATTGTTAGGTTAATTGATATTCTTAATTTGACCTAGTCATTGCAAAAGAGGGAAAAAGAAGAAAATCAATCCTAAGTGTTCTTAATTGATCTTTTTTAAATAATTTACTGTTCTTTGTCATTTAATTTTCATTGCAACTCTTAATGAAAAATATCTTTTGCTTTAATCCACTTAGTAAACATATAATTGGGAATTTTCATTGAAACCGTTCCTCGTGAAATCGACTTTTATTTAATCGAAATACTATACTGCAATTGATAATTTTGGTACGCTTGCCAATAATTCAACAGTTATAACTAGAGACAAAATCTCTAAATGATTAACACTGAGAACTTTTGAATTTTGATGAAGCTACCAAAGGTGCAAAAATATGTAATACTGCAATTCCAATTTACCAAATCAAATACTCATTCAACTAACCAAAAAGATTTCACACTAAGTGTTGTGAAAAACGAGTGAAGTTGAGTGAGACAAAACCTCTAAATTATTAAAACTTTGAATTTCGATGAAGCTATGAAAGATGTGATTAGGAAAAAAAAAACTGGGGGATTATCATTTTCCCTTAAGGATTTGATTTACTTTTCATGCACTGGTTTAAATACATCTACTTCCAGCAATTCTTTATCACTTATCTTTCCAATGTGATTAAAACAATCACATTTGGGCGGTCAAGGTGAATTTGTTTAAGGTCTCAAGATGTAAAGAACTTTGTAATCTTTGAAGTTGTTCAACATAAGAGAAAATTCTACTATTGCTCAAAATAGTAGTTTATGAGGAGGAGAGACTGAAAAGCAAGATAAGTTCGTCACTTAATTCCATTTAGGACTTCATATCACATATATTTACAACAATCATGAACTCGGAAACACCTAAACAAGTGTGGGAAGAGATTCAAGTTTTAAGAGCAGTAACATGATTAAAACCATTAAGCTTCTCGCATCGAGAAAGAATTTAAATTGATGAAGATGAAGGACAAAGAATCTGCCAAACATTATTCTGGCAGGTTAATGGATAATGTGACTTCTTGTTGAGGCATCCTTAATAGATCAAAAGATAGTTGAAATAACATGGTTTCAATGTTTGAAAGTTCGAAACCAAGATCTTTGCTATTGAAGAGTCTTTTAATTTGCAAACTCTCAGAGTTAACTAGCAAGCGTCATGCACAAACAAAAATGAAGCTATTGGATGTACCTTTCAAGCAAAACATCCACAATCTGGCAACAATAAAGGGAAAGTTCTTCTGGAAAAGGTAAGTTATTGACTGGTTCTCATTGTCAGAGTACCAACTATGCAAAAGAAGATTTAGAAAATGATAAAATAACAAGCAAAATTGATTGGAGAAGATAAAATTGATGATGAGTATTTATATATGGCATCACAAAGACTCAATTCAAAGGGATTATACACTTGACTCGATGACAGTAGCTGCACCAGTCACATGTCATCTTCCAATTTTTCCTCCATTGAATTACCCATTCAACCAAAAGTCAAGTTCGAATATGGTGAAATTGTGCAAGCAAAAGGAAAATGAATCATTTCTATGTCAATCAAGAAAGGTGAGATAATAGTCACAGATGTTCTTATGTTCCAAAACTGGATCAAAATCTTCTTAGTGTTGCATATATGGAATATTTTCCGAAGAAAATTATTGTTTTATCATTGATAAACGTTGACCAAAGATGACAAAGAATAGAGTTGTGAAATTTTGCCTAGAATTCTGAATTTTAAATAAGTTTTAGATAGTGTTTTTGTTATTGTTCTAGATTTTATCTTTTAAAATTAAAGTCAATTAGTTAATATATATTTCAATAAATCTAATAACAGGTTACATATTTTAGGGATTTTGAATTTGTTGTAATATGTCATGTGTGAATTCCAATGTTTATTTTCCTCCAATTTTAATCTCTCTATTTTATCAACAAGTTCCACTAAATTATAACAGTGTGAGCCACAGACAATGGCAGTACTATGATAAGAATTTGGTGCTTATCAATTATTATAAGATAGTTGTTGGTTGTCAAATTGGTATATTAGTTACTTGTAGGGGCTGGGAAAATAAGGCATATTGCCTATAAATAAGAGGAGAGGTGGAAAGAGAGGGGTACCTTTTCATTTGTGAGAGAATTTGGGCCTTTGGGCACTGGTGATGCAAGACCCTCAAAGTTTTGCAACTTAGATACTATATTCAGGGAAGAAATTTATTATTCTTTCTATTAAGATACCAGGTTTCTTTCATGTTTACACAAGCATATCCTTAGTTCTTCTTCAAGTAATGATGCTAGAGCAGGTATAACAATTTTACAGCTTTAATATAGTGTTACAAGAGTGGTAACATAAATAACCTTAAATCTTGAAGCTTCGATCAATTCAAAAACAAGGGCATCTCCATCATCCAGTTTATGATCCAATGCAAATGCTCTCCATCCACCGCTAAGTCCACTTCTGTTGCCAATGTAAACAGCCTTGTATTCTGAGCCATTTTCATCTTCTAAAACCATGTCATATACAGTTTTTGGAAGATGTTCCTCACAAAATTTAGAAGGAAGACCCTAGCAGATTAAAGATAAAATATTCCAGGAAGATTAACTCTTCACAATATAATAAAAAAGAACCAGAAGCAGGGTAAGTACATCCAGGCCATAAAGAAAGATTTTGTGAACTACAACCTACCAACCAAAAGCAACTATAAACATGAGACCGAACCATTGACTTGATAAATGAGGGATTTGAAGACTTCAAATTGATTTGGAGTGCTTCTGCAGCCTCCAGAGCACAAAGTCTTTCTTCTTCTGCAGCTTCTTTGATTTCATCTAAAGGCCTTGCAACGTAACTGAGGATACCATAACTTTGTTATTAATACTTCATAAGCAATATAGAAAAGTCATTAGGTAATTAACCACCTTCCCCAAGTTGAAGAATTTGATCTTGACCGCTTCCGCAGAGATGGAAGATGTATGCTCACCTGTGAGAGAAAGAACATGCACACTCTCAACTAAAAATTTCATCTAGACTAAATCATCTGATACAGATCGAGAAATAGAGACGAAAACCAATTTATTATTTTAAGTCAACAAACACCAGAGAGACAAATATGGATGCTCATTCATCATCATAGCTAATCATTAATAAATAGATACATTGAACAAGATGAATAACTAATAAAAGTTATTAGAAGAATTCTTGAATTCTTTTAAACTGCAGCTCCAATGCATAGTTAAATACTCCTGACAAAATACTATGCCTCTTAAAGGTCTTGGAAATGTGAAGAGCTATTTATATTTCTGAACAAAAAAACAAAGAAAAACAACACCTCCACTATATAAAGAGAGCTTCTTAAGAGTGGAGGAATTCCTATCCCATCCAATCTCCTATTGAGAGTCACTTAGTGGTGAGATTTTCAATTTTTCACAAGACTAATTTTATTAAGATGCTAAATATTTGGTTGAAACATTTTCATAGACAGACAAATGCTACTAAACCACACAATCAAGTGTCTTCCATCATGTTCTTTGTGGCATGTTTTGTGTATTCCCATCATCAACTATTGTTGTGTGTGTGTGTGAATTTTGTCGACAAATATTATATCCAGTGGTACTAGCTTCAGATAATCCATTGTTCAACCCAAATCCGGTGATACTAGCTTAAGATCATCCATTGTTTAACCCAAGTTGATTTTGTATTCTTCCTGGTGTGTTGTTTCATCCTGCATTATGGTAATTTGAAAGACAATCTTGCTTACATCTTCCCGGTAAGAAGGAACTGGGTTCCGCACACGAGAAGATCGCCTACGTTCCACTTCATCATCTCTCTTCTTTGGTTTCAGTTTAGGAGTATCATGCTGCATGCACAGGTAAGGATGGAAAAATGAGTCAAATCCACATTCTTCATTGAGAGAAACCATATAAATACAAGTTTACCAGCTTCTTCTTTGCAGATCTTGTGATCTCAGTCAAATTTTTTGAAATCCTTGAAATTCCCAAATCCTAGAGAGCAAAAAGTGAAATCAAGTAAGAAAAAAAAAATGGTGACTAATATTATACTATCTGCAACAAAAAATGGAGATTACCTCAAACCTCTTCTTGTTTTCTTCAAGTCTTTGTTTTCTTGCATCTTCGTAAGAGTTGCTTGTGCAACCCTTTGCCATCTGCTGGTGCACAAGACAACTATTATCAATGAAACTACTTACATCAAATGTCACCAAACAACTGTTATCAATGACATGTTTTAAAAAGATAAAAGTTGAAATAAATCTTAGTTTTTCCCAGTTATTTTTTATTAAAAAAAATCCTGGGAAAATCAATAAAATGGGTCCAGCACAAATTGAAAGGGATTGATTTTTATTACATTAGAAGGTTGTAAAAGATAAGAAAGTAGCTTTTCACGCAAAACCCACAGAAAAAGTTGAAGGATCCGCTGCAAAAGAAATAGGAAAAATAGTAATTACCGGACAGAAAATTAAGACAGATGGGGTGGACTGAACAGAAATTGCTTTGGGACGATGAATTAGTGACAAATTGATTTTCAAAATATTACCGTTGCCTACTTTAACTCTAATAAAATAATAATAATAATAAAGTTAATGAAAAAAAAAATAAACATACGGGAGTAAGAGTTACATGAGTTTTAACTCTTCTCTATCAAGATATGTCATTTTCAACAATTATTTTTATATAAATGTTGTATGATTTTATTTTTATTATTTTGGTAATTATTTTAATATTATAATTTTTCATTTCTTACATAAAAAAATTTAATTATAGAAAAATAAATTACTATTCTTAAAAGAAAGTTAACAAATTAATCTATATTTTGTAATGTATGTAAATTATTAATAAAAAATTATTTGTGCAACTTTTTTTAGTTTATATATTTTTTTCTTCTTAATTTGTTTATAATATTATATAATTCGTTTCCTAATTATTAAAAAAAATGTGAACATAGTTACACATATGTTTCAATTAGTAATAAATATAAAAAGAGATTTAATTTGGTGTATATAAATTATTTGTTTATTTTATCATCAATAATATTTTTAAATCATAATATAAAATTATAGTGAAAAGTATTAATAACAGAAAAAAATAGTGAAAAGAAATTATCATGTTTGTAAAAAAATAATTACACTTTACTTATATTCTAATTTTACAATTAATGAAGTCATTAGTTATATTTTATGTAAAATATAGTTTAATATTAGAATATATATATATATATATATATATATATAATTTTAATTTATTAAAATAAAATAACATATAAACTAACACATACCTTCTACTTATATAAATATTAAATGTTAATTTATTAATAACTACATACAATGTATACTACATATATAATAAGTATGTTAAATATTATTCAAAAAAAGTTTAAATTTTCATATCTAGTTTTCTCATACTCAATAACTCAAGTTGTTGTATCTATCATAAAATATTTACTCTATTTATCAATTTGATTAAAAATTCTATATTTAATGTTTGGTCCGACCAAACAATTTTGTAATTTTATAACCAGAGCTTAAAAAATAATAAAAAGAAAACTTTAAAATAAGCATGATATCCATATGCACTATTTAACTTTTTTTTAAAACAAAAAAAAAATTAACCAAACTTACAAACAAATAAAAAATTACATAAATATTGACATTTAAAAAATCTTAATTACCAACACATCAATACCCTCAATATACATGATCTTCTTGAGTATGTATAATCACCAATCGTATAACTTTCTTTCCATGAGAAGGAGAAGTTCCAAAAGGTGATTAATGCAATTAACTATGCACTTCAAGATGGTTGGTAGTATCTTTTCCATTGCATCTGGATTCTTTAAGCTCATTTTTACTTGAAAGAAATTAAACAAGTCCATTGAAAAGAAAGCTAAAAAGAGGAAGAATGAGCTAAATTGACTTACATGACTTAATGATAGAAGTGCAAGAAGCTTAGACTTCTCAAGAACTCATCTTTATTTTTATCAATTATATACAGAATAGCATATGTGTCAACAACATGCCTTGTTTTACCTTATGTAACATATAATTTGAGATTTCCATAGAAACATATACAAGTGTATATTGATCTTTCATTCCATGTTTTCATATCATAAACTTGAGAAGTTTACACTTTTTATAGAAAAGTTTGCAGAAAAACTTACACAAAATATTAAAAATTCTAATAATTATAGTTTTCAGATGTAGTTAAGGCTGAGTATCAGGCAATTTGCTAAGAACTGAGTGTTCTGGTTTGTGATCACATTCAAAGTCTAGATGAACAAACGCCCTCTCAACTTCTGGAAGTTTCTCTAGCTTTATCTGAGGGCTCTCTCCAATGACATGAGCTTCTTTTAAGGGTAAATTATCCGGCAGTTCAATGTCAACCTGTAACCAATAACATCTTTCTTTGTTGGGACATAAGACCCTTCTTTTTTAGGGCATAAAGCCTTCCTTTTGATTATTACTAAAATCAATGCCCTATAGAATTTAACTTTATGTATATATATATACCTCCACAAAATATAGAACGCCAAATGTGTAGGCGCGGACTGTGTCAATGCGCTTAATTTGAGAGTGCATTACAACAAGATATGTCAGCTTCTGCAGAATTTCAGGAGGTGCAGATTGTCCCACTAGTGAAACTGCAAATCTAACAAATGAAATCCTCCACAAAATAGGTTTTTTTTTTATGATCTCTAAACAAAATTTAAGTTTCACTTCGGTAATAAAAGTTTTTATCATAGAGAGCACAAGTTATTGAAGCAAAACTCAGTGCTGGTAAAATACTTAAAGAACTACGTGTAAGTTTTATAAAAATAAACAAATTCCTCTTATAGCATAAAATTCAGACAGTACTTTGCCTTAAACAACTGCGTCTAAATTTTACCTGCATTTTCCATCACAGTGCCAGACCAATTTGTAATAGTGTAAATTGAAAGCATAATAGCACCAACTGGGTCAATCCACCAGTAAAATTTATCACCAAGAACAGCTGCAACTAATCCAATCACATTTGTTACAACATCAAAGTGGTGATCCTGCAAGTTGGAATTTGTAAGATGTTTCAACAGTCTCTTTGTTTGATTCATTATTCACAGAATAGTTTATTATGAAAAGAGAAGGACACATACATCTGCATAGGCACGGACAATTTTGTTTCCTGAGCTTCTACAATAAAGCCAGAGTGCAAACTTCACCAATGTTGCAAATATCATAATGGGGTACAACCATACTAGTTGATCATAAGACATCTTCTCAGGTGGATTGTTTTCTATTAGTTGTTGTACAGCTGTGATTAATACCTGAAAGCCTGTAGCAAAATGGATTACTTGTAATCTTTTTATTTCATATGTCTAGATGAATATGATCCTGGACGAGAGCATGTCCTCTAATATAATCTATGCCAAATCATTCGAGATTCCGGAATCATTAGTATGTTTGCTTGAATATCTTAAAAAGGTTCATGTTCTCATATTCCGGCGTAATGAAAAAAAAAAAAAAAAAAAAAATATATATATATATATATATATATATATATATATATATATATATGTAATTCAATGAAAAGAAAGAGTGTTATGTATCAGTGTGAAGACATTGGGCATGGTTGGTCATGCCTTCTCCCTCACGCATGGATCTTCTGGTTTATGGTCCAATGAATGAAGAAACAGATGCTAGTCTTTTACTACCACCATATATAACTTATCATCAGCCATAACCTGAATGTTGTTCTCAAATTCCACAAATTAGAAAATCTTACTCTTTAAAAGTTTTTTTCAACAGGTGTTGACGAAAGGATGATCTTTATACTAACAACATTAGAACTTCCAACTAGTCATATTTCATGCACAGCAGCAATAGCTCAGAAATTTGAGGGATATAATGTTTCTTTGCAGTATTTTAATTAATCTGGAGGTACATATGTTTGGCAAATTTGAATTTAAAAGTTGCAACATGAGAAAGTTTTGCATTAGTTCATCATTGTAATCTGAATCCAGCATACTAATCAAAGGAAACAGAGAAAACGAAATGTTGATGAAGACAGTAAATGAATGAAACACAAACAACTTTGTTGCATGAACCTCCATGGAGAAGGGAAATATTTTAGATAATGACATTCATTACAGTTTGGAATCAAGTAATAGGCTAAGTCAATTCAACTCACCAAGTGTCGCCATGACAGCTGCAAAGATAATTATTCCCACTGGCTGCACCCTCAACTTTCCTATTGGGTATTTATAAATGTTTATATCCTTCATTGCTAGGTGGGTGAACCAAAGTATGCCACCAGCCATGAAGTCAAGCAGAGAATCCAATGTTGATGCTGCAACAGCTATTGATCCACTCCTAATAGTTACATAAATCTAGATATGTATATGAATATAGTTATTTAACAGGCAATACCAATAAGCATGATACATAAAACAACAAACATTAAAGAAACTTATACTAAAACAAGTTAAAGTGATCAATTTTCAGAAATTGCTTCCTAAGAAATTTCACTAGCATGAAGTGAATCCTATTAACATCTGATTGATAGGTTTATAACTAATGGAACCTGAACTAATTAGTGGCTGCTTCAAAAGAAATTAACAACATGCCTTATCTATTCAGAACAACTACTCGAAGTTTCACGAATAAATAAATTTATACATCTTATTAATATCACCTTCAATGCCAATAAAGCTGCATTTGCATAATTAGAAATCTTCATTGCTCGTTCATGTTGAGCTTGTTTTTCTCTGTCTTCTACATCAGCGCAGTCCGATGTTACTATGGAGTCAACTTCTTCGAATGACTTCAGAGTAGCAAATTGTCTTTTATAATATTCTTTCTCTCCTGTAAATTACAAACATATCACTTCAAACAAGAGAAAACTTTATGCTTTGGACACAGATCATGGTTCTATGACAAAGTAAAGCAATCAAGCAGCCTAAAATTAGTGGAACAATTCCTTCGCTGCTATTAAATATCTTCAAAATTTATGATTAAAACACTAAGGCATGGTGCCATACAAGCTTAACCTTCACACAGAGAGAGAGATACCTTGGCTTAACTGGGTGGTATTGGAGAAATGATGGTCAAACTCAAAGGGAGACTCAGAGTCTAGGCCACAACGGACCTTATCAGGAAGCTTGGACAAGAAAGTTGCCATGAGGGAGTTAAAAGAGTTTCCATCATGGTTCTGGTTCCCCAGTAGTGGCCTTGAACTCGAATTCCCATCCATTCAATCACAACTAGTACTAGTGCTGGTGGTCAACCATGCACCAATGTCCAACAATATATATACACAACTCATGATGGCTATATATTAAACAAGGTTTCTGCTGTTAAATTGAACACTTGATTTACAGCTTTTAGAGTTTGGTTTGAAAAGTAACTTTAACATTATCTCACAGCCCTCATAGAACCACTCATCTTTCTTCTTGGCGCTGTTCATACAAGCTCTTGCTTGTGAAATTTATTCAAAGAGAGGAAAGTTGTCATTTGACCAATTAACAATGACACTCGGGAACAAGCATGCCGAATGCTGCATGCCCCACGCTGGCATAGCAACGTGTCTCGCAAATGTGACTGCAATAAACTATTAAAATTTGAAGGTTTGAGTTGCAAATTTGTGCCCTGATGAACCTTTTTTAAGTTGCAGTTGAACCTACCAACGGATGACGAAATAAAGAGTAGTTTATTATCGTTTAAATAAACATTTTTTTTATTTACAAGACTTTTTGTTTCAAATGCTAAGTTACATCGATTTTAATCCCTCAGTCGTGAAAACTGGCATCAAACTCATCATTTTATCATTAAATATGAAGTAATTTCTTGAAAGATTTATATTGGTAGGACTCTCATATTTGTTGAGGCTAGTTTAATTTCAAAAATAAAAATAACAATCTACCTTTCTTTATTTTAAGAAGTTTAATTTCAATAAGCCTGAAAAATTTAATTTAAATGCACTTTTTATAGTTGAGGATTTTATTTTACCACTAGTGCTTTTAAATTTAAGGTAACAAGTTAAATTATTTTGTTTAGAGTGTTTTTTAGTTTTAGATTTCAATTCCAAAACATAGATAAACTTTTAGTTTTTAAAATAGTGGTGAAAAACGTCCATGTTACAAGGATATGATGATGAAAAAATTAAGTAATATTCAGAAATCTAATATCGCTTACTGATAACATAATAATAATAATATTATATATATATATATATATATATATATATATATATAAAGAGTATAATTTTATTTTATTGAATCCATTTTATATGTTTGAGTTAAATATCTCATTTTTTATTATTTTTAATATGGTTATAGGATTTAGTTAAATATCTTATTATTTCTAATATGATATCAAAGTCAAAATTGATAATGTTAAAACATACAAAATTCATAACCAAGTGTACATGAAAAAATTTTCGTACAGATTTTATTAAAAAATCTTATATCTAAAATTGGATATTTTACCATTTCTAATAAATATAATTTTAGTTTTTCTTTTCTCTCATTTTTAGTTATGATAAATTTATTTGAAAGTTTTCTATCTTATTAATAAATTAGAGTATAATGGAAAATAATATGATTGTACTGTAATTGTAGAGATAGTAAAATTAATGCGAGTGACGACAAGTGTGATGTGGTGGTTCAGTAAGAGATGTTTTATTTTAATAAAAAAATCAAATTTACAAAATATTTTTCTTGATTTTAAAGATAAATGTAAGAGAACTCATGAGCATTTAGTTCCATGTTTGTGACACGAGATTTTTTGTTTTAAAAATTACGTCCTAAGATTATAATAACTTCTTAGAATGTTACATGCGTTTTTTAAAATATATTACAATATTAATCATCAATTTTTCGATCAATAATTATAACATTTTTTCAGAACATTACTTCATCTTAAGAGACAAATTCCCTTTTCCTTTGGATTGAAATTACACTGGCCAAAATTAAATGCTTATAACTGATAGAAGTGCCAATGACATGTTTTTTTTCAGTATTGATGAGTTATTTAATCTCATATTTAGCACTAATAAAAATACACTGAATGGAATAACGAACCAGAAGACTTCACTTTATAATATAAAAATGTGTCCAAAATGAATTGCTAACAAGTGTCCAATACAGACTTGCATCGGTTAAAAAGTAGAAATTAGATAAGTTCTGATATGAATTGTAATTCTCCCCAATTTTAAAATAAAAAGTAAATCGGCATTATAAGGGATTTGATCATTTTTTAAAACTGCTAAATATTTCTCTTACTTTAAATAAAATATCATCAAATACTAATTTTATCCTTCACCCGTTTTAGTATACTCGTAAAGGGCTAGTTCATCCAGCTATCCCATTTTCATGTTGTATGAAATTACACATATCACAATTTTTAATCATTGATCCCAGGACCATTTTTTGTAAAATATGACGTTCAAATGCCCGTGCTAATTTTCTTTATGCAGACAAACAGCTAATAATACGCGTAAAAATTTAGCGAGTATTTAAGAAATATATACGTAACTCGTTCATCATAGAGTTTAAATGCCAACTCGACAAACTAATTCTGGCATTATTAACACATAAATTGTCTTTTAAAACAAAGATTAATATAGAATAGAAAATGAAGTAATAAAAACTGTCGAAAAAAGGCTCATACTCAGAGACACCTCACCAAAAGGTAAGAGCAAGTTACAACAGTGTCACATTATTGAGTTGCTAAACAAGAGCAAGGCAACAAACTTGAAGCTTATCCAATCAGCTCTTGCAAGAGCTCAGTACCTGTGAGCCAGCTTCTCCTTTTCCAGGTAGGTTTGAACATACCTGCATCCAGCCAAAGCCATATTAGACATACAATTTAACCAACCTAAAAGAGAGGGAGGGTAATTTTTCAGTCAAAGCTACTTAGCTAATGAGTAATTCTATTGAGAGGTGAATCACTCCAGAGGTCGAACTTTTCACCATGAGATGCACTTGAGATTCATGACCGGATATATTATAGAGTAAATTATACTAACTACTCTTAGAGTTTTGCGAAATTACACACAAGATCTCTTGCTTATTCTAGTCATACATTAACATTGCTTAATTGTTTAAAAACATTATCTGCCACCAGTATTTCATTACACTAACCTTCCGCAATTGTGTGAAAGACATTACACTCAACATTCTTGTTGGAAAAGTTACTGTAAATGTTTAAAAAACAGAAAGTATTTGTGCAATTTAGCGAAATTTCAAATATGACAAGTGTAATTTTCTATATTATAACAAACTAATCCAGCATTAATTTTCTCGCCTTCAAACCCACCTGTCCAGAGAATTACTGCAAGCTAATTTCAGTTCAATCCAGGCTTGTTTGAAGAAATTAAATGCCAAATCAAGTATCTAGTTAAATTTTGTTTATTCATCTTTCTTTGAACTTTTAATAGATAGATATTGCAGAATGGTTGCTGAAGGTAACATCAGATTGAGGGAAGGGTATATAATGCAGTGAAATGAACACACATACATCACACTAGTTGTAATAGTTTAAAATAGAATAAAATGAAATTAGCCTATTCATTCCGCCCTAAAGCTTTCTTATCTTTCTCCGTTTTTTTTTCTTCATAAGTTACAGGTGATGTACAACGAAATTTGCACAACTGTATTGCTAATAGTAGCATATAGTTTTTAAGATTACTACAATCTTCCTAAAAAGATTGCATAATCTTACACTTTCCTGCAGGAACTTCAATCCAATTATTACCCCGACTCAGATTGGTGAGAAAAATCACTGGAATAAGGGGATTTTCATAAATCTACACAAGCTCCCATTTGAGTGCAGTGCTGGGCCTCAAATTTCTTCCAGAAAAATCCCTTTCTCAAAAAATCAAATAACGTTCTGTAATCTATTAGTGAAACGTTTCAATTCATTATTTACATCCTATAGCTTTGACAAACCACTTGGCCCGTTCATCATCAGCACAACAGCACTCAATCAATAGACTACTCCCTCTGATCCTTATTATATGGCACTTATAACAAAATTACACATACCAATAAAAATAAGTTAACTAGTTTTATTGGTTCTTTATAGAAGTTACTGCTAATGTACTGATTTTATACATATTGGTCATTGTTGACTTATTGTGAGTAATGTGAAGACATTAAAGTTTGAAAGCACTATGAACGAGTAGATAATAAGGGAAAATAGAGAGAGAAAAAAATATTAAATGCCTCCTAGAAATCATAAAATGACTAATAGAAAGGACCATCAATATCTTCTAAATGATGTCTTGTATTAAGCACCAGAAGGAGTATTATGCCCCCTTGCAAGGGTGGCTGCTCCTAGGCAAATCTCCTGGCTATCTCTTCACCCATACCTCATACATCACAAGGGTGTCATTTCAGGGGCTAAGCTGGTGATCCAGAATATTCTCTCTCAACACCATTTGTTCAAGTTGATAATTGTTTCTTCAAATCCCCCTGCCAGAGTTTAATGACTAATGCATAAATGAAGTTTCTAAAGAAGAAAAAGTCAGACTAAGTTGCTGGTGGTGAATAGGGCTCCATCTAGGCTTTCTTCCCTGCATCTGAGTAGCTGACTTGTGGGTGGCTCGATGTTTCATTGAGAGGTGGGTGTGACAGTATTGACTGTGTTTTGTGGATGTTTTGGCTGTGTCTTCTAGTTTTACGTGCGAAAAACTTTTTGTCTTCTATTAATGACTTATATTATTATAACCATGATTAGATTTTAAATTAAGTTTAATTAAATTTTAGTAGCAAGATCTTTAGGCTATTTTGCTTAAATATATTATTTGAGTTTGCGCGCAAATTTGAATTGAATTAGGTAGAATCTTATTATCTGATTATGTGTTTATCCTATTCCCCTCCTTCCATTTCAATATCAACAACAACGTATTGTGCTAATTTGTAGGCACGATGTCTTCATAAAATGTGACCAATGCTTCAAATATGGCGTCTGAAACAATTAAAGGCACTAATACCCAACAACACCAACAAAAACATGGAGGACAAAATACAGAGAAATTAATTATAAGAAAACATGCAATACAGGGCCAATTCAGCAGAACATGGCATCACACTCTTACTCTTATTGACACACAGACACAAGGACAAATATGATATTCTCAGATACAACATCATACATGCCAAAAACAGATTTGCCAAATTCTTTAAGCGTATTAGTGAATATATTAAAATAGCATCATCGAGAAGAACAGATCGAAGGCCCTTAGATTGCCTCTCACACAGTGAACAAAAATAAACTCAACCAACCATTGAAAAAGTACATAAAAATAGCAATATCGCCGACTAATTCAGTATTTATTGAAACAGATTTGTTCCTTTTCCTTGACAAATCAGAATACAGCGCCTTCTTCCAACAAACCTCCAGATCAATTCCAGTTCAAAACCAACACATTTAATTGTTCATCATCGTTCAATTAAATTCACAACACAAGCATACAATACATAATCATAGCGTAAACACAAAAAGAGGGGAACCCTATCACAGACAGAGAGGGAGAGAGAGTTACGTGTAGGTGCCAACGAGGGGAGCGAGCAAGAGAGTGGCGCTGATCCAATTTTCGGAGACCTTGTGGTGAATCTTCGTTGGCAAGTCCTTCCAGAGACCCGACATTATCTTCTGCTGGAAAGGGGAGAGAGCGTAGACCACTGATTTCACCGGAACAATCTGTTTCCCCATCTTCTGAACTACCGCACAACAACGCAATACAGACCAATTAATGTGAATCTGGAATGAAATGAGAGGAAAAGAACAATGAACCCTAATTTCTAAATTGTGTTCGCCCTTTGTTCTTGTTGCGATTGGAATTGGATTGGATCTTCTCTGTGTGCCGAGTCCAGTCCAATACGACTGCGTACGACTATTTCCTGGCTCAAAAACCCTCCACGTCACGGTTTGTTTAGAAAAGTGTGGAACAATTTTCATACTTTTATTATTATTATTATTATATAAGTGTTTTTATCTTCCTATATATATATATATATATATATATATATAATTAAAATATGTAATTAATTAATTAGAAAAATAATTTTTTCTTATTAAATTAGCTAAGGTTTTCTTTGAATGGGTGATAAATGATGAGGAAGTGAAAATAGAAAATATTTGAAGAGAATTAGAACAAATAAATTTTAAAATTAAACAAAAAAGAGAAAAAATAAATAAAAGTGAGATATTTTTATTTGCCATTAATAATTTTATGTTATTATCATTTAACATTATAATATTATTTTCTTTAATTATTTATCATTGTTATTATATCAAATTGGGAAAAAATAATTGATGATAAGTTATTATAGTTTTAATTTTAACTTGATTATTGAAAAAAAAAATCAATAAAAATAATTTAAAAAAAAAATACTGAGAAAGAAAAGTCAATGTTTTTTGTGCAGAAAATGGATGAATTCGGTTAGAGTGGAAGGAAAAACTGATTTCCGCATGAAGACTAACTTAACCTCAAATGTTTTCTTCAAGGTTACATATATCAAAACTCAGAGGTTTATTCCTAAACTTTTACTAGTTTCAATTTTGAGTGTTTGGTAACATCACATTAAAATAAGAAGCTTATTATTAGAATGCTTATTTTTAATAATGGATCAAAGAACGTTTTACTTAGAAGAAACTTGTATTTTAAGTATTTTTTTCATTGACAACCATTATTTTGAAAGTTGCATCAAGGACCTTCAATTACCTATTTAAATTTTTTTAGCAGATTAAAATTATTTACTTATATCTCCTTTCAAATAAAATCATATCAGAAATTGACTATTTAATCGATTCTATTCAATTATCAAATTTTAAGTAGTTGTTCATCTACCTTCCTCTAATTCTACATTCAACTGATATATACAATTTTTTTTCATAGATTGACTTTTTGAAAAAATAATAGTAAAATTCTCAGCTATGTGGACAACTTTTCATATGATATAGATATTTTATTTTCGAACCCTAATATACTAATAATTGTTTTTAATAACATTTACAAACTCAAAGAAAACAATACATTTTTTTAAAGTGTTGTCCTTCTCTTTTTCCCCTTAATGTTTGTCATCAACATATTGTTCTTATGTTTTATTTAACAAGACATATTACTAAAATTCATATAAGAATACTAACTCAATATTTAATTAAATGTAGGTGTTATCGTTGAGCTTCTTAAAATAAATGTGTATGCATTTATCTTGCCTCGTGGGATGGACGGGTAACGTAAAACAACTCCTTCCATTCAATTATTGTCCTTATTTTCAAAATCTAAGTTTCGTGTATGAAACACCCTAAACAGAATAAATTCAATTGAAATAAAGTGGCGTACGTATATATGCAGTGTATTATTTTGCTGTCATAGTCAGGAACAACTAAAAGTATACTCATATAATGATTCATACATCAACTCACTTTAATTATTGATCACATTTAGTTATGAACCACACTTTAAGCTCATCTTTATATAATGATTGGATAAAGAAGTTATTATCAAATTGGTCCTGGTCCGAATGATATTGGATTCTATTAAACTCAAGTTTTATGATTAAAACAGAAGTTACAAATATTTAAATCTTCTCTAGAATTGAATCAGCTAGGTTTCTTGAAAAACTTAAATACATGTTTCGTATAAATACTATTGAAACCATTAACACTTGATAATAGTTTTTCACTACCGAATAATTGTTTGAGAAGATGTGGCTTGGCATAAGGATGAAGAATCTGGCGGTGGCCAGGGACATGATGGCCCCACGGTGGACTTCGAAATCTAGAATAGTCCCACTTTACAAAGACATGCGTTAATAAGTCTAACCAAAACAAGATTAGTTTGGCTCAGTATAGCTACAGACAACAGCATCCACGTCTCCTGCATTAACCTCAAAGGACCCACCAACATTACTCATTATCCTTTAGATATATGGCTTACATAACAAAACAGTGCTATTGTGCTCAGAAAAGTACATACTCTCGTATCAATCTCTTCTTTCCATGCAATCATGAACCAACAACAATAGTAATGATAATGATCAGTTTATAAGTCCCAACAGAGTTGTGTTTATAGACATTGCAGATATATATACCAATCAATCGGTCAAAATATATAATAATTAAGATCTCCTAGTTTACAAGTCTATTGATGCAATTGATTGTGATTGAATATATATACCCCGGTTTTGTTTCCATCTTTTTGTGAAGTTTTCTTGTTGCTTCACAGAATTTACACGCAGGAGTTGATATCAAATGATACATTCTGCAAAGTAGACACACACTACTGGTCTGTTTTCGCCCGTTTCATTTCATTGGAGGTGAATGTGGAGGGACTGCCACTGAGTTGAGGACTCTCTTCTCTAAAATTGGAATTCAGCATAGCAAGTTCTCTTAGTTGTTGCCTTTTGTAGAGGTCCTGTGACTCATCCTGCACATGACATGGAGAAGAATAAGAAGTACATCTATACAACACAATATCTAATTGGTAGGATATATTCTGAGTTCAGCAACAAAGTTAAAATTAAAACAAAAAAGAGATACCATGGGTTTAAGTAGCTCTTCTATGATCTCCTGCGCTTGCCTCAGCCTTATATCAACAATATTTACAGGTAATTCAGCCTCAATCAAAACATGCAGTGGTTCATTTAAGTGCTCATAGCCTGGCCTTCCCCTTAACAACTCTTCCTTTTTAAGTAGTGAAGAAAAACACACACAAAAAAAAAAACTATCAACAAATTGAAAGGAGAAGCAACTGTGACATTAAATTAGGATCCGAGGAGCTGCAAATTGAAAGACTATGAAGTGATGATACCTTATCGAGTTCTTTTATTGAACCTTTCCCTCTGATAAATACACGGCAACCTGTGGTAGCCTCCACTCGCTTCAGTGAATTACCCCTAGGGCCAAGAAGCCGTCCAACAAAATTGAACTGAAATTTAAGCTAGATTAGTGACTCAATTCTGAGTAGAACGCCACAAGACTAACAGAACATGGTATGAACCAGCATAAGGTAACAGGAAAATGCATTAAAATGTTCTAAAATTCTTCTTACATTTGGATAGCTATCATTAGCAATATCCAAGCGCAATATCCTCTTCACAATGTTAGAGCTTGGTACACCTGATGCTGCTTGCCAATCTACGTTTAGTCCCTGAACTCCAGCTAACCCCTGATGTAAGATTGGACATAACCTCTTATCAAATGAAATGACCAAAGGATAAAAAGAGACAAAAGGAAGAATTGATGAATAAAATGGAAGAGGGATGGTGATACGCGATGTAAAGAGATCAAGTTGTAGCAGCTCTGTTTCAACCGAAACGGAAGGGAACCAACGCATATTTCACAAATATTGACAAAATTCATGTGGTAAATTAATAATTACAAAATTTTCGGTTGTTAGATAAACTCACATGCCTCCTTACACAAGAGAGAGCACACCTAATGCATAGGTTACCTTCCATGTAATGGAGGGAACACTACTAAACGATTGGGACAGTAAGGATCAAACTCTAGACCACTTGATCATAAAGAATTTAAAACCATGTCATGAACAAAGGAATCCAAAAGCCTAAGTCTTAGCTAAAGGGAGAAAACAAATTAATGGTTTTTGTATAATATTTGCAACTACTGTCATCCTGTACATGGCGGCAAACAGATAATCTAAGAATCTAAGTACTTGAAGTTGTGAAAGGCTTAGAGTTTATTTTTCTTTACAACAACGGCAGCTAATCGGTTAACAATGAAGCAAGAAAAAGTAGGAACTAAACAGGGAAGAGTACAGGAGGATGATCTATTTAACAGAAGAATAGAACAGAAAATTTAAATACTTACTTCATGTGACATGCTGTTCCACCCTGTAAAATTTGGTTGAATGTCTAAAGAAGGCATGAGATTGGGTTTGGGGCTTCCGAACTGTACTCTGTCATAGTCACTAAACCCTTGGTTCTGCATCAATCCATTCTTTCCAGAAACCCTTAAAATCTCTGATAATAAAGTAACATTGAATATATAGGAATGAGAACATAGAATATGACCTTACTAATGTAAGTTGTCAAATATGAACATGAAGGAGTACAACCTTACTAGCAAACATATACAACTCAAAGCATGGTCATGAAAACAAAATGTTTTAGCATGCATTGATATTTATTAGTAAAACTGATCAGTTAATGTTTGCTCTATTCATTCAAAAGAATACGTAATTTATTTATTTTACTATAGTAGAGGGTCTTCAACTCAACTAAACATTTTGTTCATCGTTTGAAAAATAATAAAGATTATATAGACACATATTGTTATGGAGAGTATCGTCTTTTAGAACCATTTAATGATTTTCTTTCGTCTGCATCTTTTTTCGTTATTGCTTTTCTGTTATCTGAAACTAACCAACTACGATGATTGATTCCTTTTTCGTGTATTTATTTATAGATAAGAGTTCTATAAAACCATGTTGAAGTTTGCTATGACCACATATATAGGAGACTAATCTGGTTTCATGTATTTTGTTCAACAATATAGATTTCTAATTCTCTTAGAAATTGTTAGTGATAACAGACCTAAGCATCAGCCGGTAAATTGAAATGAAATATTTCTATACTTCAACCCGGTGAAAAGATCTTAACTTCACAATTCAGTGCAATTCGAAGGAAATAATAATCCTCGAGACAAAAGGAAAATGAGACACTAGTCCATGTAACGAGAAAACTGGGTGTTTAGAGACTAGGCCAAATTCACCTGACGCAAGAGGTCAGTTGCAGCCACGGAACAACAAACGGGAGAAATTCACAAGAACAGAAACCTTGGAAGGTTTTAAGAAAAAGCCCATGATCGCAATTTTGGTCGCAACATCAAGGTTTTTTAGTATCCGCGACCGCAATTGCGACCGCATCAGCCTAATTTGTCTGCAATTCCCCATAACATCAAGGATCGCAAAAAACCGTAATCACAACCGCAATTTAAAACCTTATGATGCAAAGATTTAGAATAATCAACCTTGATTTAAGAGCCTGGTACATAAGGGTAGGACTTGCATGAAAGGTCCAAGCTTCTGGTGTTCTGCTAGGAGCTCCGTTAAGTACTGACTGTAAAACCGTGAATAATAAGAACATGCATCCAGAAGTTAATTGAAGTGCTCACACCAGACATATATACGTATGCATATAACATAGGTACCTAAAAAATAAATAAAAAAATTCAATAAATAACAGAAGAAGAATCACCCCTCAATCCATATACCTTTCAACATCAAAATTGCTTCTCATGTTTATGTTTGGTGAATTGGCCCTTGCTGTTGAAGGTGAGGAAATCTGATTATACAAACCAGACATCAATTCTACAAGAATAAGGCCTGCAATATTGCACAGAAAGACTAGAGAAAATTGAAGGTAGTAAGAGAGAACAAAGGGTTGATTGAGATGGGGTTTGGCCTCATAGATCCTATTAGAAAAACACAGAACCACCTCACTTATTTATGTTTGAAAGAGAAAAGGAGAAGATAGTTATGGAAGAAGGAAAGGTACAAAAACTGGAAATATAGATGGAGGGCCACCTTCTGTTGCTCAGTAGTAAAAGCAAGAGTTAAAGGGTTTCTCTCAATCTATCTATCTATCTCTCTCAGGATTGTTTCAATTGTTATTTTGTTGACTTCTGTTGCATTTGCAGTGTTGGATCATTGTATGTATGTTTTTCTTAACAAAGAGATAGATGTTAACACATTCATCCCATCATAAGTTGAAATGAATGATAAATAAATATACCTAATTTCAATAATTACCTGACATAGAATATTATTTCTGACATCTAAAACTTTTATATCAATAATGTATTTACTTTTACGAAAGAAAAAAAATACTAACTTTTCGTGGTTGCATAGTTCCATTTCTAAAAAATCAGGGTATTTTAATTTCAAGAATAAATAAATTTTGAATGAAGAGATGTACTAGGGAAGTGGAAAAAGATATGAAAGGACATGAATCTTCGCTGCATTTAGGATGAGCAAAAGGCAAAGAGGGGTTTGCATGGGTGATGTGACCATGAGAGTTGTGAGGTGGAGAGTGGTAATTAAAATGGCCAAGCAATGATTGAAATGGTGAAACAGTCATGCACGCACGCTCCAATAAGGGTGCGTGGAGATGGATTCGCTTCAATCAGTAACAAAGAAGAAGCTAGCACAGAGAGCATAGGGTAGGGTACCTCTGTGGGTCAATGGCACCAGATCATGATCATCCACACTATTTCGAACCAATCACCCTCATGTTTCACGCTTTTGTATACTTATTATGTGTTTTATATGATTATTATAACTCTCCCATCTTTTTTTATTTTTCTTTTTAAGAATACAATCTTCATAAATGACAAATTTAAAAATAACACTATCTCAAATATGAATATTATTACAATAGTTTTAAACTTGAAACATTCTTTTATATCTAAATATTATTAACCTTTTAAGTAAGCACCTATTAAATTCAAATTAATTAAAGCCATTATTAATTGATTACTAAAATCAAATTGTATGCATTTGTTTGAAACATCATACGACTAATGTTAATGCCATTTGTTTTTTATACAACCTTCTGCCTTTCATATTTTGTCTTACTGGAACCAACCCTACTCACCTACCACAACAATTCTCTCTTTTCATTGACACTTTATAGCCTTCATTACTGGAGAATCAACATAATATATATGTATAAAATGTGTTATTTAATTATAATATCATCTTATAATTCTAACTATTCGTGATTGAATGTGTTGTCTTCTACAGTGATGAATTAAATTTAATGCCAGAAGGCAAGGTTTGAAAAATGTTTTCTTTATTTTCCACGTCATGTTAATTAAGATACATATTTTAAAAACTGAATGTTAATAATATAATGTTGGCATGATGGCATAAAAAATGAATGAATGGAACGTGCATGATGGGCCAGGGTCTGGGACGATAAATTTGATAGGTCACAATTATGGATGGTTGGTCATTTACTGTTATCAAACTTTCAGAAATGTTTACGTTGGTACATTTTATTCTGTAGTAATAAACACTCTTTGTAAAAGGCAGGGCAACGGGCGGGTCGGGACGGGATTTGACTCCCGATATTCGTTTCTGACTTTTTTTAATCATTCCTGTTCCATCCTTGATTCCATTGAGGTTAGAAATTAAGTCTTCATCCAGTTCGTTTGGTTTTGGGTTCTCCGATCCCGTCGTCCCGATTTATATTATTTTTAAAAAGATAATTACATTTATAATAAATTAATTTTATTATCTATTTTTTATATAAAAATAAATATTTATAATTTATAATTATTATTAATTAAATATACATTTTTATTTATTATATTTATATTAAAATAAGTATGTAAAAGAAATATTTAATTATTTTTTATTTATAATATTATTATTATTATAACATTGTATTCAAATATTTTGAATATTTATAACACTATTATTATAATACTCGTATTCAAACATTTGATTATATATATAAGTTAATTCATTTTTAAGTTGTCATTTAAAAATATGAAATATATAGTTTATAAGGAAATATTTAATAAGTTAATTCTTATTTAATTAGTTCCAAGTAATAAAAATTTAAATTATCAATTCCTTTAATCCTTTAAAATATAATTATTTTATTAAGATAAAATTTGATATATGATAAATAACAATAATAAGATAAACAAAAATATGACATAATAAAACCTAATAAATATAAATTATAAATAAAATAATATTAGTTACTACTAAGATTTATGTAAAATATTTAGAAAAAGATAAAGAATAAAAAAATTTAACTTTGTGTTCATCAAATTGGTTGAAAAGATTGAAAAAAAAATTTATGGGAGAGATTAAGGAAATGTGAAAAACTGAAAGGTAAGAGAAAGAATAATGTAATAAATTAATTGATATAAAAGATTAAAAAAGACAAAAAATTAAAAAGTATGTAGAAGAAAAAAATTGGTGAAATATAAAAAAATGACATTATATGTAATAGAAAAAGAAAAGAAAATACTTTTAAAATATTAATATTTTAAAATTTAAATTTAAATATAAAGTCGGAGTCGGGACGAGGACGGGATCTAGGTGGGGATTGCATTACCCATTCTCGCTCCCACCCCGGTCAACTCGGATTTTTCCAGTCAAACTCGGGACGGGGACGGGTCGGTCCCCACCGGACTGGTTTAATTGTCATCCCTACGTAAAAGTAAAAACAACAAACAAAACTCTTTTTTTTCATATATACTATATTATTAGCTGGTTTTTTTTTAATCTCCAAAAATTGTGTTCACTTCTCCTTAACAAAATTTTCACTTGTAATTTTACAATTTTTAAAAGATTTTAACCAATAACAAAGAATATTGTACTAACATTTCTCACTTTAAAAAGTTACAGTAATGTAATCTTATCTATTTACTAGCGACTTAATTTGAAAAAAAAAAGATTTAAAACATGTAAAATGATTTATTTATCCATAATTTATATAGTATTCACAAGTAAATCCATTAAATTCATCAATTAAAAAATATATAAAAATTAAGTTTTTAAAAAACATTTTTAAATTTTTATTTTATTTTATTTTATGTTATTTTATAAGTAACTCTAAATAAATAAAATGTCGAATATTGAAAATTTTGCAGTATTGTTAATTTTAGATTTTATTTTCTTTTAGTTTGAGACGATTAGTGTTTAAGTGATTCTTTTACGAATTCTAGTTAATCTTGTTTCTATAATTTTTTTAAAATATAAAAATATAATTCAATAGTATTATATTAAAATTTTGTTATTTTTTTATTTTTCAAAATCCAATTGGTACTTTGTGTCTGACATTTTCAATTATTACAAAGTACAAGAAAAAATATTAATGTAAAATAGTTTTTCAAAGTAAATTAAAAATTATGAATTGATAAAACCTATAAATGTAAAGAATTGTATGTCAACCTTAGTCGACAACAATTTGATACCAATTCTCTCTCTTTTACTTTTTCACAAAGACACTTCAAGTATTATATACAATATCAATATAATAAAATACAAATAACAGACAAAGTTTTAAAATTGTAAAAGTATTTAAAATCTAACTAATTACTGCAATATCATTAATTAATCAATTGTTTGTACAGTTCTAATTTAATTTCTCAGTTGCTATGCTAATTATGTAACTGTCCAACTATCATTTAAATGTGGCCTTGTAATGTTAAATAAAGGCAATAGATTAAGTATTTTAGGGACAAATTATTTAATCAAAGTATTTTTAGTTATTTAAAAAAAAACTGTTTAAAAATATATTTTATTTCAAATTTAAATTTTACTATTTTAAATTAAATTATTATATTAACCTTGTACCACAACATAATTAATGATCTATTATAAAAATGAAATATATATTTTCATGTTGAAAAATATCATTATAAATATGTACCCTGCCATGAACTGACTAAAAAGTTATTGCAGCATTCTTCCCCATCTTGTTCAAGGGCTTAATTGAATAGCCTGTAGCACTCTATTTGCTTGTAAATAATCATCATTTTATAAATGATTGTAAGTAAAATTTACTTTTAATTAAAAGGTTATTTTTTGTAAAAGTTTGTAATATAGCCTGTAGTACTCTATTTGCTTCCTAGTCCAATAAAAGGATATACAAAAAATTATATATTTTCATATTTTAGCATCACAGAATTTTAAAAATATACGTATTTTGAGTTTGTAGGTTTAAAAATAAGTGACTATCCTTAAGTGCTTAGAAGGTAAAAAAGAAAAACGTTAGTTTAAATTCAAATTCAAATTTCATGCATAAACTAGCATGAAAGATGAAGGCCAAATATATAATTGTACATTTCAATAGACTTGAAACCGCGAGACTAAACCAAACATTCAAGACTTCAATTTGAACTAAAACGCGATAAATTTTGTATAATTCCAACAGAAAAAATGGGGTAGCCACCAAAAAACAAAAATGCCTTAAATCTAAGCAAAGTAACCATGTTCTATCGTTGGTCTTGTACGAGTCCCAAATGCAAATGGTACTTTGATGTCACCAATAGAAGTCATATCCAAGAGTGATTTGCCATCAGCTACACATTCCAATTCTTGGACCCTCCTCTTTCTGTGTCTTCGCACTCCAACAACCAATACACCCATAATAATCACCAATAACAAAATCCCACCCATCCACAACATGGTCTTCTTCCTTTTCTTGATCTTATTCTTTCCACCAAATTGAACCTCCCCACGACTACAAGGTGCTGGTGATGGAGCATTTGACTCCGCAACGATGGAGAAGTGCCCTTGTTGCATTGTTGAACACACATTTCCAGGTAATAGGTTGTCAAATTTCACTGAACCATGCAAATCAAAATACACACACTTGGCCACTGCCCCCAATAGTTTCACATTAGGGAAATTAACCAAAACTGGCTTATCAGAAGCCCTTATAGCCAATTCAGGTAAAACTGAAGCAGACAAATTGGCACCACTATACGCCAAGAGGCCCAAAACAGGGGTCAAATACGAATAACCAGGTAAAGGGTAAAATGTATCAGACCAATTACCTAAGTTTTGGTACACCAAGACGAGCCTTTCCACATAAGGGTTCTCAATAACCCCAATTGGGATCATAAATTCTTTGTAGTTGAGAACACCCCTGGTCCTCAAACTACCACTTCTGAGCCTCATTGTTGAAACTTTTATCCCTGTTAGGTTGGTGGGCACTTGAGCATCGTAAGACACCCCAGTTCTTGGGCTGAAAAGGGTCTTGAAGGCCAAATCTTGAAGATGAACATCTAATAAACGAGCTGAGACAACAACATCAGGTGGGAGTTGAGCACTTGAACGCGATACACAAAGGAAGAACGATAATAAGAGTAGAACAAACAATCTAGTTCTGCCCCTCATCAAGATCTCATTAGTTTGATCAAAATCAAACCAAATTCACTCAGAATTTTCTCTTGTTCAACCATAAACACTTAGGCAGAGGCCAGGTAAAGAATGTCACCACAAAAATTTCTCAGAATCCCCTTTGCCAAAAATGAAAAAAAAAAAAAAAAAATCTTAGCATTCTCTTTTCTCTGACATATCATATGCTAATTATAAGGGCAACTAATTTTAAAAAAGAAAAGATATAGATTGAGAGAAAACATCTCTTCAAAATAACTAACCAGATGTTCTTGTCAAGGGACTAGTTAGTTGGCAATTGGGGTGAAGGGTTCAAGATAAAATCTTGAAAATTCTTATCTAATCAATTTGATGTTTAAAATTCTAAGGAGATAAGTTTTAAGAAAAAAAGGTTAACCCTTTGAGTAGGAATTCTCTTGTTGATAGAATATTTGGGAAGAGCGATAGAGGGAGAGGAAAGAAAATGTACGGAGAATGGAAGGTGAGAGATTTGGGAAGCATCACACAAGAGTTTAATCCTAATACTCATTATTATAATGCATGGGGAGACGTTGCTTTTGTTTGTTTTCTATCAGGGTAATTTTTTTTTTCTCTGTTCAATATCTAAAGTTCAGTTTTTTTTTTAAATGTTTTAATCTCTTTAAAAATAATATTTAGTTTTGATCTTTTAAATGTTTAAATGTTTTTTTTAAACGTTATCTAAACTATTTTTTCTTTTAATAAAGTGTTGTTTAAATCATCTAGATAAATAATATGTTTCAAAATTAGAGAAATAAAAAATTAAAAAATTTAAGAAAAATATTAGTCCTTTTTCTATCTCAGTGATATAATATTTTTATTTATGAAATCGTGTAATTTTGATGATATTTCACTATTTGAATAAGATTGTGTACCAAATCCATCATGTTTTGGTTTAAGAACTTTTGTTGTTAATAATGTATTTACCCTAAAAATGTTTTTTTTTTTCGTATAAAAGATGAATTATTAGTGTAAAACCTTGTTTAAGCAAAAGATCAATCTTAATATCATAAGGAAACATCTAATAGAATAGGTTAATTCAAAATTTGAATCTCATTTTGGGAGAAACATTTAATGTTCATAATATCTCAAAACAAAACAAAAAAAAATACTATATATGTTAAAAAAATGTTATTTATTTTAAAAAGGTAAGTATTAAATAGTTTCTTTGGTAATATATTAATGAAATTTTAATATAAAATGCATCGTAATGAAAGTAAGATTAAATAATTAATGTTTTTTTATTATTTATTTTGTCAATATCTTAAACATATTTGTTGAAACAATGGCATGTGCACAGAAGTAAAACGCTTAATTGGGTTTAAAGAGTGAAAAATAAAAATAAAAGAGAGAACAAAAAATTATAATGAAAGAAAAAGTTGAAAAAGATAATATATAGAATAGAATGGCCTTGAAAAAATTGAATGCAAAAAATGTTATCAACTTATTGACCTCTATCGTCTCTATTTTGGGTGTACAGACATTTAATAATTATATATATAATTACTTAATTGTTTAAATAAATATTAAATACAATTTATTTAATAAATGTTCTGTAATAATTCTGTACTTTCATTTTCTTAATTAATATTTTTAAAATATCAGTTAACATTGATATTTCCTTAATGAGTGATTACAGTTTACAAGCTAAAGATGATTAAAAAAAAGTATGTAATGAAAGGGATAGTAAAAGCAACCGTTTTAAATTCAAATTTTAGATATTCAATTGCTTTAAATACTTAAAAAGATGTTTCAAAATAATTAATATTCGTAATACTCCAATAAGTTTCCAACATAATTGTATCATATAAATAATATTTGTCTTCTAAACTAAAATTAATAAAAAAACAATTAAAAAAGTCATCTTATCAAATCAAATAACAAAATTTAAAAAAACATTTAAAACAAAAAGGGAAGCTCACGAGCCTTCCTTTTATTTGCATAATCATATATATATATATATATATATATATATATATATATATATATATATATATATATATGTGCTTAATTTGTTGCCGCATATTTTTGGGGTTAGTATCTACCAACTTCATTAATTATTTAAAAAAAAAATATTAGTCACTTTTCTCAAATATATTTTTTTCATGTCAAAAAGGTTAACCCACCTATTTTATTCTGCATTTCTTTAAATTGTGAATTTATTTTCTTGAGGAATTTTCGTCGAGACAATTACATAAGATAATGATTTTGTGATTGTGACAATATATTTATATTATTTGTATTTATTTATTATTTTAAATAGTAAGTCAACTTGAATAATTCGTTTTTATATATTTTTTTAAAATGTTGATGGATAAATTCAATTTAATCCACACCCTATTAATGCAAGAGCTAGGTTGGATTACATTCTTAGTTTATTTTTTCCTTTATAATGTAACTCATATAAAGAAATTATGATTTTTTTAATTATTAATATTTTTTAAAACCATCTAACAATAAACTCATAATTAACTTTATTCACTTTCCATCAATAAAATAATAGGCGAATAACACAGGAAAAGAGAAAAATGTTATCTTACGATAGAGAACAGAATAGAAGGCTTTATTTTAATTTTGAAAATATTTATATCTTTTAGAAAAAAGTTATATTGAACATTTTTTATCTTGTTCATTACCCTAGTAATTTTTTACCAGACAAAGCCCAATCCAATGTGCTTTTCAGATTCTACCTAGCTATAGAGGAGCCCAATGGGCTTTCAAACCCACTCCACCTTTGAACCTTAGTAGAATTGAATTTCGGACAGGAAAAAATACTGCACAAAAAAAAATACAAAATAACAAAAAAGCAAACATTGTATATGATAATATGAGTAAACAATTGGCCAGCACAAACAATTTAATTTAAAGGGAATTAGGATCAATCAATAAATAAATATAATTTGATTGGAAATGTTAAGAGCATGAATTAATAAGATAAAAAATAACTCTTGCAATTATTTAAAAATAATTTAATTTACCATCTCTTTCTCTTTAACTGTCAATTTATATGATATGTCTATATTTAAAAAATATTCTAAAATATAAATTATTTGACTTTTTTTGTTTAATGTTGATAAAAATTGACACTAGGAAATTTAAATTCAACCATTGAATCAATAAAATTCATTATTTTTTAAGAAATTAGTGCCAGTGAGTAATAGTTGATAAAAACTTAAACACAGTTGATTCAAGAGCCATGTTAAATGAATTAAAAGCTGAATAAAAAGGAATTAATTTACGATTGTATTAGAAAGATCTGATGATAAAAAAGTATAAAATATATATTTTTTTGTAGTGAATCCACAGAAACACTAAAATGAACAACAAAGTCTGAAAACAGTAAAAGAAGGAAGGTCCTTTTGAAATCCCAGTATGTTTGACTCTTTTGTCTTAACCTTTTCAGCTTCCTTCTCAACCTCCTTTCTTTCCTTCTATAGCTTTCTGCACAACATCAATATTGAATACCACCATCCTCCATTCTTAAAATATGCTTCATCATAAAAGGCTAATTCACCATTCAACCATCATCATCATCATCATCATCATCATCTTCTTCTTCTTCTTCTTCTTATTATTATTATTAATTTCCAACCCCACAACATTCAATCAACCCACCCACTACACATAATATATACTGTCATTTTATAATACAAATTATTTAACAAAGTCGTACTTCTTTTTCTCAAACATAGGATCAACAAATTAATTTTCTTTAAATCTATATATTTGACAATTTATGTTTTTTAACCTATTCTGCACATCACAGTGATGGCAAGTTGAGGTCTGATATTGTTGTACAGATAAAAACAAATGGGTAGCATATACTTACCCTTTTTTTGTCTGATTATCATAATAATTAACACATAATCCCCTAATAAATAATACACACAATCTGAAGAATTATGGATTTGTGTCTTTGGCATGCGTAAACACAGAAAGACAAGAAACACATGATGTGTTGTTCTTTGGAATAAAATGATTGGGAAATTAAAGAGAGTTGAGTCATGTTATTTCATCACATGCGTGGATAAGGAATCCAGGAACCAGGTCTCCCCGCAGATACTTGTGATTTGATTCATGAGATTCCAAAAGTTAAAACAAAACCCACATACAGATAATTAATCTAACCACCAATTCTATATATTCTAAGTTTTGGGATACTTTATATTATAGGGGTTCCTACTAACCTGGCGTGAGGTCAATTTTAATAGGTTAATTAGTGTTCTAGAAATTGATTCAGAATTTTAGTTTAGGATAATTATATGAAAACTATATTATTTAATAACCACTTATTTGTATAATTGACTACTGTTATAATCAATGATTAGTTAAAGTTTATTTTTATTTTATTTTTTTAAGTTTAGTAAAAAATAGTTCCTTCCATTTAAAGTCTTTCCAAATAATATTTTTCCAATTTATTAACTAAAAAAAATGATAACTAATGTTTTATATTCCACACTTATAAAAAAAAAATCACATGAATTTATTCATCACATGACAAATCCAATTAATCTCTCATAGTCAAAGGCAATAATGTTTCCAAACATAATTCGGTGATAAAAGTGATATTCATATTCAACTAATCAAGTTATATATAAATTATCATAATTTCATATCATTTATCATTTTATAATAAACATCTACTGACATTTTGATTAGTACAATATTTCCTAAGTTTTTCGGATGTTATCATTATCTTTTTCTGTTCATGTCATTGGTGAGGTGTACCCATGGTATTTCTTGATTGAAATATGTATTTGCATAATCTGTTATGTTTAAATTCAGGAACAATACAGATTTATTGAATAAAATGATCATGAGTTCTTTGAAGTAATTTTTGACTTTCTTTATTGAATGTTTCAATGACAAGCATGGTTCCAGGCACCTTGTAAACACCTTGTTAGGTTTAACAGGAGAAGATTGTTCTCTTCGCCGCGGTTGCGAGGGAGTTGCAGCCATCGACGACGATGATTTTGCCGGAGAGGTAAGTACCATCGCCCTTGTGCAAATAGACAAGTTTTCAATAGGAGAATTTCTCGGATCCAACATATGGATTCCAAGAATGAGATGCTTCATCTTTTCCTGTAAAGAATGCTCTTCTTTCAATGATGATAAAAACAGGTCTCAGTCATTGGTAGTGATCATGTTTTGGTGGTTCGGCAAAATGATTTATGTATTGTTGTTCTTGGAGGGAGTGGCTACACTGCATTGCAATGATTGAATCAAATTCAATGGGAACGAATAGTGTGAGTTGGTATTTAAACCCCTCTATACAATTTTGGTTAATAGTAATGAAAAAACAAAATTATGGTGGGATGAGGATATATAGTTTGACCCACAAATCAAAATAGGAGAAGGATTATTCTATAGGGGAACGTGAATACAGTACTTTCATGTGGCAGACAATAGTAAAAGATTAAAAGGTCCCAGTATGATTCCAATGCCCTACACATTGTTCTTCTTCATATCATCTTGCTGAGAAAGTCATCCAAAGAATCAATCACTGAATTATACAATAATATTCAGAGTTCTTCATGTGTTCCATATCGAACTATGGCAAAAAAAAAAAAAAAACTTGAAATGAGATTACAATCATTGACATCAATAATCCATGGTTTACTTAAGTTAAAGAAAAAGTTAAGAGAAAAAAAACTAGTGAAACTTGAATAAATAGATGGAAAATTAGTTTGGATGTATAAACTTTTATATAAACACTAATAGAAGATGAAACTAAGAAATAAAATAAAATAAACTTCTTCTTACACTAAAACTGGATATATAAATTAAAAATCCAACTTTAACAAGTTATTATGAAAACTTTAACAAATTAATTTATGAAAAATAGTTTTTTTTTAATTGTTCATGAACAGGTTTAAATTAATACATGTTTTTTCCTTTAACCATTTGCACCTCCTCCTTTAGTTCATTTATCAACATTCTCAATAAACACAACCCCTTACCCCACAAAAACCTCAACAAGCTCAAACTTAGCCTCAAGCAAAACCCCCTTTTTTTCTAAATATTTTAGGAAAATAAAATATAAACGGAAATTTAAATAACATCACTCTAACTCTTTACATTTAATATGCAAGATTGAACGAATTTGTCAACAAAAAAAGGTCTCATTTTAAATGATCTAACAATTTTAAAGTTCGTATTTTGTGCTGCTCGTCTGATTTCAAACACGCAACTTTATTGCTAGTTAAAATATTTTTTATTACCATTAAAAACAAATGAATGCTTAAAATCACTTTAACTCGACTGAATATAATTTAAATTTGAATAGATGGATATTTGTTATTTACAGGAAGTTGATCGCTGAATACTGTCAATTTGACAAAATATAAAGTTCATTATTAAAAATAGTTTTGTTTTAAAAATAAAAAATAAAAATATTTGAAATTAGAGTTAGAAAAGCGAGAGAGATAAATTTAGAAAAAAATAAGTATAAATGTTGTGGTGATATTTAAACAATGGAAAACAAGTTTAAAGTATCCCTTATGAAAGATGGCCTTTAAACGTGTGGTTGAAAATGCGAAGTGCGAAGAAAAGTGTGTGGTTCAGTGAAATGAGAAAGAAGAAGAGTGTTGATCCGTGGGAGGTGGGTGAGTGATGTTATTTTAAATTGAACATTTCTATGCACCCTCTTGCTTCATCCTTTTCTCCGCTAGATTAATTGCTGACTTCAAATCAAACCCACCAATCTTCTGCATCACTCCCTATGTACAACCACTTTCTATGTACAAAAACTACACAGATCATATTCTAGATAATCAAAAACAGTAATGTAGGAATATAAGAAAAGAGTGTAAGATAGAGTCTAGCAAAACTTCTGGGGTAATTTACTTTAGTTTGTTTGATAATAAGAATGAATAAAGAGTTTAGTCCAATAGGTCACATAGACATAAGTTTTTCTTACAAGCTTTAAACAATCTACCACAATCGCATTTTTAATCTTTTAGTAGTATGAATTTAACCTTATTTCAAATTATTAAAATATATGTTTTATAAAAAATGTTTTGAACAATTTTAATTGCTGGCAACAAATTTTAAAATGTAATAAAATAAATGTTAGTGTTAAGAAAGTGAAATAAAAATTACAAATGCATTAAATATTAATAAGGTAGTTTTTAATAAAAAATATTCATTTACTATCCATGTGATTAAGATGGTTGTTAGTTATATGTTTTTAACGTTTTACTATTTAAGATAATTTCTAAAAAGTAATGTTGAGAGATTCACTGATATAATAATAAAATATGATTTGAAAGAAAATTGAAAATGTAAAACGTAAGGATGGTGACTAGAGAAGAGAGTTTAATAGAAAATAGTGCACCACAGTAGAGTGAATGGAGTGGCACAAAAGATGAGAGAGAATGACCTAAAGGGGCAAGGAGAACCCCACCTTTCATCCCACTCTTCTTTTTTATTTATTTATCTCTTTCTTTACAGTACTTAAACAGTACAGGTAGGTTGGATTTTATGTGTGTGTGGTAAGAGTCTCTTTCAGTTTTCAGTGAGAGAAAGAAAGAGGGTGTGTGTGTATAAGAGGAGGAGGAGGTTGATGACTTTGTTATCACAAAGGAAGAAGAAACAAGATAGAAAAACGCTCTACTTCTGCTTCTCTATATCTATCTTATTATCATATGTTTGCAAAAGTCTTCTGCAAAAGAATTCCCTTGCTGGGAAAAGATAAAGATGATTTTTGCTTACCTTTGTTTTCTTTTCTTTTGGAAACAGTGCTTTGCCAGATTTGTATGTGTGGTTATGAGATCTTCAATCGCTTTCCTTTCTCTGACTCTAATGAAGACAGTGACACTTCCCATCCTTTTCTCTCTCCCTCTGCTACTTCTTTCACACACCTTCACTTCTCTTCTCTTCACTGATTTCTGCTTCTGACCATTCAACTCTCTCTTCCTCTTTTCTGTTTTATAAGTTCTGCACTCTTTGATTTAGCTTGTTAATTTACTTTTACATCTCATTGGATCTTCTAATTCTGTTTTCTTCACTCCTATTGCTTCTCATTTGTTTAGCAGTGCTTCTCATATCGTCCTTATGTTGAAGCTTCGGATTGTAGAACTTTATGAGAACGGTAAAGTGTAAGTATAAGATGCAGTGCATACGGTTTATTTGTTTGTATCTGCATGCTATCTGCATTACACAGCATAAGTTGGCCTTTTAATTTTTCTGTTTATGAATATAACATTGCATTCGTGTTCAAATCGAAAAAAGAAGCTCTGGTTTTTGCTCAATTAGTCATATTCACAATATGTCTTTATATGTTGATCCTTCACTTGTGCATGGATAAGGGTACGCACTTCTGTAAGAAATTGATCTTGAAAATTTCTGAAAATGTCTTGTATCCAGATTTTGTTCTTTGGTTGCTTTAACACTTAGGGTTAGGGTTCTTTGGTAGAATACGCTTTTCAATATTTTGAAAGCCATTGCATTGAAGTTGTAAAATTGATGCTACTTCCAATGAAATACAGTACTTTCTCTGTCATCTGATAGTGTAGTAAATTTGTAATTTGTAATTTATAAACATATATTTAAATGGGAAGGATGATGGTTCCGTCGCACTATATCATTCCTTCTGTTCCTTCTCATGTGAAATGATCTGATTTACCTTCTAAAAAATAAGTAACTTTCACAAGACACAAGCCACAACTGTATATATGAATCAGAGCCTATGGTTAAAGATTACATGTTATAATTATCAGTGAGTTAACTTTTATAGATTTTATTAACACTGTTAATTCTGTTTCAAAGTCTAATAGTATTTTGTAATTATCATTTGATTGTTGTTGTGTCCCTTGTAAATGTGATTAACTTCACTTATTTATTGAAGATCTAACCAATCATCCATGGTCTTTTGAAGTCTAAATATATTTTACAAATTTGTTTGAGCATTGTCTCGTTTGGATTTTGTAATGATTGACCTTGTGTGTTATAATATATCAATATTTTTGTTAAGTTCTGCCTTAAATATGCAATTAAAATTGGCTTTTGATTAATATTGAGGATGTACCTATTATTAAGAATAGTTGAAGAGAGCTTCCTTCAGTCCACTCATGGGTGGGTAAGGGGTTTGAATTAGCTGCTGACTCATTCATTCAAACACAATAGATCCAACATCATGATATGCTATTGTGAATGTGTGAATGATGCAGGAGATAAATTTCTTCCTTTTCTTGTCTTTGCTTGGACTGAAGGGAGCTCCCTCTAACTGTTTATAATGTTATTTTTGGATTCATTTCTCTTTTTTCTCCTTATATTCTTAACAAAGCTTATATGAATATACATTTTTAACAATTCGATTATTACTTATTTTGTGTTTTCAATTCATGCATGCATTTCATTAATCCAATCATGATACTTCATTTTTGTGCTATAGAATTTGTGGCATGAGGTTCCCTGTAAATTATCTAAACCATAATAAGTGTTAAACCATTGAAAAATTGTAATGTTTTTTGGTACCTTGTCATCTTTTTTAATGTGATATTATGGATTTAGGGCTAATCTTTTGTGGCTTTAGCTTTACTTATTGACATCACTTTTGGTGATAGTTAGAACACATTGCAACTTCAATCCACATAATTTTCTGGCAGGTCTAGAATCAATTTTAGACCTAAAGATATAACATAATGGTTATCCCTTGGTACCTCAAATTAAGGAATATCTGTTATAATTTTGTGTAGTAATTTTTAGATTTAAATAATGTTTTATGTGTAAAATTGCTGCCAAAATCTACTAATAAAACTGATAGTTTCCAAAGGTTTTGTTGTCTTATGCACTATGTTAGAATTACCATCTCAAGTAGTAAACCAGATTTCTTAGTGCGCAAGATGAATTACCTTTGCTTATTTGAAAATTCTTGTTAGTATTTTCTGAGGGAACATGTTTTAATAAATTCGTTAAAAAGCTCTTCACACATGTAATGATTCAAAATTTTAATTGCAAAACCATTTTAGGTTAGAAAGAGTAAATTTTGTACACTGTTCAGTTGAGAGGAAGAGGGAAGATAGAAGATGATAAACATAATGTAATATGCTTGGTAAAAAAAAAAAAGTAATTTTTAAAAAAATTGTCAAATTGAGTATTAGTTTTTACTAATTTTTATTATGAACTTTTTACTTTATCAATTATTCTATATTTAACTCATTTCTTTTATTTATTCTACCAAACTGGGCTCTGGGAAACCACACAGGTATTTGCTTTTTTTATGGGGTAATTGGACAGTGGTTTATGACCATAAATCATTGTTCATGTACGAAGTTATGCATAAAATTGTTTGAGATATTTCTAGTGTAATTAATACTAATCATATATGATTAATTATATTCTAGGTTTTTTTACTTCATTTATTTTTAGCATGGAAAAATAAACATTGGGTGTATTTATAGCAGTTTATAAAAGAGAGAATTGTAGGCCACACAAAAGTTATGCATTGAATCATACTCTTCTCTGAGCATTCATATTGGTTGGTTTTCTAGCCCTGAACTCAGTTTTGTCTTTGAAATCTGCCAACATCGATTGTGGAGGGTTGACTATCACTTAATTCCCAAATAACAAAACAAAAACAAACATTGGCCACACAAAAAAACACTCGAGTTCCTAAGTAACTAAAACAAACACTTCACCGTATCGGTTTTTCTCACAGGAAGAGTTCTTGTAGGCGAACAATATGATTATGCTGACCTCCTTTTGTGTCATTACCAGGTAGTGTTTTTACCATAAAACTGTCAATTTTTTTTAAGCAAACAACCTTGTAAACGCTAGAGAGTAGATAATAATGATCTATAATAATTAGAACAAATGTAAATTACTAATTTATACATCTTTGAGATTCTACTACTACTTGAGAATAAGGCTGTTACATAGCTGTTTGTAGACTGACAATCTACATTTGTGTCATATTCTTTTTTCATATTTTCTTCTTGGAGTAACGTTGTTGTAATAATAATTGCATAACTGATCAATCTTCTGGATTCTGACCAGTGTTGCAGTAATGTAATTAATTAAATATTAGCCGTGCAATCGGCGCCACAGACCCTGCCTTTTTGTGTATCATCACTGTTCACTAGGCTGGGTCTAGCACTCTAGCTAGAGATTGGAACTTGGAGCTATAACGTTCTAGTTTGTTTGACATTGGTGAGATTTATTTTTCCCAATTTCCTCTTAAAATCTCGTGCAGTATTAATTCAACTGTAACCTTCAATTTATTTGTCTTGAAAGTATATAAAGAAGATCCAGGGGGGATATTCTTGTCTAATATAGTATATTATACTGTTTTCATATAATACATGCATTGATAGTAGTCCTAATTTTGTTTTCTTTAAAAAAAATATGCTTTAGTTTCTTGATTATTTAAACCTTTATGAAGACATGCAACGTATTTTTGAGGATAATATCACAATACAGTACTATCTTAAAATCCAGGGTGAAGAGTTTCATATACCTGGGTGCTTCGTATTACCAAATGATAATTTATGTGTTCCTCTTTCCTGCATACTTCCAAAAGGACATGGTATTATTATATAGTTTTGCATGTGTATGACTGGACTAAAACTAGGCTAGTTACATTAGGAGATCGAGATGCAAGTACAATTGAACTGAATCTCTTACTTTTTACCTATTTATTTAATATAGATTTTTTGATAAATGGCCATGTGATGTGTTAAAGTCATAAAGTTCTCTTAAATCTGAAGTGGATTTTCCTTCAATTCCCTTTTGTCCATATGTTAGAATACCCATATATTATTTTTTATAATCATGTTCAGTGTTGATGTTAATGCAGGACCACTAGTCCTTCTTCTTTGTTTAGGGACGTATGAGTCATTTTAAATTTTTTATAATCTGTTGCATGCAACGTGTTAAAAAATCATTTGCTAATTTGATTGCTAGAGGGCTTATATTGGCTAAAATTTTCAATTCTTTTGATGATAAAACAAAATAACACTTGTCTCCATTGTTGTACGGGCTTGTGTAAGTATTTTAGTATTTTTCAATTATTCATCTCCTCACGTTAACCCTTCATCAATGGTGGTCCAAAGTGAATGTGAGTGATGTTTATTGTATATTCCCGCTTAGTTAGGTTGAATGTTCAGATGATGAGTGCATGACAAGATATGCATGCTGGAATTCTTGTAAGAGAGATGGTGAAACAATTTGTTCTGGTACATATGCAAGTGGGGTGCGTGGTCTCAGAAAGCTTTTTCAATCACTAAGATTTATCTGAGAAAGCTGAGCTTGAAAGGCCAACCAACAAGGTTGGTGGAGAGGGTTTTGCATTCCATAGGGCAAACAATAAGGGAACAAGGACAAAGAAAAGTAATAAATATAATAGAGTAACAAAAAAAAGAGTCCATTATGGAGGACATTGCATGTGCCATGGACAGTAGTGTTGTTTACTTCTTCTTGTAAGGGTTTAGGGTTTAAGCCAATACAAGGCTTGATAACTTGGATTTAGAAAGTAAAACAAACCTACTGTCATATCTCTCTCCTTCTGAAGTGATAACAGTATGCTTGTGTGTGCTTATGTTTTGTTCTTTTAAGGCGTTCATGGGCACCATTAACAAGCAAGCACAGGTTAAAACACTGTTTGTAGTCAGAATATGAGTCCACTTAAAAAGAATTCTGGAGTCACATGGTGTTTTCTCCACTGACCCTTCATCCTTTTTCACTGATACATGATAATAGTCTCTTGATATCTTATTTTCTCAAGATTTTTGTCTCTGTCCATGAATCTAACATGGCCCGAGTCCTCGTTTTTCACGAAGAAACTTGAGGATAGTGACACCACTCTCAGTGCAAGTGCCAGTACATTAAATACAAAAGTGTGGGGTTTCACCTGTGGTGGTGTGGTCCAGCTGAGTGTGATGGCAGCTGGGTAATCAATGATGTATAGATATGGTAAAAGGGCAAGGGTAGTTATTCATTTGGATGATACTCTTTTTTGGTTTCAATATTATAATATATTAAACCTTCAACTAGTGTTTTTGAGCTGTCCTTGTCACTGATGCTGTAGAGAGTCTCTACAATCTTATATTTATTCTAAAGTGTTAAGGTTCAGCCAAATTAATAATCTCTAATGTTATTATCATTAAAGGGTTTAGAATCATCTTCGGAAGGTGGTAGACAACAATAATAATTATGACGGTGATGGGGATCATGAATGGGACATAACTTCTGATTTTATTTTCTGGCTAAGGTGGAAGTCACTAGAATTATACTTTCTGTCTGGTGTGCACCTTAACCTCTTAAGCACCACACTGACGCCTTACTCCTAACAAGTCATCAACTTTATTTATGGGAACTTGGATAATCAAAGAATTGTGTTGTTTAATTATTAGTAGGGGACAACTTGAATATTTCACTGCTAAAGTGTTCTTCCATTCAATAGCAATATATTTTAAACTCTATTGTTTCTTTGCTGCTTGGTAGCAATGTGCATCTCATCTTCCCCTTTTCAGGTTTAATATACCTCTCAACATTACCACTGAATCATGTGCTTTAATTTTATAATTAACTTTAGAATGTTTGGGTAATATTTGATTTTTTTTTAAATTATAGTCAAAATTTAGCCACATAAGAAACTCTTGGACAAATTTTTTTGAAAAATTTATTTTAATTATATACAAGTTAATTTAATTTATAAACAAGTTTATTTTATTTTTACAAAGTTTAACACATTCTAAACGTGTGTTTGAAGTAATGAACAAAGTTGTACATAAGCACAACAATATTATATGTTTCTAACTTTAAACTCAGATTCAACATGAATCCTCCAGCACGAATCAACTTCATAGAAAATGGTAAAAATGTGAATAAAACTGCATTATATGTGACAGATAAATATTCACTATCAGTCTCTTCCAATAATATAACTGACACACTGAATGAATTTATATAATAAAAGTTTAACTCCAAAAATATACCACCATTGAAACCAAATAAGATAGTGGAAGGTTGAGTATCAACAAAACAAAAGTATTTGTTGTTTATATCTAAGACCAAATACAAAGAGTTCCACCTTATAAAATTATCTTAAGTCTACCAACAACTAAGCAAGTAGATAATTTGGAAAGTGTAGAGATAAGTTTTAGTCAAATTCATGAAACCGAGTTTGCCTGCCATTGTTCAATAGATCGGCAAAGATGTGATCATCAGCATTTCACCAAACTTAGAGTCGAAGCTCCAAGTCAATCTTCTCAGCATCATTAGCCTGATTATCAGTTGCATCATTCTGCCTCCTCTCTTTCCCAAATCACCACTCTTTCCAGTGGCTGGTTATTTCTCCTCCACATTTCTATATGTCTGATGTTAAAAGACATAATCTGAGGTGAGATTGGCTGTGACTTTTGCATAGGAAATGGACCCATAGGGTTGATCACTCCAACCCCCTTCTGTAGGTCTTGGTAACAGAATGTAAGGGGATTTGCATGCTGTGTCTCATTCAGTATTTTTGCATGGTTAAAAACTTGTGCCGGGTTCATGCTTGGACCAAACATTTCTTCCGAATTCCCATGCACGGATGACTCTAGATTCAAATAAAACGAAAAGTTCTTTGGGGTTGACCATGCTGAAGAGTTTCCAGCTTCAGAAGGCAAGGTTGATAACCTAGAGTGTGAGGAGTTTGTAGGTGAATAATATATACAGGCATCTTATCTTTGTCTACTCTCTCAGCTTTAGCATCCACCAACATTGCCTTCTCCATGGTCTCAGTGCGTGCATCATTAGCAATGTGTCTCAGTTTTTCCATCAAAAATTTGCCAAAACTTGAGATATTGCCGCTTCCTGAGTTCTGCGATTTCAGAAGACGCAGTGTTTCCATCCAAAATTTCCAAAAACTTGAGATGGTGCTGCTTCCTGGCTTCATGCTATTACAACTTCTGCCAAGCACTGAAGATCCTCTTTGTTATTGTTTGACTGCAAATCAGCATAGTGATGTTGGTGTTTATAGTTAATTTAAAAACTCAGAAACTGGGAGTTTAGTAAATCGGTAAAGAAAATAAAATTAAACAAGCAGCAAAGGGGATATACTTTGAAATTTTATTAACTTCATATATAATTTCACACTAGTACAATTTTTTGTTTAGAAAAGTTAGCAGATGAAAAACAAGTACTCGGTGGAAGTGCCATGTTAGTATAAACTAGACATTATAGAGTGAGTTTGGTGAGTCTCTATTAAGTGTTTTAAAATTTGGGATGGACAATGATGTTTTCTAGGAATTTTAGATCTTGATTTTGTTAATAGTTTTATAAAATACACACAATTCAACACATTTACCATACTTACTTGAGTCGGGAGCATTCATGTTTTCTTCGTACAGTGACTTGTCTCCATTTTCTTGGGCAAGTGTGTTAGAACTAGTACCTATGTTTTCACCTGTGTCAAGAAAAGATTGAAAATAAATTAATTTCCCTTAATCATCCAAATAAGGAAATAATCTTGAAAAGTATTTTAGTTGATTGTATATTCCTGAAAGCTTTGATAAAGAAACTATAAGAATTTAACACACACGTTCGCAGTAAACATCACATATCATCTTGAAATAAGTTGAAGAAATTAAATTATTAATTAAGTTATGCTTATCCAGTTTTGTCTCCTAATTCGTTATTACATAATAAAAAACATTTTTATTAGAAGCTGAAATTTTGTACAGATGATCCAAATCTCTATCACTATACAGTCTTAGTGGGTATATAACATAAAACTAGAAACTGCATCATAAAGGTGAGTATGGAACAGAGTTCTTTTACCAGCAAATTTAGGAAGAAATATATGAAAATTCATCTGGAAGTATATCACCAAATGAATATTAATTAAATAGGTAAAACAAATTCAAAGAAGTGTCCAAATAAATATGAAATTCTTTTACTGTGTAGGCGACGAAGAGAAAGAATGTGATATAGTAGAAGATGATCCTCAAATAAACTTAGAAAAAAGAAAAAAAAAAACTCTTTAGCAGATAAATGTGACTGAATAAATTATTCAGTGTTATAAATCACAATGCAATTTATATAACTATCTATATAATGCCACTAAACAATTGTTTTCATAGTAATTAATAGTCATCACTTGTCTTGAGATAGATGTGATTTTTCTATAAATATTTATTCTTAATCTTGGCTGGTTTCATCTTCACATTTTACCTTTCTATCCTCTCTTTTTTTTTACTGCCCATAGCAATGATTCTGGTGTTACTTCTCTTCTCTCTATGCTATGATTTATAAAAAAATAAAAAAAATAAAAAAATGAAGCTACATGTCTTAACACTATATACACCATTCTCATACCATACAGTCAATGTCTAGCATGAGATTAGAGGGATAAGTTTCTTTACTTCAGTGTAGTAAATATGTAATTTACTACACTGAAGATAATGCATAAAATGCTAAAAAACTGTAGATGGGTCTTAATACCTTTACCTGCAGAGAGAAATATTAAAGGATCGCCATTTTTCTTCTTGAGGTGTTAATTTTAGGGGTGGGGATAATCGCACCACACTCAAACATAACGATAAATATTATTCGCTTAAAATATTCCAACCAAAACCACAATAGATCCCATGATAATGATAAAATTTAATTTTCACACGATAAGATTTAAATATCAATATTTTTTTATTTTATTTTACGTAAAAATAAATTATATATAGAAAAAGAGAGATCTATGTACTCTAAAAATAAAAGTTAATATTTATTTTTATTCTATCATTTATTTTTTTATATCTAATAATTTAAAGTAATAGTTTATATTAATCATTAAATTAAAAAACTGAATAATGATAAGCAAATTTCTAAGATTAAGTGGTTTTTTTTTCTCTATATATAAATAAATAGAGGCTGCTTTTCAATTTTATAAGAAAATATCAACAACAAAAAATCATGATTAAAAATAAATCTCATAAGATTATATACTTTAATTGTTTTTTTTTCTTTCCCTTACTCCTAGTGGTCTCTTTATAAAATTTAGAACAAAAACAATATATATATTAAAAAAAACAGTTTGTTTTGCAAAGATGATATTATTTCACCCCTCGCTACCACTCTTCATATCTATCAATTTTTTTAATTTAATTTTTAGTTGCTAAAATTGAGGTAATTTTTGTCATCATCGCCCAAATTAAAAAAATTTAATCCTTTAAAATTGAAAAAAAAAAACTATTTTAGTAAAATTGAGACAAAAATAAAGTTTTGATGAATTAGAATTTAAGATTTATAGTTTAGAATATAGGTTACACTTTATTATCTAGGATTTAAATTTTTTTAGTTAATTAAATTCAGTATTTATATGCTAAAATATTTTTGTTTTCAATTTTGAGGAAAATTTTCTTGGGGACTAAAATTAAAATTATCCGAATTGAGTAAAAATATAATTAAACCTTTCCCTTAATTTGTTGATAGAAATATTTGAACTGAAACTAGTTTTTGTTGTTATTTGTCTAAATATAGAATGAAAACTAATTTCGATTGTGCATTTGATATCCCCATCCCATCCCTTTGCAACATTCATAGTGTGTCTGTGTTGATTCTCTTCCCTTTCTATGGAAATTCTAAAACAAAGAATTCATCTCTCACACTCCTTGTGGACCTACACATCAGCAAGGCCATTATTAGAACAAGGGGTCCAATATTCATTCCCATTAAATGACACTTGATATTCCCTGCTTCAAGAATTGGCCTAGCTAACACTACAAAATGTACTGTAGAGGGTAAGAAAAGCTTAAAACAAGCTAGGTATCACAAAACTTCAAAATTGTAATGAAATACATGGACTATTATTAACATTGCATTATGCATTTTTTTCTCACCAAGAGGGAGGTTGAAGCTTTCTATCACTTTTATGCTCCCAGCTTGATGGCTGTATCAATTGCATCAACTGAGTTATTTTGCTGTCCCCACAGTTGTGCGTATCTTCCTGCTTTTGATAAGAGCACTTCATGTGGTCCTTGCTCAATCACCTTCCCATTTTCCAAAACAATAATCTGAACATTGGCAAATAAAGATTTTAATGTAAGCTCGTCATATATCTACTGTTATGAAATCAACCTTTTTAAAGATGTCTTGGCTAACTAAAAAGATGTATCCAACTACAAGATAGAGTTACTATCAGAAAAAAAAAATAGTAACTATGTTCTGGAGCTAGGAGAACATTCAGACAGGCACAAATACAATCTAGGAACGAAGTACTGTTTAAGGACACAAAACTAGACAGTTTACCTCATCACACTGCATTGCAGTGGTAAGCCTGTGAGCAATGAATATGGAAGTTCGATTTTTTGCTACTGACTTTAAGGCACTTAAAATCTCTGCTTCTGTTGTGCTGTCAAGAGCACTTGTGGCTTCATCACACAACCTAATAGAAAGACAGTACAAAGGCAAAGGGAAGCAATTAAAAAAAAAAGTTGACTAACATTTATTTATTCTATGTTGGCTAACATTGATGCTTCTCACTTGATTTGAATCACAAGGATCTTCCATGATTGAAGAGTGACAAAGTATATCTTATTTAGAATTTAAATCAGATTGTTGAATTAGTATGCAGCATGACCACTATCTCAGTCGGGACCTATAGGTTATTTATTTACCATACCCATGTTTATAATTTTAATCAGAAAACAACATCACAATATTATTATAAACGGTAAATTTTAATTAAACAAAAATCAAGTCACAATTTCAACATCCCCTTACATGTGTATGGTTGCTTATCTTAATTTTGTTGGTCTTCCAAGGTCACATAGATTTAAGCACAGCACAAAAATTCATTCTAATGTTAAGGTTGCTAAAGTAAGTGTCAACTTAATTTTGCAATTGATCCCATATTAATACTTAAAACACTATCTCCACTAATTTCTCTCATTCAAAGTATAGTTTTTTTTAACTAACAGAGCTTATATAAGCAATGCATGTAATTTGCTCCAATTGTAAATTTTGCTCAACAACCTCTGTGAGCAACTGCATTAGAAATGACCAAATTGGTCTGGTGTCTCTTCAAATTGATCATGTCTTGTAAAGTCTATCTATAGTTAACAGGAAAATGGTGAACTTAGGACCGCAAGCACAAAGGATGAAATTAGGTGCAACACTCAACTAGATATGTGATGCAGGAAGTGGGTTTAGTAAGTTCAGGGCTTTCAATTGTGGTATTTTCAGAGTACTGGAACATGTCGAATACGCATGGATGTGTAACTAATACTTATCACTCTTTAGCCCATGTAAAGCACCAAATTGTATATTACCCAGTGGTTTGGCGTATATTACTAAACAAAGCAAATTACTAATTCACTCCCTTCCATACCTGAGCCTTTAGTTATCCTATTATTTAATTACTTTATTTAGAAATTATGCCATACCGTATTTTAGAAACTGACTTTACCCATATTAATTATGTAACATAGGTTACAATTCATTTGAGCTCCGAAATAACACAAGAGTCTAATAAGATTAAAATTATACTTTTCCAGTTATCCGTTTGACATATTTGGTCGAACTTTTTCATATTCTAGAAAGAAAAACATAAACTCCTTCTAGAAAAAAACAAAACCTGAAATTAGCTTATTGAAAAGCTAACTTGCAGAAACTCTCACTACTTCCTAAGTTTTTACTTTTAACTTGTGCATAAGCTAATTTTAGGGAGAAGTTAATTTCATTTTTTTCTTCTTCTTACTTTTCTCTCCATAAGAGTCCAAATATGCCCTCTCTCTAATTTTCCTACTTTTTCTTAGTACATCCTTAGCCATGTTAGGATATCTCATTTGGTCTCTTTGGATATCCACGTTTGGTTTCCTTGAATAGTTTTATTGGGTAAAAAACAATTTTCTCTTTCCCTTTTGCGGAGTATTCATTTTATTACTTCATGGCTTTTTTTTATGCTTAATATATTTGTTCCTTTATCTGCAGAATATCTAATTTCGATTTCTGTCCTGATGGAACTCATTAGCTTGAAAGTATAAGGACTAAGAAAACACTATGGTTCTAAAAATAACAAAAATTTACAAAGACAAACATAAAGGAAATACATTAATCTCATGATGTTCATCAAATAATTGAACTTGAAACCAAGCCAAAAAGGAAAAACAAAATTTATTCTTTATTCAATTAAAGAAAGAAATGAAATAAAGAAACGACATTAATCTCACAAAATTCGTAGAATAATGAACCTGAAACCAGCTACAAAGGAAAAGCAAACCTTATTCTTTCTTCAATCAAAGAAAGAAATGAAAAAAAGGAGGGAAATTAATCTCATGAAATTCATAAAATAATTGAAATTTTGAAACAAAGTAAAAAAGGGAAAACAAAAATAATTTTCTATCAACAGACGAAAGAAATGAAATAAAAGAAAGACATTAATCTCATGAAATTCATAAAATAATTGAATTTAAAATTAAATCAAAAAAGGAAAAACAAAACCATTTAAACTCCACACTAGAATCCTATACTTAGTTTGTTTAAGGAGATACGTATGGCAGCCCGTAAGCCTACAAGTACTCCTCCCATGGATTTGAACCTTAAATTGGATAATGTATATGATAGCATAATAGTGAATAAGGCCATGTATCAAGCTCTAGATGGAAAATTGATTTACTTTTACAAAAGATTTGCTATTGGTTTCGTAATCTTTTTCAAACCTTAAATTAGGTAATGAAGATATGCATATCTAATTTACTTTCTTTCTAATAGGTAATCTTTTTCTTGAGGTAACTCAATTACCATACTTAATAGAAATTATTGGATTCCATGATTGAGAAGAAAGCAGACAAATTCATTAAAATAATTTCAATCCATAAAGACAATTTCAGCTAGAACTAGGTAAATATAAAAATACAATACTATACTCAACAAAAAGTGACAAGTAAATTATGTGTAGAATACTCACAGAATTGCAGGTGCTTTTAAGAATGCACGAGCTAGGGCAACACGTTGCTTCTCACCACCACTTAACTGTTTAGAAAAGCCATTCACGTTTTAAGAGTTTGTTATTGTAAACTTCTACCATTTGAAAGAAAAAAAAAACTCACTATGTAAGAGAACATGGGATTGTATTTCCCTAGGTAGACATTTCATCACTCACAAGCATAGTCAGACCATTAGGTAGATCTTTAACACTTCAATTTAAAAAATCTCAATGACGGACTTTCTAATCTAGAATTTGGTTGAGACTAATCAGGTATGACTTCTATAATAAAACCTAAAAAATGTATGCACTCATACATAAATATATGGAAATTTCGCCACGAAGGCCACATCTTCACTCACTCAAGTAACTTCTTTTTCTAATTTCTTTACACAATGCATTTATGTCCGTTTAAAAATAAATTGTCACGTCAAAAGTTAATAACATTGACTTTTCTGAATACATCTACATTGTGGGTGTTTCTTACAGAGATCGGAGATTTGCAATCCATAACCCTTCTTACCCTTAATAAGTTGTCAACCAAAAAACACAATACTGAGAAACAAATTTAAAAAAGTGGGGATTTCTATCACCTTAAGTCCTCGCTCTCCGACAACAGTTGAATATTTATCAGGAAAATTCATGATAGTGTTATGAATTGCTGCTTGCCGAGCAGCTTCATAGACCTGTATGCATATATAGTAATAAGCACAACTTGGAACCTAACAGCGGAAATTTGAAAGGTGGAGAAGCAAGCAGAAGTACGACATTAGAGAAGTTACCTCCTCTTTTGTTGCAGAAAGCCGACCATAGTGAATGTTATGAAATATTGTATCGTTGAAAAGTACCTGTCCACAATCACTTAGGTTTCACAACTTGCAAATCTGGCAGAGGCAACATGAGATTGTAGAGATAAGTGCTTTGTTCAACTTACAGTATCTTGTGGAACAACACCAATGGACTTCCGCAAACTCTCAAGGGTTACCTCTCGAATATCTTGATCGTCTATCTTTATCTGTAAAGTACAAGACAAAAATGAGAATGAGAGAAAAGCAATGGCTAACTTAAAGATAAAAGACAACAACCAAGCTTCATGATGGTTACTTATTAGTGGGCACATTACAAGGATGGCAGATCAAAAAATGTCCTTGGACTCAATCAAAAGCCTTAATTATGAATACAACCTGCTTGCACTAAGTGATCACTAGTACCCACTATTAATATCTAGAAATTCATAAAGCCTTAATTATTTGAAAGCCTTTATGTAGTTCATTCTTTATTGAACCCTATAAACACACCTGTTGAGCCATATAGCACAAGTGTTAAAAATCGTGCATCCCTCGGTCCAAATGAGACAGGATGACACTACATGTCATATATATCATGTTAATATAGCTTAAACTCACTACAGAGTGCGTCAATTGATTCATATCTTACACTTCCAGAATTAGGATCAAAGAACCTGAATAGCAATCTAAGAATGGTTGATTTTCCTGTCCAGAAATACAAATTTGAAGCATGTCAGAAATGAATATGTATTATTTTATTATTAGAGAGGAGAATATTCAACAGCCAGAAAATGCAACAGCACCATATTTAAATTTGTTCACTGAGGGATTTCATTCTTTAAGGAGTAGGTATATCATACAAGAACTAAAGAATATTAAACTTCAATATCATAGGAAAACCCATTAAAAAGAGAAGATTCTATTCAAACGAGGTTGGCTGGGAAAAAAAATTATGGAAACTTCTCTCCCAACTAACTAATAGCCATGGTTTTAATGAAGTAAAACTAACAGCCAAAGCTTCAAAACAATAAGCAATGAATTATCAAATGTTAAACAAATAGAGATCAAATACTAGAACTACAACAACTGATAATTGTTGAAATGGCCAGACGTACAAAAAGTAAATAATATACAATCATCCCCCTACTAGAGCTGGCAAAATGGACGAATTAATTAGAAAAATTGTGTTGGCCCGACTCGTAGGAGCCAAAAAATTTGGCCCAATCCTGTTTTATATCAAGCTTTGACCTGATTTAAAAGAAATTAAAACAATAAATATATTTTTAAAAATTTAAGCCAAATAAATAAAACTATTTCAATTTATAGATGCAGTGATTTAATATATAAATTCTAACACATGTATATGTTACAATAAAATCATATTATTTTCAATTTTTTAAAAATTATAATCATTATTTTTAAAAATATGATGACCCATAAACCTCTGGGTTGGTCAACTAGTGGATTAAACTAGCCGAGCCAAAATTATCACCCTTCAATTTAGGCAGCTACTTTTTCGCCCTAACCCAACCCATTTTGCAGGCTGTTCAGACCAGCACATTGTACCAAACCTATTTTATCAGCTCTAACAGCTATGCTAGCCGCTGTTGACTACTATGACTACTTTATGTTCTATCTACTTTGAGTTTTTATTTGTAATGACTATTAGTGCATGAATTTTGAGTTATTTTCTCTTTCTATATATATATATGCGCATGTAAAAATATTAGAGTAACAGTCAACCCACAATCCACTACACAGCTATCCACTTCAAGGATTAGCCGCTTTGCTCCACTCCACTATCCGTGGATTGAATTTTATGGTTATAGCAGCTGCTATTTAGCTGCACCCTGGGTAGCACTTCATATTGCAAAAACTGAAACAATTTGTGATGTGAATTAGGGAGTGGAGTATGGTAGCAGATAGCTGCCATTCGCAGCCATTGTCAAATAACTATGTGAAAACCATTTGCTAAATAGTGATGAAGAGTAAAAATATATCATAGGAAATTCAATTCCGTTTCAATCTCCAGCAATAGGAAGCGGAAGATTTATTTAAGGACAACTTTGCATGTCAAATGATTTAAGTAAATACAGAATTATCATGCTGAAGCTTACCACTTCCACTAGTTCCAACAATTGCAACACTTTTACCAGCTGGCACAACAAGTGATATTCCATCTAGTATCTTTCTTTCGGTGAGGTAACTGAAGAGATAAGATGCGTGTTATACAATCACTTGAATGTCGGTCAAAACTCAAAAGTACCATTGCATCAGACATAAATTTGGCTTCTTAATTTTATAATGCATCAATCTCTCTATTAATATTACCATACAATCAATAGGAATTTTAACACATACTGCAGTAAAGAGGCAATCACGCACCTAAAATGTACATTCTCAAATTGGATTCTCCCCCATTAAATCTCAGAGGCTTTGTATTTTCTTTGTCCCTAATGTCTGCTCTTTCCTGTAATAATAATAATAATAATAATAATAATAATAATAATAAAATAAAAAATAAAAAAATAAATAATAAATAATAAATAATAATAACAGAAAAAGCAAAGAAGACAACATATCCAGAAAGGTAGAGATCTAGTAAATATGATCACATAACTAGACAACATATCTTTGAATACATGAAGACAACAATACAGACGTTAGAAACAAAGTAACACATGTTTCTTTTGCAATTACACAATGCTCACAAGAATGCAGACAACTGATCAAAAGAAAGAAAAAAATAACCACCTAGCAATTAGGAACAAACAATACTAACTCAGACAAAAGAAATTACACAATATCCACCATGCCAAAAAATTTTAGAAATAATTCATAATTGACGATACACATTTAAAGTTAACTGCAAAATAATTTATTAAAATTCCACAGGGAAGATACCTCAAGTAACTGAAACATCGATTTCATGTCAATTAAACTCTGCATAGTCTCTCGATAAACACTACCAAGGAAATTAAGTGGAAGAGATAGTTGAAAGAGAAGCCCATTCACCATTACCTGCATATTGAATTTAGATTATAATCCAGGTAACAATTAATAAATATGGATAGAATAATTTTATTTAATTATTTCAAGAAAAGAAGATATTCATTATGACACAGAAGAAAAATAAAAGAGATTGGAGAATAAGGAGTCCTTCTAACGTGAAAGCAAACATAAATATTTAAGAACAAATATAAACTTCAATGAAGCAAAGCTACCCAACCCTCAAACTAGAACTAAATTTGACAAAACTTTACCAAATCACCAACAGTCATCGTCCCATCCATGATCCCATGAGAGCACAGCACCATTGCTGATGAAAGAGCAGTACTAAATATAACATTTTGACCAAAGTTCAACAAAGCAAGACTGCGTTGGGTTTTCAGAGCAGCATCTTCATATCCTAGATAATGATATATTACAAGCAACAGCAGGACAAGCGACATCAATTATAAGAAAGAATTAAGAGAAGCAGCACAAATGAAATTTGGGAAGGTGACAATATTTTTCATTTTGTTGATAGAATAAGATATTAAAAGATTAGATTCAAGAAGAAAGCATACAATAGAATAGAAGGAATAAAACAAATCATGAATAATTCATTTATCTCACTATTACAAGACTTGATATTTCTATGCAGTTGGAATTGCCAATCCATTCATGCAAAATCCTCACATTGACCAGTGGAACGTTATGATTCACAAATAAGAAATGAGACTCACAAATCTGTGATTTTCAATAAATCTTAGGACTAGTAAAAACTTTGTTCAAAAGAGGGGGTGTTAGAAAGTGTTAGTAGAATTTTTCAAACCTATAATTCCAATTACAAGTTCCCTAGAAGTTTAAATCTAGATGTCAGTCAAATCAGAGCAAAGTTCAATTTTGGTTTCCTTTCCGTTATTCATGTTCTTATCAAAACCTTTTCAATGCTGACTACTTCTTGAATTAAATTTATATTTTGAATTTATTAATCATTTATATGACCTTTATTATTTATTATCAATGATTCATAAGGAACCAAAGATATATTTCTTATTTCATTTGGCCTCTATTCGTATTGTACCCTTTTTTTATATTTTCTTCTCTTTCTAATTCCTTAATAAAAAGTACTATTAGAAAGAAAAATGTACAGTAACATAGATATGATAATGATATCCTCTCAAACAGAAAACAAATACAATATGCAGAACAAACAGGAAAAAAAAATAACAGATCCAATGAGCAAAGCTAGCTAATCTCTCTACATGTCCAACTCAAAAACCCTCCAAAGGATGACTGCAAAGAAGCATTGCCCTTCCTTTCCTCCAATTCAATCAACAAAATTCAGTCTTAAATATACTTCTTACTAATATAAAACTAGTTAGCAGATTTCATTAAAAGAAAATGTCACACACATGAACACAGTGAATTCATCTATGCATGCCAAAAAGTGAGACCTCACAAAAAGTAAAGCTTGGTATCGAAGTGCATTTTTTAACTGACTAATTTTTCTTCACTCAATTTATTTCAAGGCAATGCATATACAGTGAAAATCAACTTACTAAATCAAGAAAATTTAAGACAATAAAAAAAACTAGGCTCACATAAGTTTCATGTCCCTACTATATGACATTTTTGTTTGGAGTACTCAATAAATATCTTCTACAAATTGGACACAAAATGAATTAAAATTTTGGTTTCAATCTATAAGTTACCTCCGTCAATTCTACTACCCATGTCGTTGAAACACATGTAATGTAACACAATCTAAAGTGTTGAAGAATGATATGAATTAACTCTCTTTTGTTACTTGTATTGACCCCCTATATCATCATATGATGGAAAACTATCCGTTATTATGATAAATAAATAAGTTGACAGATCAAAAGAGAAATCTAAAAATATTTTAGGGATTAGTTAAAAGAGCCAACGGAATAATGAGGATAAAATACTAATAAATATTATGAACTTAAACCAAAATTTTGTAATTCATTTAGGTACCCTATTGGAAGAAAAAATTTATTGGATACTCAATAAAAATAGGTCATATATTAAGGACATAGAACTTATTTAAGCCAAAAAACTAATACCTAATTCTCAATAAGACAAAAATACCTATCACAGCATTACTAAAATTTTATTTAAAAGATAAACCAAATTGTACAGAATCTACAAGTACTAATATCTGGTTATGGCTTGATAGCAAGATATTTTCATTCTTAGAACAAAAAAGAGCAATTAGAATATACAAAATAACTAGTGCCATTTTGCACACGAAATTTAACAAGAAAAATCAATCACTTACTCTTTAGGTACTTGTCATAGTTACCAGCTTCATACACTTCATTATTAAAATATTTGACAGTCTGTAAAACAAGAAGAAGAAAAAAAGTGATAATAAAAACACTAAAATGAAGATAACATTAAAAAAAACTTGCTTTAATGACTGAAATGCTCACCTCATAATTAATAAGTGAATCAATAACCCTCGTACTGGCATCATTATCCGCCTTATTCATGGCTCTCCTGAACTTAGTCCTCCACTGAAAAACCAGAAAACATGAGTCAATGAATACTATAATCAATTATTTTTTCAACAAATCCACTGCAGCATTAGCTGGCCTAAACAAAATTTACATCTGTACTGAGATCTGAAACTTTATTTCATACAAAAGAAAATTGAAAAATTACTAAATGAGGTTTATTAAGAAATTATGTTGGTAGTCATAAAGGGGTTAAACATTTATGGGAATGTGAAATCCAAGTTACTATCAACTACTATTTGTTGGAACATAAGGCTCATCATTTTAGGTAGGATTCTATCATATTTCATCTTAAACCAATTGACACTAAATGAAGTTGTCCAATATATCAGCCACATTTCAAGAAATGAGACAAGTGATGTGCAACTTCCCGATACCCCCTCAATAGATGCCTACCAAAACAGGTGCGTCTTCTATAATAGGAAATTACTAAGATGAGTTATAAGCTTTGATGTCATATCAGATTTCATCTTAAAACCAATTAGCATTAAGCAAACTTGTACACCAAACATATAAGCCGCATCCCAATAATTGAGATAAGCGATGTGGCACTTTCCAACAGTTTCTTTGGCCTATTAGCTGATTGAGGGAAAGATTTGGCAATTCATGCTCACTTGGTGTACAAAGGTTGTTTTAGGTTTCCCCATCTTTAATTATAGAAACCAATCTCATCCGTCTTAATCAAAAACTAAGAGGAATAAAAGAAAAAAGATAAGTGATAATTTTGTACACAAGGATCCTGACCATAAAACCATGGCTAAAAGTTAAAGAGGTGAAATGATGTACAAGGCTGCCACAAGTCATTAACAAATATAACAAGACCAAAAAGCAATACAAGGGAGTACCAAACTATTCCTAGTTTAACTATATTAGATAATTAGATTGGTTACCTGTGTGATAGACAGTGTAAAAATAACATAAGCAGCAACTGATAAGGAAGTAATCAGCGCAAAGGGAGCTCCAAATTTATAGGCCAGTATACCTGCTACCAAAGATATCTGGATGGATACATGTTAAATCTGCTGAAGTTGTTAAACAAAGAAACAAGAGTTGGGATGACAAAATAATTTTCAAAGATCATTAAAAAAGCCTCAAAGAGAACAGGAAGTCACAAATAAAAATACAGTTGCTAAATATCTTCTATGCTTATCAGTTAGCAACATTGGGGGAATACATCATTGAGCTAAGCAATCAGGGAATAACTGAGGCGTACCTCTAATATGGTGGGTACTACATTGAACACCATAGAAGAGAGAATGAAATTTATTCCACGACTACCACGGTCAATTATTCTACTTAATGCACCAGTTTCTCGGCTGGAAAAACAATAATTAAGCGAGTACACAATTAAACAATAGATGAACATTCAAAACAAAGAACACAAGAATAAATAGAGGTAAATATTTTGGGACTTTGATGATTTAGTTAATAATAATTCACATGTAATGTAAATTAGTTATCGTAGTGAATGTCAGTATTCTTAAATGTGTAAATAAACACAATTCTCGCAAGTAGATACAGACAGAGAATTACTTGCATTCCTAAATAACAACTAGTAGATGTTCACACGAGCAGAAAATCAACCATGAATCATGAATTACAAGAGAAGATGCTCAGTGCTCAAACCAAATTGAATGGTTGGTCTATTCCTGCTTCAATGACAAACCCTTTGAAAATTCCAAACATAGTATTTTTTGGTGTAGACAGTCCAAGCCCAAAATCAAATACATGCCAATTTATAATAATAGGATATTAATGAATTTCTTTTTGAACAGGGTGGGGGGAGCTACGAAGAAACTCATATAACCAGAAAACTGTAAAATAATTCAGAGATCTTGGAAAAGCGCTCCTTTGGAATCTAAATGTAAATAACTCATGAAAGGCTATTAGAAAATCAACCAAAAACTCTCAATGCATTCCAAGGTGAAACTATAATTTCCTTTTTAATCAAACCTTCAAGTAAGTCCTGTTTATTAGGAAGCAACAATCACAAGGTAAAGATTAAAAAAGTAAATAACATAAAAGAGGGAAACAAATATCCCATGATATCCTATCACACTTGTATCAATAGGTTAGTCCATCAATATGAATGAGCCCAGCAAAGGTAATATCAATGTGAGCCGAGGGTTGAACCAAGTTTATTCTCTCTTCAGACATAGTGAATATGTATCAGGCAGCAGAGGAACATACAAGGTAAGGCAATCCGAAAAATGATTAAATAACGAGTGACGGATGGCTTCCAACAGAAAAATTTCTCAAAGATAAAACAGACCCCTGGAATAGGACTAGAGGATGTCTCTGATCTGTCCAATGTTAGGATTGAGCGCTTACCACTAAGCCAAAAGTTATAACTATTAGTCAGAGCGTAACTCTTTTTACTTAAGAGTATCAGCCCAAACGCCACGATTCGATTGTGACTCGCCTCATCCGGCCTCGGCCACGGACAGAACAATTGATGCTACCTGCAACAATCTCCCCCTCAGCAATTGTCGTACAAGGAATCCCACTCTTGGATTATGACTCGGCCCACCCGGCCTCCGCCACGGGACAATTGTGCAACCCGCAACAATCTCCCCCTTAACAATTGTCCACCAGGAATCAAACTTGTGACCTTGGCTTTGATACCAATTGTTAGGATCGAGCGCTTACCACTAGGCAAACAACTATAGCTATTAGTCAGAGCGCAACTTTTTTTACTTAAGAGTAACAGTCCAAGCGTCACAATTCAATTGTGACTCGGCCCACCCGGCCTCCGCCAATTGATGCTACCTGCAACAATCTCCCCCTCAGCAATTGTCCTACAAGGAATCCCACTCTTGGATTGTGACTCGGCCCACCCGACCTCCGCCATGGGACAATTGTGCAAGCCGTAACAATCTCCCCCTTAACAATTGTCCACCAGGAATCAAACTCGTGTGAACTTGGCTCTGAAACCAATTGTTAGGATCGAGCGCTTACCACTTGGCCAAAAGCTATAGCCATTAGTCAGAGCGCAACTCTTTTTACTTAAGAGTAACAGTCCAAGCGCCACGATTCGGTTGTGACTCAGTCCACCCGGCCTCCACCACGGGACAATTGATGCTACCTGCAACACCCAAAGCACTTTCCAAGGGTGGATGATAGCTGGCAGCTGACAACAATTTGCAGCTAATAGGTTTGGAATTGTGTATAAAAGGAGGAATAATAGAATGTGACAGTTATAACCTCCTGTAGATGTTTTTCAATGTACTTGATTATTATAAATAGTCAAGGTTTTGTTGGAAAGAGGGCAATTAGTTTTTTCTAAGAAGGAAAGGAGTTATGGGAGAGTGAGGTCCTATTGAAAGATCCTCAACTGTTGTATCTTGTTACTATTATCTACCATGTTGGCAGAAACAATTTTCTTAGTAATAAAGTTATTCAAGAATCTGTCTTGAAAGTTTTTGTGGTTACAACTTGTTCTATCAACTGGTATTCAGAGCCTCTTTCTTGGTCTTGTGGTGGCTTATGATTAGCACTAGGATGGAATCAAGACTCAACGCTTTAGAACGTATGCTTCAAGAATCTGTGCGTGATAAAGATAAATCATAGAATGAACAAGCATGAGCGTTTGCTATGCCTAGAGAATATGATCAGTGGCCTTATGATTGTGGTGGAGAAGATGTCAGGTGCATCGACGTTTGGGCAAAATAAGAATGTGATTACACTGCAAAAACTATTGAACAAGATCAAGATTGGCAGCCAAATAGTGGGTCACGCTGGCGTAAATTAGATATTCCCATATTTGCGGGAGATGACGCTTTTGGCTGGACCAACAAGTTGGAGAGATACTTTCGCCTGCAAGAAGTATCTGAAGTGGAAAGAATGTAGGTTGTGATAATAGCATTGGAGGGAAAGGCCTTAAATTGGTTCCAATGGTGAGAGTCTTGCAATCCAAATTTGGATATCACCAAATTCGTATGAAGGAAGAAGATATTGAGAAGACAGCTTTCCGGACACATAAGGGTCACTATGAATTTTTAGTCACGCCCTTTTGGTTGACAAATGCCCCAGCAACCTTTCAATCACTTATGAATGAGATTCTTAAAGAAGGTTTGTATTAGTGTTTTTTTATGATATTTTGGTTTACAGTTCTTCCTTGGATTTATACCTTCAACATTTATCACAAGTATTGCAATTGCTAAATGATCATAAGTTGAAGGTTAATAAGAAGAAATGTAGTTTTGGTCAAGAGAATTGAATAGTTGGGCCACGTGATTTCAGGGAATGGGGTATCAGTTGACCCTAAGAAGGTTGAGGCTATGTGCAATTGGCCAAGACCGAAGGATGTTACTACTTTAAGGGGCTTCCTTGGATTAACTAGGTACTATAGAAGATTTATCCAGAACTATGAAAAAATTGCTCAGCCTTTAACACAATTGTTAAAGAAGGAAAGGTTTAATTGGTCTGATGAAGCCTAACAAGCCTTCGAAGCATTAAAGGCTGTTGTGTCACAATTTCCTACCTTAGTGGTACAAGATTTTTCCATACCCTTTGTGGATGAGACGGATGCTTCTAGCAAGGGGTTGGGTGCTGCTTTGTTATAAGAAGACAGACCTTTAGCCTTCTGGAGTCAAGCTTTGTCGGAGAGAGGGCAAAGAAAATCTATTTATGAATGTGAATTAATGGCAATGGTTCAAGCGGTGCAAAAGTGGAAACACTACTTGATGGGTACTCATTTTACCGTTGTCACATATCAGAAAAGCTTTAAGTTTTTGAATGACCAGAAGTTGTTGACAGAAAAACAATTTGGATGGGCTTCCAAGCTTATTGGATTCGATTTTGACATTAAATATAGACATGGAAAAGAGAATATGGTTGTTGATGCATTGTTTAGACAAGTTCGTTTCCATATTTCCATTCTACAACCCCAAGAATGGGAAGATTTAGATATGGAAATGCAAAAGGATGCGAAGATGAATGTCATCATGCACAACTTGCTGGTGGAACCTACTGCTCATGAACATTATGAGATGAAGAAAGGGCAGTTATACTAAAAAGGTAAACTAATTTTGCCTAGGCACTATGGTAGAATTCCTACTATAATTGAAGAGTTGCATGAATTCCCTCTAGGAGGCCACAATGGTTACTTTTGCACTCTTAAAAGAATTAGAGGTGTTTTATATTGGGAAAGAATGAGAAAATATATTAAGACCTTTATGATGTAGTGTGAAACGTGTCAGCGGAATAAAAGTGAAACTTTAGCCCCTGCTAGCTTATTACAACCTTTGCCGGTTCCAACTCAAGTGTGGTCTGACATTTCCATGGATTTCATCGAGGGTCTACCTAAAGCTAAAGGGAAGGATACTATTTTTGTGGTGGTAGACAGATTCACGAAGTATGCTCACTTCTTAGCCTTATCACATCCTTACACTGCTGCAGATGTGGCTCAAATTTTTGTAAAAGAAGTGGTTAGACTCCATGGGTTTCCTTCCACAATTGTATCAGGCCGGGACCAATTATTTTTAAGCCAATTTTGGAAGGAGTTGTTTAAATAGGCAGGAACAAAGTTGAAATATAGGACGGCATACCATCCACAAACAGATGGTCAAACGGAAGTGGTAAACCGCTGTTTGGAGACTTATCTAAGGTGTATGATAGGATTTCAACCTAAGCTTTGGCCTACTTGGATACCTTGGGCTGAATTTTGGTTTAACACTAATTACAATGCCTCTTCTAAAATGATACCTTTTAAAGCTTTATATGGCCAAGATCCTCCTTTAGTTTTGAAGGGGATAACCATTCCATCCTAAGTTGAAAGTGTGAATCAGTTACAAGAAGAAAGAGATGCTATTTTGAAAGACTTGAAGTACAATTTATACTGGGCCCAAGAGAAAAATAGACTTCAAGCCAATAAACACAGAAGAGAAGTCACCTATCAAGTGGGAGATTGGGTCTAAAGATCCAACCTTATCGATTCAAGTCCCTCGTAAAACGGCCTAATGAGAAATTGAGTCCTAGATTCTATGGCCCTTATCAGATTCTAGAATGCATTGGCCAAGTAGCATATAAGTTGCGACTCCCTGAACACAGTCGCATCCATCCTGTTTTCCATGTCTCTACTCAAACCAACTGTGAGGACCATGGTAGCATCACAATGCTTGCCTCCTATATTATCAGAAGACTACACATTGGAAGTAACCCCCCAGAAGCTCTTGGATACTCGCCTTAATTCAATGGGTGAGATGGAAGTTCTTCTCAAATGGCATCAACTTCCAGACCTTGAGAATAGTTGGGAATCTACTGCTGCTATTAAGAAGGAGTTTCCAAACTTTCACCTTGAGGACAAGGTGAATCTTCATGGGCCGAGTATTGATACGTTTGGAATTGTGTATAAAAGGAGGAATAAGGTGAATATTCATGGGCTGAGTATTGATACATTTGGAATTGTGTATAAAAGGAGGAATAACAAAATGTGACAGTTATAACCTCCTGTAGATGTTTTTCAATGTACTTGATTATTATAAATAGTCAAGGTTTTGTTGGAAAGAGGGCAATTAATTTTTTCTAAGGAAAGGAGTTGTGAGAGAGTGAGGTCCTCTCGAAAGATCCTCAATTGTTGTATCTTGTTACTGTTATCTACCACATTGGTAGAAACAGTTTCTTAATAATAAGGTCATTCAAGAATCTGTCTTGAAGGTTTCTACAGTTACAACTTGTTCTATCAGCAGCAAAGGAGGAAGAACCTGGGCACTGGAAATAATGGCTGGACTGTGGGTGCCATGAAGGCAGCTAGGGTACTATGGACACAATGAAAGCAGCTAGCTGGGGTTTATACACAGAAGCAAAACTCACCAAGGATCAGGTGCTCTAATAAAAAAAGGTATAATTTTCTGTTTCTGATTTGGATAATTATAGAGTGATTACATATCATATATATAAACTCCAACTAACCTAAATTAAGGAAATACATCTGTACAAGCCAAATTTGCCTAATTATAAAACTGCCTAATAGTACGAGTAAATCCTCGTAATTATATTACAACACATACCTTAGATGATACCGAAGGTCAAGGTCATGCAAATGTGAGAAGACCTACAACAGTCATACACGAGTGTAATTTGATTATTTTAACATCATATAACAACCTTAAGTGTGATTTTAATAAAGACACGGGATGAAGCTGTTCAAATGAGGAATAATCTTAAATCTGTGGATTTGCCTCCCCTGGAATGAAAAAGTGTGAAGAGTGTATCTATCCATGATTAAAATTAATGTACCTCACAGAATTAACCGCTTTAAAACAAACAGTGGTCCACTGTTACTTTCTCACTTAATCATTTTAGATAAATCGAATCCTAAATCATATTGTATTCTATTAATAAAAAATAGAAACAGATGTCCTAAAAATACTTATCCTTATTTGATCTACTGAAACTACGAAGCAGCATGCATACCTTCCTTGATACTAAACGAATTGTCCGCAGTGCAACCTTGGAAAATACAGCAGTCCGCAGTTCTGCCACAAGTAGTTGCACCCAATAAATAAAACTTTAACAGATGAATCATGACAAAAAAAAACCAAGAAATATAGATAAAAGTAACAACATCAATATCCTAATGGAGGATATCAACAGCTAGGGCTCATAATGACCCAAGTTGTCTCGAGCTATTTGAGACTTGCCTTGCTAACAGGTCAAAATGCTAAACTCATTAATTCGTGGACTGGGTTTCAGCTAGAAATTTTAGCCAGTCTGGTAAATTAGCATAGGTTGAACTTTCATATGCTCAGAATAAATTTGAATGTGTTGATACAAATTTTACTGGTTCATTGAGCTTGAATTACTTTTCAGCTCATAGTGAGTTGAGCTGAATCCAACAAAATGATCTATTTTTTTATTGAAAAAGAGTTGAACAAATTATTATTGCGCCTCCTGAGCCCAGCCAAGATCAATTAATTTCATTGTCAACCCCACTAGAAGTAACAATAAAGAGTAATGAGTGTGTAAAAGATAATTTCATCTCTCAAGCAAACCAATATCATTCAACTAAGACCAGTCATTAACTCATTTAAGGCATTGAGACACTAGATTACTGTCTCAGCCTTTTGAGTCATGGGTCAAACTGTTAAAACAGGTATATCAATAATATCTATATTATGTATGCAATATATCTAAATATCAATTAGAAATGAAAATTTTAAAAACTCACAATATCTTCCTTTATTTTGTTTAGAATTACTAATAAAAAAAATAGCAAATAATATGAAATTGGCCTTTTTGCTAAAGTGACTGATCCAACACTCTAAAACTCGTGAAGAAAAGAGCTAGCATCTACCATATGTCTCCGATGAGCAATGAAAGATAATAAAAAGTTTACAAAATATTAATTTTGAAATCTAAAGCACTGTCTTTCTTTTTTCAAGACCCCCTTTTGTTGACAATCAAGGCAAACAATGATGAGAACAGAAAGAACATAGAAGGCTCTGCACCAATTATGAACAAGCATAAGGCCATGAATTATCTGGTCTGGAAGCAAGTGATAGTGGCACATAGCAGCACTAGACTTAGTTTTGCAGGTTTTCACAGAAAAAAGTTTGATTCGTCCAGTCTGTACAACCGACCAGTTCACCGGTTTTTTTTTTTTTTTTTTGAAACTCACCAAGTCACAACAGATTATAACAAGTTGTCTGCATTTCCGATCTAATGTGTCAACCAGACCAATTTACATAGTTAGTTCATTGGTTGAACCAGTCAGTTTAGTCAGAGTTTCGTAACTCTGGTTGGACATGCTTCAAAATAGAAACCCTTATGGGCATTTTTTTAGTAGATATTTATGTAATTTCTGTATCATTTTTTTTTCTTTTAGGTAAGCTGTGCCTTTGGCTATTATTGGGCTTGAAATATGTTCTCTAATGTTTAAAAGTCATACCTTGATGTTCAATTCATTCTGAATTAGCTACGTTAAAAAACATAATGTAAAAAAATGGGTCCACATATATGAGGAGCCCCAAGTCCACCAAAGAAGACAAAAAATGTTGTTAGTGAAGTTAGTAGTAACCTTTGCTTCCTTACTGTGGGCTCAAAACAAAATTCGACAAGTGGCTAAGAGACTAGATAAAACATGAGGCTCCTTAGCAACATTTAAATCATTTCAAAAGTTGTTTCAGCCATATAGATGCAAGTTTCATATAAGAGGGAAAACAGGTAGCAGCAGTGGGCATAGCATGGAAGAGAGAGAAGGGGGCGACATAGGTATCTGATTAGAGCTGTACCCTTCAAGAAAATGGAAAATATTCAGTGTAAATCAGCATATAGGGTCTGCATCATTACAAAAATTGGATTTGAAGAAAAAGGGAAGAGGTTTAAGGATGAAAGTTGGAGTTCGATATCATGTGGTTGGTATGTGCAAACTTAAAAAATAATATGTGGATGTTTCCCGTGCATTGCATGGGTTAAAATCTAATTATTATCAAATGAGAATTGTATTAGTTATTCTTGTGGGATCGTAGTTAATATTTAGTTTGCTACGAGATTAGCATCTTTAAAGGTGCACATAGCTGTTTCAATTTCCCATTGTCCCTTCAATTTGCTTTGGAATAGAGATATGTTCTCAAACTCTCTCTACAAATAATGTTGCTATGTCAATACGCAAAGAGCTTCTCTACTCCTAGTTATCGCTGTTACTTTTGTTTTCGTGCCTTAGATTAGTTCAATTCAGCTCATAAAGATATATGCCTTATCCTCACTCCTAATCTATTTACTTTACTTCTCTAACATAAATAAAGGTCCAAGTCCAGCCAGCATAAAGCAAAACTTAAAGAACTATTTCGTTTGAGAATCCTAGACATTACAATTTAGAATTGTAAAGCCTGCCAATGCCACTCTCATAGGTAAGACCAGCTTTAAAAATGTAGATATAGTAAGTACATAAATACCATTGAAAGCGGAAGCTCCTGAACGCGCAATCCCATATCCAACCAACACTGCCACTGGGGTTGCAAAAAGAGCCAGCCCACTTGAACTCGAAGCAAGAGTAGCAGCACTTCCCGTGGCAGTCGTCAACGAATCAACTGCAAGCTTGAACAAGAACGGGACCTGAACATTCAAAACCTGGAAACACCCAGTGTCAACAAAAACAAGGGTCACCAATCACCATAAGCAAGTTAGCCGTAGCATAAAACCATGATCAGTAAGCAACCAGGTCACCAACCTTAGCCCCAATAAGTAAACCCAATGCAGCAATAACCCGAACCCGAAATTCAAGATTATCTTTCATCCAAAGGTAACTGGCAAGTGTGCCAAGGATCTTCACATCAGCAACTTCCCCACCAGGAACTGATGGTCGTGGTTTAGCAATGGTGGAAGAACCAGTCTTTTGGCTTTGGCTTCCCTCATCTTTGGTTGAAGATGAGAACAATGCTCGCCCATCCACAGTTGAACTCTAATCCACACAATTCCACAACCACCCGGCATCAAAGTCATTGAATTTGAACTAATTACAAGCATTTGTTTAACATAACCGAGAGGGAAAACGACAAAACTTATATGCATTTTTTTAGATACTTTTGGTGGTGTTCTCCAATTAAAATCGAAGTTTCACTTCTATAACCAATGTTGATCATTAAGGTAAACCACTATTAACCATGGGGTGAAACGTCAAGTATAATTGAAGAACTACGACAAAAGCATTTAAGAAACTGCACCTAACCTTGCCCCAAAGAAAAAATAGGTAGTTGAACTAACAGGGTGTGGTAAGTATGGTCTAGGTACTCTGCCATGTGGAGGATTGGAATTTGATGAATCAGAGAGGAACCCCTTTACAGCAAACAACAAACTTGGGCACGTTCTGTGTTTTGGGGCATTGAAACTGATTCCATAACCATAACTATGACAGGTCTTGGTGCGATTTGGGTAAATTGTGGCGATGGCAGAAACAGTTAAAATAGAGCGAACTCGATTGCCACTGCCACTGCAAGCACCGATGCTGCCATCGAGTTGAAGAAGGTGTCGAGAAGCTGAAGCAGCAGCAGCAAGCATTTTGTTGACTAGTTTTAAGTTTTTTTGTGTTTTATTTGGCTTCTGCAAATGGGTCTAAAGCGAAGGTCAGAGCTTTTTAGAGGTTGACGGATTCTGGAAGTTGAGAAAAAACCCTAATGGGATTGGAATTGAAGAATGTTAGATGAAAAAAAAAAGGGAGACATTCTTGTAGGACTTTGAAAAACTTAAGGAATAGAGAATGATGATTTTTGGTATGAGGTTAATGCACATATCATTCATTCCCCCACAGGAATAAAAGGGAAAATGAAACAGAGCCTTGCTTTACGTTTCTTCACTTGAAATTCTGAGAACCATGGAAAGAATTTGAAAAAATATGTTTCTTTATGAGGAAAAATATGGTTTTAGTTTCACTTAATTTGATTTAATTAAATAAAAATGTACTTTAGCCAATCAGTTAATTTTAATATTAGTTTGTCTTTGTAAAATTTAAAATTTGTGGTTTTAATTTATCTAAATTTGATTTAAAGTTAAAATAAAATAAAAAAACTAAAATATATTTACTATTGGTGCTCTAAATTTAAAATTGTTTTTTGTAACCTTATTTATCATTTCAGAAAAAAAAAAGTGTTTCAATCCATCTAATCAAATGTCTTATATCCAAATAATTAAATTAAAAAAAATACTGATAGACGACGTTTGATGAAAAATAAAAAGTGAGTCGTAGTAATTCATTAAACATACAAATGAAGTTGTTAACCGCGAGTAAAAGGACTTTTTTTTTTTCAAATTATTATGATTAAAATTTATATTTATATTAGAAAAAAAAGTTATCCTAAATTTCAAAGAGTGAAACATATTTAAGTTTTTTTAAAGAAGTGTTCATTTAATTAATTAATATATATATATCAATTAAGATCTTCCTAAATTTATATTTTAAAAAAACCTTTACTTATAATATTGACATTGATTAGATAGCTTACATTTTTAAATGGTTGTTCATATGTTATATTAGGATGGGTGTTAATGTTATGTAACGATTAAATAGTGACATAAATTAATTTACATAATTAAATTTATAAAACATAAAATTATGAAAGCATTAAATAGTGACAAATAATTTTAAAATTAAAAGATAAAATCAGTAAAAAAAAAATTACTTAGACAATAAGAGATAAGAAAGCATGAATTATGTGTTAAAATTTTGTTATAAATTTCTTTAAAATAAGATGGGTAATTGAAGTAGACAAAGATAAGTAAAGAGTGGTGTTAGTATATAATCTTTCCAAGAGTTTGATAAACATTTTATAGTTTAAAACAAGGCATTCTAATAAAGATGTTTCCTTTCTTTTTAGGTCAGTGCAAAACAAAAAAACAAACAAGTGATAAAATAGATATTCCATTCGTATTATTCTAATTGTTCCTCCAGTTAATAAATTCAAACATTTTTTTGTTTTTACTTGTTTCTTTAAACATAGTCCCAAGTATTAGTTTTTTTTAAGAAAAAAAAACTAGTCTTTTTAGTCAATGATTTGATATATTTCAATTTCTTAAAACGATGTTGATGAGAATCATGAATGGCTAATGGGAAAAATAGTGGAGATGGTGAAGAAAATTATGAAGATCGGTTGGTGTTTGATGATCATGACTTGGGAGAATTTTTTGCTAATGCAATGGAGTAGTGTGCCTTTAAAAAACACTAGGTAACAAGACAAATTGTATATAGTTATATTGAAGGTAAAAAGAAATAAGATACAAGAAGACTAATGGGGATAATCAAATCAAAAAGGTGGATGAGCATCGACAATGGTAAAATGAAATGGGGAAGAAGAAATCGAAGTGACACACACACAACCTGCGCTTGGAGATATGCGTGAAACAATGTACATATTTGTTGTTTTTTATAGTACATATAGGTTAAATAAACTCGTTAACTCACAATAAATCTACTCAAAAACCAGTTTACACACAAAATCGCTGAGTTCCTTTACAAACTCATTCGATGATTGTTAAATTCTATCTTTTGGTCAATTATGATGTACATAAAGTTATTTTCTTTATATATATATATATATATATATATATATATATATATATATATAATTGTAGGATAAATGTATGTTTCCATATCAAAATAATAGTTATCTTTTAGGTCAAATATGTTAGATAATAATTCAATAATTATGATATAATGTTTTGCTCAACTAGTTTGGTTAACCTAACTAACTTCATTATTTATTAGAAATATTGTATCAATAGATTTTTATATTAGATATATAATTTGTATTAAGTGTATTTCTTTCTCTCGATATTCTCTTAATACTTATTTTTAGACTCATTCTCTACTATCAAGAACTTCAAGATTTGGATTGAAGAAGAAAAGAAGAAAAAGAAGAATGGTGATGGTAAGAATTGGTGTGTGGTAATATGCGAGTGCTCGATAGCAAAAACTTAAATAGGTACGATAATTGATTTGTGAAGATGAAGACCAATTTTAGTTTTCAAGAAGTCTGGGACGTAATTCTAAATGGATGGGGGCTACCGGAGAACCCCACTGAGGCGCAGTGTGCGACATTTCAAGAGAAAAAGAAATAGATTTGCAAAGTTATGTTCAACATTCATTAGTGTGTTAATGAAAGCAGGTTTCAGAATATTTCATTGAAAAACTCAACGAAATAAGCATGAGATATACTGACGCACAATTATGCAAGCGGAGAGAAGTTAAAGATGATGCGATTTCAAACCTTGCATCATCAGTATGAGTTATTGCAGATGGGGACGCAAAAATCATCCAAGAATACTTTGCAAGGTTGCTGTTGATCACAAACTTGATGAAATTTTATTGTAAAAGCATGAAAGAACAAGCGGTGGTGGAGAAGGTGTTGAGAACCTTTGATGCTAAGTTCAACATAAATTTTTTAGCTATCGAAAAGTCTAAGGAGCTTGATTTGTTGAAACTTGATTAATTACAAGTATTATTGGAGGCTCACAAACAACGATTATGTGAGAGAGTAAAAGAAAAGTCCAATACACAACATGCGTTATTGACAAAAGAAAACCAAAATAATAAAGGAAATCGATGAAAATTAAACAAGAGATGTTGAGAAAAAAGAAGAGGTAGAAATAATGATGGAAGAGGTTCAAGAGAGAAATAGGAGAGTTCTTCACAATCGAGAGGTGACAGAGGTAGAAACTCTTAATTGAGAGGTGGTCGATCAGGCTCTGACGTGAGTAAGAAAAATATACAATATTACAAGTATTACAAGTATGGTTTTATGTTGTTAATTGTTAAAGTAAAGAAGAAAAGTGAATGTTGCACAAAAGAAAGACTGAAGGATGAAGTTCTATTAATGGTGACCACAACGAAATCAATAAAGACTCTTGGTATTTCGATACTAGTTGTTCAAATCGCATGTCATTTCAGAAAAGTTAAATCATTGATGTCGATGAGAGTGTTAGATCAAAGATAAAATTGCAAATAATTTGACAGTAAACTGTGAAAGAAAAGGTAGAATCATGATCAGAAGAAGAGATGACAAATCTGCAATAATTTCGGATGTACTTTATGTTCTAGCCATAAAGCAAAATTTGCTGAGTATTAGACAACTACTTCAGAAAGGGTATTTGATTGATTGAAGATCGAGAGACCAAATGTTGAGAATTTTCGATAAGAATGGGGCCTTAAAGACACCTCTGAACAAGAATAGAGTTTTTCGAGTCAATATTTCAGTATCAAATAACTTGTATTTTGTAGCAACAGTCTCAGATGGCAATTGATTGTGACATTTTTGGTTTGGTCATCTTGGCTTCAATAGTTTAAGTCAACTTGCAGAGAAAGAGATGATGATTAGACTGCCTCAAGTCCAAAAATGTAAAGACATAGGTGAAAAGTTGCATGACAAGCAAATAAGTCAAAAATCCCTGTAAGGTGTGCATCAATATCAGAAGCAAGAATGCGTTGGAAGTTATATACACCAATGTGTGTAAACCCTTCGATGTTCCTTTACTAGGTGATAACAAGTATTTTGTGACATTCATCGGTGACTATAGAAAGAAGATATAGGTGTACTTGCTCAATAAGAAGTAAGAGGTATTTAGTCATTTCATCAATTTTAAATCGATGATCGAGAAATAATGTACTCAAACTATTTAAGTGTTGAGATCAAACAGTAGCAGAGAATACAACAATGATGAGTTTGTCTTTTTTTTTTACAAGAAGAATGATCTTTCCATGAAATTGTACTCTATACACACCACAACACAATAAAGTTGTGGAAATAAAAGATCGACGATTTTAAATATGATCAGAAGTATGATGAAGACCAAAGGTTTGTCACATTCATTTTGAGGAGAAGCGGTATCGATAACCATATACATCTTAAATCAATATTCAACGACAATATTCAACGAAAAGAGTGAATGAGAAAATATTAGAAGTATGATCTGGGAGAAAGTCAAATATAAAACACTTAAAAATATTTGGTTCACTTGCTTGGAGACATGTTCTAAATGAGAGGAGGAAGAATCTCAATGATAAAAACTAAAAGATGATTTTGATAGGATATCATGCAACTAGTGCGTATAAGTTGTATGATCTTATCAAGAAGATCATCATCAATAAAGATGTTATAGATGAGAAAGATTATTGGTAATGGTGTTCAATGATGAAAAAGAAGTGTTAACTTCGATGACTTAGAGAATACAGAAGTGGAAGACAAAGATTGATCAATTTCTAATAATGAAGGAGGTGAAAATCGATCAATTTTTGAAATCGAAGGAGAAGAAAGAAATCAATTAATATCAGAAATCGAAGGGAGCAGAAATAGATCGAAACATGATATCTATGGCAGAAATCGATCTCAGAAATCGAAAAAGACAAAAAATCGATCGACTTTTGGAATCGAAGGGAGGAGAAATCGATCAATTAGATCGATTAATACATCAATGAGACTCAATGATTATATGATCAATAATGATGATATTATCACAACAACTAGGCATATGATTGGAGAAACGGAGGACGAGAATGATCTTGTACACCTAGCATTGTATGTTGATGTTGAGCTTGAACCAGTTTGCTTTGAAGAAGTGATTGAGGATCTCAAGTGAATTGAAACTATGAAAAAGGATTTGTTGGCAATCAAGAAAAATAAAATATGGGAATTAACTGATATCCCAGAGAATCAAAGACCAATTGAAGTAAAATGGATGTAAAAGACAAAGTTAAAACCGGACAGAACAGTTACAAGATATAAAGTTAGACTTGTGGCGAAAGGTTTTCTACAAAGAGAAGGTTTATACTACAAAGAAGTGTATGCACCAGTTGCTAGGATGAAAATAATAAAAATAGTTGTAACTCTCGCTAACTATAAAAGATGATAAATGCATCAAATGGATGTAAAATCTATATTTTTTAATGGTAAATTGGAAGAATGATTACTAGAGCAGAACATAAAATTCTTACATTGAAGAAGGCGTTGTATGACTTTAAACAGACCCCTAGAGCCTAGAACACTAAAATCGATGGTTATCTTCAACAACAAGGATTCTTGAAGTGTGAAGTCGAGTATGAGATTTACTCGAAGATCGAAGGAGATGATATATTAATTGTTTACTTATATGTTGATGATTTGTTGATTACTGGCTGCAAAATTACTTTGATCAATAATTTTAAAAAAAGATGCAAGATCAATTAGGGATGACTGATATAGGGAAACAATCATATTTTTCTAGGAATGGAATTCATCAAAGACAAAAAAAGTATTTTGATTCACTAAAGTAAATATGCTAAAGAAGTTTAGTATAAGTGAATGTAATGCGGCAATTACACCAATTGAGACAATTTTAAAGCTTAACAAAGATGAAGATGGAAAGCCTATAGATGCTACAATTTATAGATAGATAATTAGGTGTTTAATATACTTGTATTGTAATAGACCAGATATCTACTTTGATGTTTGGTTGCTAAGTAGATTTGTGGAAAAACTTAGAGCATCTCATATTGCAATAGCTAAGGATGATTAATTTTGGTATTCTATTACCAAATACTACACATTCAGAATGAAGAATAGTTGGTTGAATATGAGAAGAGTTGGTTGGATATTCTGATTCTAACTGGGCTGAAAATAAATTTAGTTTCAAAAACACATCGGTTATGTATTCCTATTGGGAAAGTCACCAATTTCATGGTGCTTAAAATTACAACTTGTTGTAACACTCTTCTTTTGTGAAGGAATATATGGTTGCTGCTTAAACAACTTGTCAAGCACTATAGATCGAGAATTTGGTGAATCAAGTCCTTAGAAGATCAGAGAATATTATGACACAAGAGATTGACAATAAGTCAACTATAAATTTAACGAAAAATTCAATTCATCATGGGAGAAGTAAATATATTGGATTGAAATTTCACTTCATAAAAAATGAAGAAAGAAAAAGTTAAGTTTGAACATTGTGACACGAATGAGCAACTAACGGACATTATGATAAAAATTTTGAATAATCAAATATCGAAAAAATTGAGAAAGAAATTGAATATTAAATCGATTGTTAAATTAGAAGATTGTGTTAGAAAATAATTCAACAATTATGATATAATATCTAATTTTGCTAGGTTGGTTAGCCTAATTAACTTCAATTCCTATCATAAATACTTTGTCAATAGATTTTTACATTAGATATAAAATTTGTATTTAGTGTATCTCTTTCACTTTATATTCTCTCTGACACTTGTTTTTAGACCCCTTACCGCTAACAAAGACACTTCCGCTATTTGAAATTGCTTAGTGTCCTTCAACAACCAATTATTTCAACTTAATACTCTAGGCATATACACAAAAAGTTGCATTTTTTAACAGCAAAAGTTATTAAATTCTCCACATATTCTGTCTGAATACCTAATTAACCAAAAATTACCACTAGTAAGTTACATATATAACTATAAAAAAGTCCACCTTGCCAATTTATCACAACAGAATTACATTTTAATTCATACCATGACTATAAAATTTAAGGATCTTTTTCCTTGAAGAATATATGCAAGAAACACGATCAAAATCCATCTAAGAGCATGACAATTGAGGTTAAGCATATTTAATTATCAAACCTATCTTATAAATTCGTTAAGAACTAAGGCAGCCTCACATAATGAGAGATATCGCACAAGTTAGCGATCCAAAGTAGAATTAGATACCCTCACCATCATCTTATATTATTGTGAAAAATTAACAATTTCAAGATAAATGTATTGAAAGTATGTGTGACAAAAAAATATGTCAATGACATTATAAAACTGAATTGAGCACAATACTGAGTTTAATGGTCAACTCTAAGCCAAACTAACACAAATCATGTTAAGTTGATAAACTGACCCACAAAGCATTTAAATACAGTTATGGTTCCTCAAGGAAATCTTATTCTTCATCTAGATCTAATTGGAACCTTTGTCTTTGTCAATACCAACCGCATCAGAAACCAAAGTCATAGGTCTCTCATCAATCACCTCATCAATAATCCCAAAATCTTTGGCCTCATGTGGAGTCATGAAGTTATCTGCGTCCATATTAGATTGAATAACCTCAACCGACTTACCCGTATGCTTGGCATACAATTCATTCAAAGAATCCCAAACCCGAACAATCTGCTTGGCATGAACAGCAATATTTTTTGCCTGACCACTAAAACCACCAGAGGGTTGATGAATCATAATTGTTGCATTTGGAAGAGACCGCCTTTCACCGGCAGCACCAGCAGCCAATAGGAGAGAACCCATAGATGCAGCTTGACCCATACAAACTGTATTGACGGGAGACTTAATATACTGCATCGTGTCATAAATAGCAAGCCCTATGACACCAATGCCAAATCTCAGAACAGACCTTCAACAAATTATAGTTAGAAATACTAAAAATGACAAACAGCCTCCATTTTATACTACAAGGTTAGCATATCTTCATTTTAAGTTTTGATCCTTTATTCCCTATACTATGTTCTTTGTTGCAACTTTAGTCCCAAGATTTTAATTTTGTCTTTGCTAATAACTAATCTCTACAAGGAAATGTGCCAAAGTCAAGGGAGTATATCTCTGGGGTTTGTTCTAAAATATTTGACATGTGTTTGAATAACTAGTTAGACACCTTAGTTGGGCAAGTCATACATTTTTACCAGTTGAGAAATTAACATTAATTATAAATTACAGATTAAAAACCAGAAAACATACATTTTACACATCACATGTGTTCCATTTATTCTATAACAATTAGGGGTTTTGCAAATCGAGTCCCTCGAAAAAAATGCGATTTTGAAGAAGCATAAGCAATTAAAGCCAGTTAAGGGACTATGAAAGGAAAGGGGTACCAGCTGTTACGGCGCCACCAGGAGAGTTGATGTACATGTGGATGGATTTTGAAGGGTTTTCGGATTCAAGGAAAAGGAGCTGGGCAACCACCACGTGAGCAGTGTCGTCGGATATGGGTCCGTTGATGCAGATAATGCGCTCCTTGAGGAGGCGCGAGAAGATGTCGTAAGCCCTCTCTCCTCGGGAAGAGTGCTCAATCACCATTGGAATGAGACTATAAGAGCGACTACTCCATTCCAATGGAAGGTTCCTTCCATGGGATAAGAACTTCCTCGCTAAGGCGTTCGAACATTGCAAGATGCCTCTCATGTTTAACACAGTCCAAATTGGGGGTTTCGGATTTGCTTTGGTTTTGTTTGATTAGGGCGTCTCTGATTTGATTCTTCTGATGCTGTCTTATTCCTCTCTCATTCCATTTTCTAACATCAAATTATCACTGAATTATGAATTATCAAGAATAAATATTTGATTTTTGACAGCTTACAGCAAATATCCCATTTTATAAATTGTCATAAATAAAATTATAAGTAGTTAAAAATTATAATATATGAAAAAATATAAGGATATTTTATAAATTTTTTGTTTTATTTTTTAATTTTTTAATAAAATTAATAAATTAATTAATAAAATTATCATTTCCTAATAAAATTTATTATTATTATTATTTTACATTATAGAAGTGATTTACATTTTATATTAAAATATCATACATCATTTTTTATTATGTAATATATTTCTTGAAATCCTTGTTTTAAATTTCATTTAAATATTTGTTAAAATTATCAATAATTAAAAACTAATAATATACTACAATTTAAAAAATTATTTATGGTGAACTTTATCTGTAAAATAATTTATATATTTAAAAAATATTTATTAATTAAAATTAGTTGTATAAAATATTTATTATATGGATTCTACTTTGCAAAGCTAGGCCTTTCATGGTCACATTTGAAAAAGTTTTAAAATCATTTTACTTAAACTTATTTGATGTTTTAAGTAGTTTTGAAAGTATTTGAAAAAAAATTATAGAAATGTACCTTGAATAATATATATAATGGTTTTAACCTGTTTTTATAAGCTCACCAACATAGTTCATAAGATAGTTTGTGTGTGAATTCTAAAAAAATATCCACATTTAGATATTGTTGGATCTAAATATAAAAAAGAGAACTAAAATTGTAACCTATTCTAGTAAATTCTGTTTTATTTTCTTTTATATTTTATAATGATTTATCATTTCACATATATATATATATATATATATATATATATGTATATATACATATATCTATTATAATATATGATCATAATTAATTCTAGCATCTTGTTTTATATTTCAATCAAGTTTCAATTATTAATATTTTAATTAATATATTACTGATAATTGTATAACCATTGTAACATTTATTATTCACGGGTATAACACCAGAATATTGTCAACTGATTTAGTACGGTATTGTTTTCCACAACCCACAAATAGATGCAAGGTCAGAAGCACTGTCATCAAATACTTACTAAATAATTGAAGCCAGTTTTTGCAACATTTGAAGAAATACACATTTAAGCTTCGGACATTCTATACTGCATAACCATGAACAAGAACCCCAACAAAGGCACAAGGAAAATGAAGTTCCTTTTTGTAAACAAGTAGATCAGCCATAACCATGAATGATATGATTAATTAGACAAGTAAACAAGGAAAATGAAATTCTATTTTACTAAAACCATAGCAATTAATTTACAGATGCATCTTCAAAACATACAGACTTTTTTGAATGGAAAAATGCTATAAACAGCTGAACAAACACAGTCCTAAGGACCTGCCTTAAAAACCCTATTCTACTTTTTTTTTTCTCTATTCTGATACAAAAGAATAAAATAGAAATAAACACCTATTCTAGTGTTAATTGGTAACTTCTAATATCTACTCTATCTATAACTTATGAATAACATCCTAACTGTACAGAACCTTTTACGTGATGCACATGATAAAAAACCTTGTTGGTAAGTGGTAAGCTGGAAACTATATCTGCTAAACTCTTTCAACGCACTTGGACCTAGGAGCAATAGCTTGCAATTAATTCACAAATATATAATGGTTTTGCCTGCACAGGAACACATTATATTCTCCGTTTTCCACGTCTTCTGGTGTCTATATCAACAAGCCTTGATGATGATGGAGCAGGCAAGGCCGATGACAGACCAATAGATTCTGGGATATCAAGATTGACTCCCATAGTTGGGTCTGCCATTGCTCGCTTGATGTCCAAATCGTTTAATTGGTGAACTTGGATTCTTCTTTTGTCAATCTGATGATCCAAATGGTAAAATAAACAATAAAATCATGATAAACCCAAAAGACATACTGCATACTGATTCTTTGTTGAGATGAACTTACTATTTCAATATGATAAATGGATGCATGTGCATCGGCGAGTCTCCTCTGCAAATCTTCTGATTTTTTTGTCTGATACTCAGTATTGTCCATTTCGTTTCCCCTTTCACCTAATTCTTTATACAAAGCTGCAAAAACCAAGAAATATATTTGAACATTTTTTTCAATAAAAGAAATCTAATAAGAAACTTGAGACACATACAATTAAGGATGACCATAGTAAAAACAGGAATATATGTAGAATATTCAATTTTATATATATATATATATATATATATATATATATATATATATATATATATATATATATATATATATATATATATATGCGGTGCACGGAGATAGAGAGAGAGATTATAAATATATAAATAGAAAGTGGAAGAACACCCAGTGCATGATGTTCCCACTTGAAGAAGTTTGGGGAAGGTAGATGGGCATAATCTTACTCCTGCAAATGGAATCACTGATTCTAGTATTTGAACCCGCAACCTTCAATTAAATATACTGAGTAAAGCCAAGACACCATGCCGAAAATCATGCAATTTAATTATTATCCCACTTACACACCAGCCACTCTTATACAAGGTTTATCATCAAAGTTCAAAACGGAAATGAGCATAATAAATAAGCACGAAAGGTATGATACTTTCGTGGTCGTCAGTACTCTATCTCCGAAGGGTGCACCTAGGGAGCGGTTATAGCATAATAGATCTGTAGCATTCATAAACTAAGTAGGTAGTCTTAGATAAGTACCTGTCAAAACAGATAGCACCCAAATCTGAGTAGGAATATCATAAAGTTTCTTTGCTAAAGTCAAAGAAGATCTCAATATCTCCCTGGCTTGTACAGTGTCACGTAATGCAAGAGCCAAACTGCCAAGGATTGTCAAATATTGTGAAACAAGTTGTAGGTTCCCTAAATATGTATGCGTCAGCTGCAATCCCCTTGCCAGGCGATTTCTGCAACAAATTTGCAACTTAGAGAAAGGAAGAAGTAGCAATTATATATGTGGATAGAGGTAAGAGTTTAGTTGCAAGTGAGATTCTATTCAGGAGACCACTTAATTTTAAGGTCTATTTAACAGTCAAATATGTTACATTAAATTACAAACATTTAAAGAAACATCCACCAACTAAGGCGTAGCAGTGATAACGCTGGTTTTCTGTATGAATGAAACCCTTCCAAAAATTTGTCTGTACATTTTTCTTTAAAACAAACAGAAGGCACAGAAACTGTTCTCATTCTCTGTATCCATGTTTCAAAAGCTGACGCAATGAAGTAATTGGGTTAATGGTTCAACTGAGGATCTTAAATAATATATAGCAAAAGTATAATAATGAATAAATACAAGAAAAGTACATTTTTTCAATGTGGATGCATTGCACAGTTAAAATAGGGAACTCACACGAGCAGAAAACTTAACATTTATGCAGGGCACAGGTTATTCAACTACTGGTCATCTATAAACCTACCTTGCTTCTTGTAGATCCTGTTGCTTCATCAATAAAAGACCATAAGCAAAAAGAACACCTGTCTTTTCTCTAACTCCTACAAAAGAATCCATTACTCCATAAACTGGCCCGATCAAATCAAGTGCCTATGGGAAAAGTATCATTCAATTAAAAAGTATTCTCCGTGAAATTGAACTACTCAAAACAAAAGTAAAAATTTAATTTGTTAGAGGCTTTTCTCCACCTGTGAAGAAGATTCTGCATCACCAATGCAGATGTAAGAGACAGCAGCATAAACTTGGCACATAGCTTGCATTGATTTGCTGTCTGTAAGCTACACAGAAATATGTAGTCATTGCTTGGATACATGAAGTTATCCCCATCAACAATTTATAACAAGCACTAAAGAGAAAAACATAAATATGTCTGTAGCATGACATCAGAGTGTGTCAAAATTATCAAAACTGCAGAGACTACTACATCCTGTTCACTACAAAAATATCTCATCTATCTCATCGACATGTCATATGTATATATATATACCTTCACTGCTTCAATAAAATGAAAAGCAGCTTCGTTGTAACAGCCAACTGAATGAGCATATTGGCCTCTAAGCATCTCAATGATGCATTCACATGCCTGTAAAATGGTTGGAAACCGCATGAACCAATTTCTCATCTGTACCAAAGCCTGAAAATTGTAGCAGTTATCATTAATTATTTCAATGCTGGACGTAATAGAATCCACTTTATAAATCTACAAGTACAAGAAAAATATCAGAGAAGCAAGACAGCTAATAAGGTGGATTATTATTTATTAATAGCGACTTTGAAATTGTATGGAATAAAATACAAACTATCATGTCTTCTTATCATTGGTGCTGACTAAAAATTCAATAGGAAGATGACCAACCTCCTGTGCTTCGACAAATTCTGCTCGTGTGAGTTCTATAGCCACTTTGTTTTCAAGAAACTGAATTAATAGCATTAAGTACACACCAGCCATCCAGATAGAAGAGTGTTGTAAATCCACTTCTGGTAAAAAAGAAGGTCCAACAAAATGGCATAAGGAATTCTTGATTACATGGCAGCATAAGCATCTTAGGGACAAGCGAAGAATAACAAATCTCACCTCTAACACCATCAGTAATTCCAAGCTTCACTAACTCATCTGCAGGGAAGAACTTGAAAATATGAATAACTAAATATAATTGACTGATTTTAGATATGTTGTCATTTTTCACGTATGAGCCTAAATATTTTAATACCGTACCAAAATAAAACCTTATATGCATGACAGCTAATAATCATTATAATTGAGACTTTTGAAAAATACATTTTTCACAAGGTGAGACACTCTTACAGCAAAAAAATATAATTTTCATAAGGAAAATAAGTCCAAAGTAGCTACAACTTTTCAGTATCCAAATCAGGCCATAACAGCAGCTAATAACATGGAAATCCATTTAAATAACAGATATAACTCAACTCGTCAGTCATGCAATCAGAACAAATAATTCAAAGGAGTAATGCTTCTAATAAGTTGACGTATCCAAATACATCAAGATTAAAGCCTAAAAAAGAATCCAACAAAATGACATTTTATAGCTGTGAATGGACATATAGAATAGTTGAAGACCGATGGAACTGAGAGTAAATGGTCATAACTCAGACAACATAGAAAATACTTCAGACAGCAAAATACAAATTGATTTCACATGAGAAATAATTATTTTGTACGTAAAAGAAGCAACATATTTACTTTCAGGAAAGCAATAAATTGGAACAAACACAAAATGAAGATGAACAAAACACAAACTCACAAAAAAAGTTGGTGAACAACCTTGTATTAATCGCATCCCAGACTGTATGCGTTTTGCACACTCCTTAAAAAGTCCTTTTGGACGCCCAAATACAACAACTATTAGATCAACTAATGCATACACTGCACTTTTAGGAAGCCATTCACCATCAATAGGAGGAGGTGCTAACTGAAGCTTATCTCCTATGGTTCTTCTCACATTCCCAAAATATACTGGTTGCAGTGATTCCTGCCCAATTGAAGTCAACCCAGTCATGCTACTCAGTTGCTCCTGAATCATTGTTTGCTTTTTAGATAATGCTGTCCTATCCCTATAGTGAAGATCAGATCGAGAGAGACTTTGATCTAGAACATTGAGCTCCTTGACTAGTTCTTGTATATGCTGTGTTTGCTGCATATCAAACTTCATGGCAGCATCCAGATTGTCTACATGGGGTGCAGCATTCTTGTAATCACATAGTCGCAATCGGTAGAATATGTGCAGTAACTCATTATAAAATAGCAAGCCAGGGCATTGTCGTCGCTGAGAAGTGTGAGGATGCAAGTAAAAATAAATAAGAGCAAAGTTAAAAAAAGAATCATGATACATTTCAATTGAAAACATGCAGTGTCTACAACTGTGCATTGCCTGCACAGAGAAAATTAGAAAAGCAAAAAGCTAAAGTGACTCACTTTATCTAGATCAATTGACTCCCAAATCACGTTGCATTTATTAACAGCTTGCTCAACCAAATTATCATCATCCCATTGCATGAGTCGGACATGCAATATAGAAGTGGCAAAAAACATCTGCTCCATTGTTATAAAACAAAAAATTACAGACAGAGCTGATGGGCAATATTATATTAAACTCAGCACAAATGGTGTTCCTGTTATTTTAGCATAGTAGAGAGTTAACAGTTGACACACAGAATAGATGTGAAAGAAATTAAGTTTCCAAAAGGTTCTGTCTATTAGAGGTAGAAATTCACTAATGAATTGGTGGCAAAGGAATCAAATAACAGTACTTTTATGTAAGTTGCAAATTTGTAACTTTTGAGAACATACCTGCAACTCCGGGAAGCATACTTCAGTAGCACATATATATCCACACTCTAAGGCAGAGATTGAACCCTGGTAGTCTCCTTCAATCGATAAAGCATTTGCAAGCTGTGAATTGAAGTTGCAACACCACAACTTCATTGAAATCCTTCAAGAAAATAAACTAGAAACTATGAGTACGTAGCAGTAGTTGTAGTAGCAGTGTTAGCCATAATCAGGAGAGCATGTAATACAAACAACTGGACAACACATAAACATAAATGATAAATAACTGACTGTGCCACTTACCTAGTGGTTATTAATGTCAAATAACAAACATACTTGACATCTATTAAACACATTACTCATTTTAAAAAAAGAAAAGGTAATTTTGATGCTGAAAATGTACAGAATGTGTATGATACTTACAATAATTACTATAATTATTATCTACTATCTACAGACTACAGTTAATATTGTTATACCTTTAACTGAAATATATAAATAATATGTTCTAAGCTGATTGTGATTCACAAATAGAGCATACAACTAAATTAACTACACCTAATATATTAGAAAAGCCCCAATCAAAACGTTCAGCAGTCTCAGTAATAATGAACCTCCAAACTTCTCGGTAAGCATTTCTCTAAGACAAAAATAAGAAAATATCAGATGAGCTTCTAAGTTGAAATTAGTTTATACATAAGCTAATTTGTAGAAGCTCTCACATGATTTTTCTAAATTTGATTTTTTAATGTGTATAAACTAAACACATTTCATTTTTTTCTTCTTCTTTTTCTTTCTTATTTATCTTTAGTGTTTATGAAGAAGTTTGTCTTAACAGAGTCGATAGCAACAACACATAGGCATCGTCCAGATTGTGAAGCATAACATCAAAGAATAAAACGTAGTGAAACAACAACCATTGATTTTATGAAGCAACCACGCGAATAACAAATATCTAATAAGATATAACTACGCTTCATTCTCCTAAGTCCAAACCACTAGTTTCAGATGAGCTAAACTAAAACCTAAAATTAAAATTCCAGACAGAAAGATCTAAGAAAGAGAACACATACTCGTATCCAACAGATGCAGTGAGCTCAAGTCCCTTGTGCAAGACCTGTTTCTGCGGTGGAATAGCTCCGACGAGATGGTAACACTGGCTGAGCAAGCTGTACGCTCGGCACTTCAATTCGAAGCAAGACGGAAGGGACTTCAAAAGCAATTGCTGCAAAAGAGAACCAAAACATATACCATAAGCAAAGAATTTGAAGTAGTGGAAACCAATAGTAGCGAGAAATAGAAGAAGACTAACGGAACGTTCGAGGTGAGACTTGGCGTGGTTCACGTTGTGCGAATGGTGCAGAAGAAGTGTGGCAATGCGAAGACGAGTCTTGACCTCAACTATTGGGAAAAACGACACTTCGCTTTGGCATATGGCTTCGAGGCACTTCACTGCTTTCCCAATTTCTCCTCTCTTCTCGTGGTACTCCGCGAGTCCCCATAGACCCTCCGCCACCGCCTCCATCGGAACGCGATTCTGCTCCTGCTTTTGCGGTTATGCTAACCCTTTTTTTCTCTCTCTCAATCTCTCTTCGCCGCTCCCTCCAAATCGAACGCGACAATTCCACATCCAAAAATTCAACTACCGCTTTTGCGTTTCACTTTTCCTTTTTTTCGCTTGCTACTTTGCTTAGATATGGAGTCAAAAGTCAGCCACGGAAAAGAAAAAGAAAACGAACGAAAATTGAAGAAAACCAAACAGTTCGCCTACTCGTTCGGTGTTTTGCTTTAATGGGCCCTTCTTGGGCTACTCGGTCTTTCTCTGCCTTTAAATGGGTTTTTGGAGATGGATATCTTTTTCTTAAATTCTTCTTATATTTTGAAAAAAAAAAATTCACCTAAAATGTATGTATTAAAAAGCTTTTACATGGTATATTCCACATAGCAAACAAGGGGCAAAAGATATTCTATAATGCATTATTTGAATAGTAATTTTTATTGCTTTAAATAGCATTTGGCTTTCTAAAAATTTGATTATCTTTTAAAATGGCCTTAATCAAATTTAAATTTTGAACTTTTGTATTTATATTTATAAATAAATATATATTTTTCTATATACTCAATAAATACGTAAGCGGGGATAGCTCAGTTGGGAGAGCGTCAGACTGAAGATCTGAAGGTCACGTGTTCGATCCACGTTCACCGCAATTCTTTTAAATTTTCTGCATCTTTTATGTATTATTGGAACATAAATTCTTCTAAAATTATGTCGATTATTTTTTAACTTAATTTCTTTTAAATATTTTGATTCAAGTATATTTAATTTAATTTTAAAACACAGATTTATTTTCACTTTTTTGGAAAAAACTTGAAATTGATCCTCATGAAAAAAAAAACAATCTACAATCTATATTGTAATTCTTTTCGTATGTAAATTACAGATGGGTAGTTAGAGTAAGCCCCACCCCAACGAAAGTGTGAAAAGAAAGGGTAAAAGGTTAATGAAACATTTGTTTTAACTAAAGAGTTTGTTTGAATATCCTTATTATTGTAAACACTTCTACCAAAGTTTTTTTCCCATAACTTCAAATTATTTTACGCATAAATTAATTTATACAACTCTCTTATTTAATTAAAAAAACTTTATTTTTGGACAATTTTGTGTCATGAGTTTAATTACTCCGTTGTCCGTACAGTTGAACAAATTTTAGCTTTTGATTAATATCCTTATAAAAACCTTTTTTTTATGCGTATTACTTCTAATGTCTGTGAATTTAGATGATAAAGATTAAAAGAGACTAAAATAATACATGTAGGAATTAGAATGAAAATGAATTATTGTAAAGTATAAAGACTAAAAAGTAAAGTTTAAAGAACTATAAAGATTAAATGGATAATTAATCATTTTTGTTTTGGGGTTAATGAAAAGATTTATCGAAAGAAAGTGAAGAATAAATTATATGTGAAAAAAATGTTGGTTAATCTTTGCGCGAAGCATCCTCCAAATCCTGTTCCACCCCTTGGCGATTTCTGTAAATAGCTTTGGCATTCAAAGGTTTTTGGAACCTGCGTTGGAGCTCGTGATATCTTTTAACATCAAAATTGAAGTTCTTGTGAAGTATCCTCTGCCTTGACAAGAAGAGCCTCTTCATGAAGTCTTGGTAAGTGGGGTCTCTAGAAGTGAACAAGAAGTAGGAATAGCCTACAACCAAGCCAGTGGAAGTGGTGAAATATGTAATAGGTTCCATCACATCCCATGAGAATTCCCAGAATGTTAGTCTGAAGAATAGTCCAACAGTGAACACACCAAATCCAAGTCCAGACCACAGGATTCGCCTCACCTGCGAGTGTGCCAACTTGTCAATTTCCATCTTCTGCTCTTCCAGCTTCCTTAGCTCCTCCTTCGCTGGACCATCATCATCTGTTAGTTCCAGTGGAACTGCTCTTCTAACCATATCCACCACCTGATATTACCATGCAATACAAAAGGGGTCATCAATCTTCAAATCATAGGACACAAGGCTTAATTGAACAACAATGCAAAAGTACTCAACAAGATGACCAATTCTGCTTATAAGGTTCTATTCTAGTTCTAACCAGGCGAGTTTACTGGGTATCAGGACGCATGATATGTTGGTGGCTAGTTCATCTAAAGATAACCAGGCTCTTGAAACATATTTAACAGTTAGCAACAACAATGGAAGTATTCGTGAACACTACCACCAAATTTCAAGGAGACTGTTTTAAAACAGAGAAGCAGTGTTCCACATGCTATGCAGTTCAGCCAGATGAGTAATTCTTGAATTTATTGCAGAACTGAATAATTATGGTGATGAAGCATAGACATACCACTGAATTGTAATGTTGGATATTCATATTCAGAGCTATATATTACAAAAATAAAGTAGTTGGTGGATCCACAACTGTTACATAACTTGTACCAACATTTTAAACAAAGGGTCATGCTAACTTAAGACATCTGCTAAGGAATCAAAATACAGAAAACTTGTATTAAAAGATTGCATTGAAGACCATGAGACTGCATTGTAACACTTTTCAGGAAAAAATTTTATCTTAATTTTTTTCATCAGAGTGTTAAAATTTTCCTTAAACAAAACGAACATCATATTATTAATGTGCAAATGGGTAGCAAGAGTTCAGTCTAGAGCATGCATATGCAGTATAAATGGGGTAGAGAAAAGGTGTGAGTGAAAAGAGTCAAGTTTTGAGATTATCAGCACTCACAATCCATTACATACCGAGACAATTTATTAATTTGCAACCCAAAGGCAAAATACTCACAAGCCATGAACCACACCAGCGGGACCGTTACTAAAAAAGCAATGTAGCTAGCAACACAAAATATTCAAAACTTCCAATCATAACCTAAACTCTAGGGGACCATGAAAAAGGGTAATGAATGGTATCTCCTGGCATTAAATACATGGAAATAAACCTTGATCTTATCATGTTTTAAGTGAGCCCCACATGAACAAATTCAAATTATTGTTTTGAGAAATATTTGTCAAACACTTAGAATGACAAAATGATAGAATCATGGTAGGTAGCACTCACCTTATCAGGATGCAGATAGACCTTGTCTCTGTAGAGGAGAACAACTCCCGCATCATCAAGACACTTGGCAAATGCTGTAGCCTCCTCAGTATTCCTTGCAACACCCATTTTCTCACACTCTTCAAGAAGCTGACAGTAGGGAATAATCTCCTTCCCCTCCTGACCAAGCTTCGTCTTGAGGGATTCCACATTCGCCAATCTCATAAGCTTCCTAGCCTCACGGAACGACATAGACCCTTTTGTTCCCTTCCCATTATTATTATTATCATCATCATTATTATCATTTCCATTTCCACATGAATCGGAGCCGGTACCACCAGCAGAGAATGAAACTGAAGTTGTGGAACACACACCCCTCTTCATCTGCTTCAACACAAACGCCACCCCTCCTCTCCTTCCATCACATTCCCCTTCAAAACTCCTCAAAGGATCAAAAGGGTGAACCTTCCCCACACAACCATGGTTTCCACTAAAAACAAAAGACACCCTTTGTCCAAACAATGATCCTCCACCACCACACCACCATCTACTCCACATCTTGAACACTCCAAAACAAAACAAAAAAACTCAAACTTTTATCCACAAACCCCAAAAAAACCACTCTAAACAAACACTAACCAGTACAGAAATTACATACCACCCTCAAAATCAAACTTATCACGACCCATATTAACCTTTCACGTGGAGACTGATTCGCAAGCTAGCAACTTTTGTAGAAAGAGGGACCGTGTGCATTTACTGCCTCTAAAAATAAAATTAAAAAATACAAAGTAAAAGAATAAAAGAGGAAAGAGGGGCGAAGTCATCGGAGAAGGGGAAAAGAGAGAAAGAAAACTCTAATTCGGGGACCCAAAGGCAAAGCGTGTGTAGTATATAGTAGGAAAACACGTTTGCGAAGCTACTATGCATGCAACAACCACAAATGATCAGTGATACGTTTCCGTCACATTCCCGTGAGAATAGCTAACAGTCTTACACCATCAATTTGATTGGTAGTTGACAGTTTTCAACAGAAATCCGTCCTTAAGATCACAGCTTAAGCAAAGTTTATGTTTCATGTATTTAAACCATCCAAATGACAGGAGATGTGGAACTTTCATCAATACTTTTATATCGTCAAAAGAATTCCTTAATAATAACGTTCTCCTTTGGTGTCGTGTGCCAAAACAAAGTTGGATTCCTAGCTGAAGTCTTCATTCTTTCGAATTTTGGTTACAAGTTTGTAAATTGATCATCGCGAACCTGATGCTATCTGATTTGATTTACACCTAAAAATGTTGCTTTTATTGTTGAGACGTGAAATGGTAAGACAGAAAAAGGACAAAATTTGCTCCTATTTAATTCAATGATTTACATGATAGAAGTGAATAATTAGAATGTATGTTAATTTTTTAGTGAAATGCTAATTATAAATAGAGAATAATACTAAATTTATGTCAGTGATTGAAATTTTATTAGAAATGTTTCTGTGAATCATTTGTTCGTTTTTGACTGACCTTTAGAAGTAAATTAACTAATTGTAATACGTATTACACATTTTTTAGTATTTTAAATTATCACAACTTAAAATTTAAAAATATTAACTATTTTTTAGCAAAATATGTAATTTCTCCAAAATTCACGCAATAATTTTATTTGATTTCCAAAGTAATCTCACTTAATTATTTAAAATACATTATACCTATATCTCATATTACTGTAAATAAAGCTTTTGTAAAGAATTATATTTGCTCTTTTCTTTAATACTAGTCTCGTACATTAATATTTCACTCAAATACTTATATACAAAATATAATTAGACTAACTTTTCTATTAAGAATAAATTTAACTAAATATTTTCTAAAAAGCATACACAGGATTACCTTAAAAAAAACATTATATATCAGTCGGAGTCAGTAATTGAAAGAGAACAATTTATTTTCCATAAAGATTACCAATAACAGATTCCTATGCATAATTGATAATTAACCTTTTTCCATAAGCTAGCTACTTCTAGCGTACCTACCAACTGAGATTGGAAGAACATGAATTAGCTCTTGTTCATTAGAAAAAAACTCAGGAATTGAGATCATATATTGCCACTAAAAGAATTTCAATTGAGTATTCAAATTTCAAAATGTACACTTGAAGGAGAGCTTACAATTACAAGTTAAAATAAAAATGTTGATTGTGACTTTACTATAAAACAATTACTGGCCATGTCAAGATACTATGCTATGTGTATTTGTCATGCTCACTTGTTGTGTTTTGCTTTTGTGAGAGTTTTAACCATGCCCTTTGCAATCTTCCAGAACCAAAATATGTTCAACACTGCCAAAACAGAAGGCACCATAATCAAGGTGTACATGCCAAAAAGAAAGACCTCCTTCACCTGAAATTAACAATATAGTTTTCATTCAGTGGCAATAAAGAGGGGAAAATGTGAAAACTTATGTAACAGGGTCACACAGGGAATCATAGAGCACTTGCTAACCTCAACCAAACGAGTCCATATATGGTAAAAAAGGAACATGAACAGGAAAATCCTTGCAACCTACCACAGAGTAGATAATATAATTAAGCATTGAAATTTCAAGGGGTTGAAATCACTCTGCACAAAAAACACATTAAGGACTGACTGGTCTGTACCTGGAACTACCAAGAAAAGTAGTTCCATAACAACCACTGGAACCAACCGACATTGAAAGTCATAACAAAGTTTGACAACCGTGCTAACATTTATTGTACATCAAAGGACTAAGTTTCTGCATCTGCTGTTGAAAAAACAAATAGCTTCAGCATTTAAAGATCCATGTTTTAGTTAAATGACACAAACTTACCTATATATATTATCATTACCATATTCTTGACAGTATAATTAACCTACTAATTTCGTGATGTTTGCTATAGTCCAAGACTGCTAAACCTCAAGTAAGCCACCCACTTGTGATTTTTTTTTTTTCAAATAAAACAGGCTTCATCCACATACATGATGCATCCAATATTACTTTTTCATTTTTTCAAAACCCTTTTAATTATATTTTACCATTGCTTTCTAACTTGTGTTTTTAGCCCAAATATGGTTCATTCAGAACCGGATAGAAAATTACAAAACGAAAACACCAAATAGAAACCATATATGGTCATAAGTAACTCCTTCAGGTAATTAGTAACAACAGCTTATCATACAACATATTCCAAATTTCATCTCAGAGGAATTAGTTAAGAATATAAGGAGTATATTAGACAGTAATAGTACCAACCACCCGAAGAACAATGCAACGCCATTCCAAATGTAAAGTTTGGAACTCTTGAGGCCAGCAATATCCAAGTACCTATATATAAAATTAATGTTAATAGTAATTTTGATAAAAGAACATTAAGGTAAAAGAAATTCTGAGCAACACATTTACCATCTAAGATTTACAAAAGGAGTAGTGCTCTCAGAGAAAAGAACCATTAGTATGTAGATATGAGCTTGACCAGTTAGCAGAGATAGTGTAATGGAACCTATGGATAGTCCATGGTGTAGAACCTGAATGCAAATTGATGAAGTAGATTCACTTATATATCATATACCTTAATATTATTGAATTCAACATGACAAGAAAGTAAAAGATGCGCTAGAGATAAAATTCAAATATATTGTCAGATAACGTATTGATAATATTGTTAATGTGCTATAATAATAAGTAAAGATTATATTTACTTACATATTCAAGACCCCCTAAAGCTGGAAAACTCCAAAGAATCATAGCCAGATCTGTTAGAAAATAACCAGTAGAAATCTGTGCATGGAAGTATGATGAAAAAACAAAACAGAACAAGTCAACAGTCATAAATAAATTACAGAAAGCGTGTGACAGGCAGAATCTTAGCATAAGCGTTGCTAAAAAGATTTCCATGCGACAGACAAATCATATGAAAACAAGTCAAACTTTGTGATGAGACTAAGAACCAAATGTGCTTATATCTTCATCAACTTACCCCCAATACTGTATCTGATAACCTTGATGATTTAATAATAACTACGTCGTCGTGTGAATTCACATTGAAGACATCTGATAAGATGATGAGGTAGAAAGATGCAGATGATACAAAAAGAGCGTGAAACGTAGAGAATCCCCTGCATTACAAATTAGGTTAATACTTGCACATAAAAAATAGTTAATTGATACAGGAAAGACTATGCAAAGGCACTTCACCTGTTATTCCATTCAATTTTCTCTGCGCTGCTCAATTTTCCATATCCCTTGAACAACAAAGAACTCAAAATTGCAGTTGAAGTATAAGCCTTCAAGAAGGAACAAAAGAATCAGGTTTTAAAATTGCCAACAACCAGTCATTTTTAGATGTATGCCCCCTTCAGGTAACACTGAACATATGTTTCACAAAAAGAACAAATTGAAGAGGGAACAAACTGAAAATCCGTTCATAAATATACATCTAAAAGCCAATCCAATCTTAAATCACCCTAAATTAATCATGACATACCATCTTTTTTCTCAACTAGCGAGGCATTGAACTTTTCTTTGCATTTTGAAGGAATTACTCTTGAAGGAAAAAGAATGGACCACAACAATTCTAAACGAGGATGCCAATGAAGCAATTAAGAGACATATTTTTTCTCAAACCAGAGTAAACACAACTACAAGTCCACTCCAAGACCATTCCAAAGATTTATCCCACATCCAATACAAAGCCTTCACCCAACAGCTTCATCTTAAAAATGCACAACCACACAGTTCTCATAAGAAATCCATAAGGTTGCAGTATCCTTTTTGCAGTGTGCAAAGGCATCTTAATCTTAAGAGGCAACATAAAACTCACACACAACACAAGTAAAGAACAAACTGAGTTTACTTACAATAACACATAAGATGATGCCAGAAAAGATAGATGCCAGCCATAGGACTACTTTGCTTGGACTAGCATACTCATAAAAGGAGAATGAACCAAAAGCAGAAGTGAATTCCATCAAGCCCTTTTGTTCAAATTTTCTGTATCAAACCAAACAGCATCGAAGACATGACATGATATGCAAGGTATATTCTATTATGAAGAAGAGATACGACAGTGTGTTGGAGGACTCTCTCACCAAAACAAATACAAAACATGTCCATAATAATTCATAAGTTCAATTATTTTGTGTCATTTTTTGAAGGCCAAAACCCATGTGACTTTTGCCACAGTAAATACATTATGGCCATCCATTTTGCATCTCCCACTTCTCAAAATTCCTTTGAAAGCAAACAAATCCCACCAAAAGGATAGGAATTGGGTGGGACAAAAGCAAAAGAACACTTTCTTCAATGTTTAAATTTGGAGTCATGAATATGCATTGAGTTTTACATTCTTAATCAATTATAAATTATCATTATTATGACACTAAAATAATTATAGTAATGCCAACAAACTTATAATACTATTATATTTTTTAAGTTAAAAAATTTAAAATTAAAATTTTTCCAAACAAAATTCAACAATAATATTCTCTCAATGGTATATAAAACGTACTCAATGAGAAGCGAAGATGAGCACGGAATCGTGGGTTCTTAACGCGGAAGCTTCACTTGTGTCCTCTAATCCATCCACAAGCCGCGCACGTTATTGGTTGTAACTTTTGTGTTATGTAAGCTTTGAGGTTCTTTGGTGAACGTGTTTCTCGATATAGATAATTTTATCTATAAAAGGATTTCCTATTTTTATAAATGCTTTTTAGTATTTTTTTTAATGTTTTTAACTAAATATAATTAATTACATAATAAAAATAAAAACTAATAACCTCTCATTTAACCACTCAATTTTTTAAAAATAATCTCTCAATAATGTTATATGTTTACGTAAATGAAAGATTATTTTCTTATATAACATAATTTAGTTATTATTATGAAATAAAATCCCATAACATATATAAAAAATATGAAAGATTAGATATTAAAATGTCATACATTTTACTTAATGATTATCATATTTATAGTAGAAAAGGTAATCTAAAAGATGATTTAAGAGTTACAAATATATAAATCATATAAATGATAATAAGGACTAATAAAAATATTTTGTGATAAAAATATAGTGAACAAAAAAAACATTATTATTTAATATATTTTTAAAATATATTCATTTCTTCCCTTATATCAACAATTATTATTGAGATTTTGTAAATAAATATTTCAAATTTTTCATAAAAATCATTCTAAATCACAATTCTTTTAAAAGAATTATATTTTTATTTTATCTCTTTTAATATATCTTTCTTTCAACTAAAGTTAATAGATGTTTTCTTATATAATCATTGATGTTAATTTTCTAATATAAATTACAAATTTATCATTGGATAATAATGACATTTATTTCATAGATTACCATAAAATTATATCTTTAGTACTTGTGAACAAATATTTTATTAGTAGGTAATAATTATGGAGATCTAACAAGTAATATACATTTCTATATATATATATACTTGTATTTCTATAAATTATGGTTTTACAATATTTGAATAAAACAAGTTTATTTCTTCATAAAATGAAATACATAAAATATGATTTTTGTATATGAAAATTTATATACTATTAATAAATTTACAACAAATATCATGACAATTTTAATATAGTTAACAAGATATAGTAGTATTCTTATTATGGTATGGTATTTAAAAAAAATCATTTTTCTTTTCATATCTAAAAAGGAAATTTAATTACATATAAATACATCTCAATCATTAAAGTCCTTTCAATCATTTAAGTAAAAAATACATCTAAATTATTCACACAAAAATTTTAAAGTACTTACATTATTATGTATATCCTTGACATTAACTTAATCACTTAAGTTTAAAATCAGATTATAAGAAATAAGAAAACAAAGGATATTATAAAAATATATTTATTTAAATAATAAATATATAATGCAAATAAAACTTTATCATTTTAAGATTCTTCATCTCAAATTCTTTTTTTTATATATAAAATAATTAATTCTATTTCTAAGATGTTTTAATAGCTTAAACATAAACAAATATAACAATATCATTTTCAGAAAAGGATAAAATAAGATCATTTTTATTTCCTTCTTTTTAAAACAATATACTTAACACAATTATACCACAAACATCTTGATTTCTTAAACTCATGAATAAATTTATTCAACTTGATTAAATAATTAGCTTTATAATTTGTATCATTTGACAAATTAAATACTCCAATGAGTTTTATATAAATACTATTTTCAAGATAATCATACAAATAAAATGTAATAACATCCATTAAATGCAAGAGGAGTCATTCATGTACAAATAGATTAATTAAATAGTATTTATATGACTACATGTGATTCAAAAAATCAATTATATTTTATATTTCATCATTTTCATTTCTTATTTTCACAAACATTTACTTATATCTAATTGATTTAACACATTCAAATGTATTAATTATAAGTCCAAAATTCTTTCACTTATAAAAAATGTCTAATTCTCTTTTATTTCATCTTTCCATTTTGTTCAATCATTTATTTATCAACAATTTTTATGAACTTTGGTTTTTAATCCTTAACATCATTTATAATATTTAGTACTATATTATAGGAAGAAAATTATCATGAATATTAATCTCACTTTTATTCTATATTATTTAACTCATGAGATGATTAATTGAGACCTCTCAACTTTGTAATAATGTTAGACACCTAATTTTTGTTTGAAACTAATATATATTAATTATGTAAAGTGAATATTTTGAGTTTTCATCTCAATTAGTCCATCTTGTCTTTTAAATAAATAAAGCTTTTGGAAATTTTATCTTTAATTGATATATCTTGTCATTTCTTACTCAATGAATCTTATTAATACTCAACTAAAATATCAATTATAATTGGAGCATTGATGATTGATACATATAACGTAGTCACTATATTTTTGGTTAATAAATAAATGATATTTAATTCACTAAAATTTGTAAATGAATTATCTTCTAATAATTTATTATAACTAATATATTTTTCTAACTGTTTATTCTCCCTTTAATATTCCTTTAATATTGCAAAAATGTATTCATCTAACTCACAATTGACTAATTGATTCATGGAACAACTTTTGGTCAATGACTCATAATGTTTTATTGTTAATGGAATTCATATTTGAGGTATGATTAGAATACCCAAAAACATTCTTCCAATCAAAAATATTTTATTGATGACCCAAAGTACATTGTAAAAGGAAAGTATACCACGTTGATTTAGATTTAATAAAATTTGTACTATATATAATTGCATGACCTCAAATAATGATTGAAATTAATGATCTTGTAATCAATTTTAAACATTTTAAATAATTTTACAAGTCTATTAATGTTAATTGACACATAGTACTTATCAAAAGTTAGAAAAATATCTAGTTATATCTATAAAACAAATGATCATCTAATTATTACATGAAGTAAAAGTTTTAAGTTAAAATTTTTCACCATTTGATAATAATGTATATTTCAAATTATATTGCATTTAGTAACAATAATTGTAATACTAACTTCTCATGTTATCAAATACTTTTGAGAATCATATAGTTGTTGTAATATTAGCACATCACTTCTTCACAATAGTTGTATTAGTCATCTTAAAACTATGTTAAAAAATATTATGAAGAAAATATATATTTAAAATATAATTATCTTTTTACTGTATATATTATAATAAAATATTTTAGAACAATAACGCAAGTCTTACTAAACATAACACACTTACTGCGTATAACCAGGTATATATGGATTAAATTATTGTAAAAAATGATTTTGAATATAAATATATATTCCAATAATAAATCATATGTATTTAAAGTAAAACAGAAAATAAAAACAATTGAAAATAATATTAATATATTTTAATGCATTTGATTACCACAATTAAAATATTTTAAATTCAAATAATCTTAAATAAATAATCCAATAATATTAAAACATATGAAATATTATTTTAGGTATAAATATATAAAATATTATTTTTTAATAAAAAAAATATATTTTTGTCACTTATGATGTTATCAATTATTCTAGATTGAGTGAAATATAATATATAAAAATATTAATATAATATTATCAATTTGACGATAATTCTAATTATCGACTATTCATACGCATAAATAAAATTCTTTTATTTTTTAAACAATCCCCTTATAATACTTCAACAAGATATTTTTACTTTTTAATATATCCTAAATAAGATACCAATGATATTTATTATAATAATAATAATTAATATTGTTTGTTATTCATTTTATTTTTTTATCTCATTTTTTATAATGTTTTCTCAAAAACTTATTCATAATAATGTCTAAAATTATAATAGTTAACATAATTATAATCATATTTAATTCAATAACCATAACTCTAAAAATATGAATAAAATATTCTCACAATTATTCCTAAAAATTAAATATAATAATAATAAAAAATTCATATATACTTTTTAGAATGTGACACATCAATTTCTGAGAATAAAACATAATAATAGAATATATTTTCCGTTTTTGGAATAAAATAAAACAAAACAAATCTGGAGAGTCTTCTAAGTTCATTTAGTTCATAAATTTATAAGTAATAAAAAATTTGACATCAGGAATATCACATAAAATTTAAAATATTAAATTAATAATAACTATATTATATATTACAAAAGATATAACAAATAATATATAAAAATAAAAAGACAATTATGCTAAAATCAACGTATTATAAAATAAGATTCGAAAATATATATAGAAAGAAAAAAGAAAAAATAGATATTCAGATTCTATATATTTTATAAATAAAACATCCTATTTATAAATACAAAATATAATTCAAATGATAATTTAGGATTATAATTATATAAATCATATAAAGGATTCATAACAATTATTTGTTTTCATATAAAAATATTTATATTATTATCTATAAGAGATTCTATATTTTATATATTTTTTTATCATTTTTAATAAGATAATTTTATCTTTTATTAAAGAAATTAATTATAAAGTAATTATCCACTTATTTTTAAATAATTACTCAAGGTTTATGTATAGCATGACTGAAAAATTACTCTCTCACACTTAACATAATTTGGTAAAAGAAAATTAAATAATAATATATTTTATTTTAAAATTATATAAAATTAAAATTAATATAAGCATAATTAATTTTAACTCGTTCAAATAAAATATGTTAAAAATATA